CTATTGAAATATGACCAAATTTCCTGTTGCTTTTTAAGCACTTGAACCAAATCATTACTTTTGTGGCCCTCATTAATTTGAATGATGTCTTGCGTGGCCTGTTTTTGACCCCATTCACAAGCTACACTGAGTTTGCATTTTTTTAAATTCCGTGATGTATGTTTTTTTAATTGAAAAGGATTAAGTCTGTCTATGAGTATTATGAGTAAAATATGTTCCATTATGGAACATACTTGTTTTAATTGACTCCTTGGCTAGGAATACTGGAAGGTGTGAATTTTCTATTTGTTTATCTTGATCTTTTGGAACACTTTGTCACAACAGGTTGAAGAGCAAACAACAGAAATGAATGGAACAACAGACAATCAGGATAATAGGACCTATCCAAGTGTTGCTGGTCACATTGTTGTCACTACTGCTTCAGGGGCAATACAAGTTATTTCTTTATCGAAACTCAAATGTGTTGCTGAATTAAACCCGGGACCTAGTGAAAAATATCTTAGTACAACTTATTGTTCAGGTAAGGACATTGATTGATGCAAACTTTTGATGTGTAAAATTGTAACTGCTGGTACTTACTTTTTGAAAAATATCAATTTTATTACAGCAAACCATTAGTTTACTTAATTTTCAACAAAAAAACTGTATGTAATTTTTTTTACTTCAGAAAAAAAAAATGGAAAATTTGCATCTGTTCAATGGCTGTTGAATAGTTATTTTTAACATTGTAAATAAGGGAATAACTATTGAAAAGTGAATTCATTGAACTTCATGAAGTCAGTAACTTAAACATTTTTTTTATAACCAGTGAAAATTAAAACTTTGTCTATAATAAATATAGTAACAATGTGTTAATTATAATCATTCTAAGTGTTTATTATCTTTAACCTTATAAAATCATAGAGTGTAAAAGTCAGCCTGAGTTTCTTTGGTCATACACTAACCTCACTTACTTGACCTGGCCACTAAATACTAGAGCCAGCAGACTCGCATGCTGGTTTTGGTATCAGTTTCTAATAATTTGTAAATAAAAACAAAAATATAAATTAAAATGCATGTTATTTCAGGCATAGAACGTTTATGTGCTTGTACAGACAATGGCAAGCTACAATTTTTTGATTTGGATACATTAAGTGATAGGCGGAGCTCTCTGAGTAGCCTTGACCCTGGAGAAGGAATAGAAAGTGGCAGAGAAGGATCAGCTTGCAAACGGGCCAAACTTGATGAAGATGCAGTTGATTCTCTTGGTAAACCTTTTTTCCCTTTGTTTTTTAAAGGTTTTTATGAAAAAATTGATATTTTATGTACCTAATGAATCAATATATTATATCTTTCTATTTTATATTCATGACTTGGTCTCTTAACTATGCAACTATTTTGTGAAACTTAGTGAATTTATGTCTTTTTGTTTTAATGAATACTCCCCTTTTTGTTTGTGTTGTAAATAGATTTCTATAATGTACCATGTTAAATAAATACTCACATGCAGTTATAACAATTTGATCAGAACTCATTTATTTATTTTTCCAGGCTCAGATTATCTTACCAATCAACCTTTAAATGCAGAGAATGTCACCCAGCTTCACAGTTTAATACAGTTTGAAAACCTCATGCCACGTTTCACAGCTGTAGTGCCTCCTTGTTGGTCTGAGATCCAACAGGAACAGCAACAAAGGCGGCATCCACAACATTTGCAGCAGCAGGGAGAAGCAACTCAACATACTCGCTCATGGAAACTGACTACCGAAGCAGGGTAGGTCAATCCATTGTATGTTCACCTAGACAAGTGATTCTTTGGGCCAAAATATCTTTTTTGAACTTGATCAACCCTTGAAGCTGTCTGAGAATTTAGCTGAGTTTTGAGAATTTATCTAAGTTTTGAGAATTTGTCGAAGTTTTTTCCACATCCTAATTTAAAAATTAAGGGTTAAATATTGAACCTTGTTAACTCAAGAGCACCTTTCCTCCAATATGATAAAAAAAAATTTAAATACTATGGTTGATTTTGCTTTGGTTGAAGGTATAATTTGTTTAATGTTTACATTGCATGAGAAATATTGATTGTCAAAGGGCATTTGTTATTTTTTAAATTTGTGAACCACTGACCAGTTGACCAAATGGATATTTGTTTGCATGCTAAGGTGTCTAGGAAATCAGCTTACTCAAAGCTTTGTTTTTTTTCATGGAGCAGTTTCAGTCAGAGGAAAAATATATAAATATTTAATAATAACACAGCTAAAGTAATAAGATGAGTCATTTTAAGAGTTGTTTTAATTTCAGACAAACTTGGGATGAACATTTGCTTGAAATATTACTACCAAAACCTTGCTCAGTAGGTCATGTAGATGTTAAATTTTCTTTGCACTCCATTGGATCATTACAACCAAATGTTGAGGTAAGTGTTTAAGTGCGGATGCTATTTGTGAGAATGTAGAGTTTTGTAAAGCATGACCTAAATTGAGCACCACATATAAACATATGTACTTAAAAATACAACTTTTAGGTGAAATATAAACTTGGTTATGGTTTGAGCTGGTAATTCAGATTACTTGAACTCTCAAATATTCTTGGTGTTCTGCCATTTTTCTCCCTCATTAGGTACCTTTACAATCTGGCTGGTTGTTAAATGAAGAACAAAGCAGTAATATCATGTTATCTATCATCGGATTTAGAATTGAATAATATTTTATTTGATACTAATTATGAGATTACAGTCAATTATGATTTTGATTTATGGCTAAAAGATTAGGTTTTTAGATGTGCTAAATATTCACAAAAATTTAAGCATACCACTAACAGGTAGAGGCAAAATAATAAGTATTGAGTTCTATTGAGATGTTTTTTATATTCATCAATGGTATCTATTTTTACAGCACATATAAAAATTTAAAGCAATCAATTTTACCAAACTTTGTATTAATTATGCAACTTTTAAAAATACATTAATAAATTTGAAAAAAAAATTATTTTAAAATAAAACAAGGCAAGTATTTCATGAGAGAAATACTATTATCAGAAAATTATATAAGTGGAGATAATTTTAAAATATAAAAAACAAAAAAACACTTTGGGTACAAATAAACAAATATCGGTTATGACAATTTCTGTTTTCCGGAAAACTCCTATATTTAACAGTGGCAGCACATTAAGTTCTAAATTTTCTATCTACTTTATAAACATGAAAAAGATTTTCAAATTATATCTTTACTGTAAGTAACGAGTTCAGTTTTAACAGCATGCAATTGCTGTGTTATAATCATTCATATTGCTTGAGCAGAAACATGAGCATTGTCAACAAAGTTCGTCACCGCCTGATTACATCTACTGAGGAACTAAGAAAACTATAGCTGAAGAACTTTATAATTATTCAAAACATTCATTTTGTTTTCTTCATATTAAAAGAAATACGACTATAAAACCTAAGACTGGACAATTCATGAAAATGAAAGAATAAGTATCTTGGCATTCTTGGCCACTGTTGTTTCCTTCTACTAAGCATATTGTTGTCCATATTATTTGTATTTATTCCAAAGGTGATGTCTTTTATCCACTAATTTTATCACTATCCAATGAACTAGCCACAAGAGTTGCATTTAGCTTAACCTACAATAACACAAACGTTTGTACTGTTTAATTAGAAAATTGAACCTGCAAGAACCAATAATTCATTTACAGTTATGTTGTTTGTTCTTACTGGTATTGTGTTACATTTATGAAATGAGTTTGTCTTATCCTCTCCTGCTTCTCTTGATTATTGATAAGGTTGCTCCAGGACCCATGTTTGCATGATTGTCCTTTTCATCAGGTACAGATGAAATTAACTGTACTTGCTTGTCAGCAGTTTTTAGTTAAGTTTTTACTTAATGTATGGCATGTATATTGACCTAAAAACAATTTATGAATTCCATAATCCGCGAATAAACTTCGTTTTATTCAGTAATAGCTCACACAGGTGGGGGATTTAGGTTAGAAATTTTGTTTATCAACTGGAATGTCATGTTTTAAAATCAAGTTGGCTTAGTTGCCATAACATTGCTGCTGTTTTGTACATTTACAAAGCATCTCCAGCCTTGTTGATGTACATTGATGTTGAAAAGTGATAAAGGTGATTGTACCACCACTCTGAAACTTTGGAATGATAATAGAATATAAGCATTAAATATAGGCTTAGATCTTATAATTTAAACAAAAAATGAACAAAACTAAATGAATTATTCTATTAAAAATAATACAAATTAAAAGCTGTTTTTAATCCAGAATAAATTATAGACAGAAAAGTCATGGCCTCCAATATAAACAAAGGAAATTTTTAACAACTATGCCTATGAACAAAAAAAGATAATAAAATATACACTTGATAAACTGGAACAAGAAATTTATATAAGTAAGCTTAAATATTTGTTTTCAATATTTATGAAGTCCACTGTTTCAGTATTTCAATGTAAATTTAGTTTTTTCCACTAATTCCACAAAATTTGAGGGCTTTTTGACCAGTTGTAACAAAGAAAAAAATCCTACCGCTGGTAGTGAACTTTCGATCAGGCAAAAATACACAAAGACATCAGCAGTCATGTATTCTTCATGTTTTTATAAAGCTAGTATCACTTTTTGACTTCAAATAAAATCAACAACAACGTTAGAAGATAAATTTTGAGCCCTTTTTGTGTTACCAGCCTTCAGTGAAGTTTCACATGATTGGCAATATGGTGGACGAAAATGGCATCAACAAAACCGAAACATGATGCACAGACTAAAATGTTTTTAATTAAAAACCGAAATTTACACTTAAAATTGATATTGTTAAAAAATGTATCCACGAAAATATAGTTGCACGTTAAAAAAATAACTTTGGTACATAAAGGTGAGAAAAAATTCAATTTATAATCCACCGACCACTGATGATCCAAAAATCAATATAATGTACTTTGAGAGTTAATGACCTCAATAGATAAAATAATTTGTATACAAAATAACGTTCACTGTTAATAAAAAAATTTCTATTACAGATCACACTGTTGAAACAAAATATTGGTTCAATTTTTTGTCCTCCTGGAAGCTCAAGTTTAGATTCCAAACCATCATCAATGAGAGCAGGTACTAGTAAAAAATTGTCTGAGGAGATCAAGAATGGAGATGAAATGCTGAATAGTGTGTTGAACCCAAAATTTCTAGAGATGCATAATGCACAAGTTCTTTGTGGACCCATCAAACTTGCCAACTGCATGGATTTAACAGGAAATGGTGGTCTGGTAACACTTGCTAGTCCACAACTCTTTCAATCGAAGCCCAGGTCTCTACTGCTACACATAAAAGGATTTGAGAATAGTCCACTGTCAAGGCCTGTTATTAATAAGGATAAAACAGATGCCATCCGGGCTGCCACAGAAAAAATGGTATGAAGTCAAAACTATTATTGGAATGTTTTAAATTATGTATGCTCTTAAATCAGTTGTGGAGAAAGAGTTTTTTAAAACATTTTAATCCATAATCTAATTATTTCTGTTCTCAGGCTAAATCAACCAAGAAACTCATAAGCTCAATGTACAAAGTAGACAGCAAACATAAGAATATAAAAGGTCTGTTTGACAGTGTGGCTCAAGCAGGAGCTGAAAAAAGTTCTGCAGCGGGCAAACAAAAGTTGACTGATGCCAAAGGCTGTGATTGGCTGCAGGAGCTGTCGGTCACTATAAGGGTGTTTAAAAAAACATCTGTGCGCATGGAGAAGCTGCAGCGCATGTCCATGATCCAAGATTCCACCTTCCACAAGCGACTCATAAAACTTTTAATCACAGCTCCTGGAGACGCAGCTTTATGTGGAGTTAGCCCTGAACATTTACAGAACATGGCTTTAGATATTCTGATCTGGATCCTTGCTATGCAGAAAAATGATGTGGACAATCGGTAGGTACAAAGTATGTTGGGGGGGGGGAAATCACCAATAGATTTGTCACACATTTATTTTATTGGTAATAATGATTGTGTAAATGTTAACAACTATATTGAAACTGCTATAGGTAAAATTTTATTATTACTTGTTATTAAAAGATTAGCCTCTCTGTTACAGAGGGAATGAAAGGGTTCTGTTGGAGTCTATACAACATGAGCTTCAAGGAATGGTGAAGTCCTGCTTTATTATAGGATCAAGAACAACTGCCCACAAATTTTCCAGGCTGCTGGCCCTCTGTATGGAGTAAGTTAATTAGATCCAGCTTAGCCTAAACTCTTATTTGGTTTTCAATTGTTTTGTAAAAATAATATCTGGGCATCAAATTTCATCTGGAAGGATGTGTTAACTTTTCAGGTAACTGTCAAAGGCATGAGAATTTTGTTTACATTGAATTTGTTGCACCAATGTAAAAAAACAACAAAAACTCAGGGTTATTCAATGTATAAATGATACTAAACCTAAAGCTGCCACTGTTGGTTTTTATTATAAACTAAAGACTGTTTAATATGGTAGTTTGCATCGATGATAAAATCAATATAAACTTAATTAACAGCTGTTTGGGTGTTTTGTTTCTCGTTACTTTTTACCTTTAACAATTTTTTTTTTTTTTTTTTTAAAGATTCTCCAATTTGTCCTCAGATCCAGAGCTTGCCCACAGTTTTAGTGTTGGCTTGATGCATGCATTGCTGGACTGCTTCCCTTTTCTTCCTGTGTTATAAAATAAATATAAACTTAATTAACAGCTTTTTGGGTTTTTTGTTTCTTGTTACTTTTTACCTTTAACAATTTTTTTTTTTTTTTTTTTAAAGATTCTCCAAGTTGTCCTCAGATCCAGAGCTTGCCCACAGTTTTAGTGTTGGCTTGATGCATGCATTGCTGGACTGCTTCCCTCTTCTTCCTGTGTGTAAATCAAGTGGGGCACTGGGTTGGTTGTTTACCATCCTCAACAGGGTCAAATGTATGGACATGGAACTTGTGGCACAGAGGTCCTGTCAGTTACTTTTGACTCTGTCTCACCACTACAGTCAGAGAACACAGCTACATCATGCTCTACTCAAAACTAGGTACAACTTGAGAACTATTCTGTGTGGTGTCCTGGTTAAGCATGTTTTATGAGCATTATGTCAGTTTGTAAATATGAGTTTGTTTGTTAAATTAAGTTATGTTTAAAAAAAAACAACTGTTGTCCTCATAGGTATGGACTTTATGGAAATCCATTTGAGGCTGAGCTTTTTGACATGGACCTAGGTAACATCACTAAGCCAAGTTCATTGTCTCTGGGCAGTGCCACACCCAGTACAATACTCTACAATGTGGTCAAACCACCAACCGTAGGGACTAGCAAAGAACAGTCTGATCTCTTTGATGTCTTCTTGTCTGCTGAAAAAACAGCCAAGAATCACGTAAGAGTTTCATGCCAGTTAAATCTAATATTAACCAAATTTCTTTTATTTTTTTGGTTAAGGCTGCTTTAAAATACAAAATTCTTGGTCCAAGACTGGATAAAACTTCCCCCCTTGTTAAAAGGTTTCTTCACATCTAACATGGTTCTTAACCATGTGTCCGGGAGGCAGTTTCAGGAGGTTTGGGAAGATAAAAAAAAGGTTTATTTGTATTTTTAAGCATTTTCAATCATAGGGGTTGCGGGACTATGTTTTGATTTTCAATATAGGGGTATATGAAAAGTTTTTTTTAAATTAAGACAGTGTGTAGGGCTGCATAAAGTTTAAGAACCTCAGGCATAAAAGGGGTTTAGCATGGTTGTAAAATATATACAAAATTTTGCAAAATGTTAATTTATCCCTTCCAATTTACAGCCATTGAGTTAATGTTGAGATTAGGGTGCAGGTTTGTGCCATGAAAATATGTCATACAAACTTGTACGATTTTTTGGCAAACTAACGCTTTCCCTCTTGTCACTTGGATTCAGTCACATTGTCCAAATGTTATGCGTGTTATCTGGCATCTCCGTTTTTAAACCCATAGAAATATTGATATGTGGTGGGCAAGGGGTTAACAGCCTAGCTTGGAATGTTAATCCAGCAAACAGCACCAAGGCTCCTCTTGATGCATACAAAGCAGGGTATTTTTATGCCAAAGAAAATCTCACTTCTTGAAGTTTGTTTTGAAAGACATAAACAACATGTAACCTTTTCCACATGTTCTTGATTTGTGATGTGCAGACCAGCAATGTAAAGTTCATGGACCAACCCTGGACCTTCATTTGGGGAAAGCTGGTCTAGACATTAGGCGACTTATGATAAGAGTCTAACCATTAAAAAACATCAAATGAATGTTATTTAATTATGCATTTTTTTCAGCATTAATGTAATAGCAACACCTGATAGTTGTCATGCCAATGGTAATTACAGTGCTTAGATTTCCCTCAGTTATTTTAGTGTGCATCTTTTTAGAAAGCTCAGCAATGAAATTGTGGATTTTGTCCACAGCCTGATTATTTCCAGAATGACATCTTAGGGCTGCTAGAGGTGGAGCCTCTTCACTTTCGTTGCCATGCCACCAGTGATGGTACTCGCATGGAGAGAATGGATGCCAGTTCCACATCAAGTGGCCCGGTACCTGCAACAAGTGCTTTCAACTCAGGCCCTACCCACCTCATGCCTTTACAACCCCCTGGACTCGTTAGTGATGAGGCAATGTTGCCTATTTTGGGAGGAGATTTTTCCACATATTTAGCGCAATCAACGGGTCCAAAATTGTCTAATACTATGGTAAGTAATTTTCTCTAAATATAAACATATTATCATAAACCATTAAGGTTACCTACCATTTGTATCCCTTATAAATAATAGAATTATAGCTACATTAATTAATTGTTGAAGAGCTTATCAATACAATCATTTATTTTTATTAGTCATTAACTTGAAATTCACAGGAATTAATTTGAATGTAAATAGGCTTATGTTTTTCAGTCTTTGATCGAGGAAAACATTCTAAAAAAGAAAAGCTTTATAGCCCCCTCCTCGAAGTTATATGGAGCCAAAGTCTTACATTCGCATCAACAGGCTGCACAGCCCCAGAAACAGGGACAACAGCAAAGACAGGGAACTCAAAAACAGTTTGCTTTCCCTCAAATCCAGGGGCTTCTTCAAGCTCCCCCTCCGCAAGTTTTGGTTATAGAAAGAATGCATTCAGGCAAGTCATTATCTGTGTACATCGTGTCCCTCCACACACACTCAAAACGCACTTTATTAAATTCTTTTACTTTATAAAAAGGAAATAACTCCTGTGTTACTGCAGGCCGTTTTGTGTGAAAAGTCTGGATTTTATGCTCTTGATCAAAGTTATTCTTGGAATAACATTAGTTGTTATAAGCAAACTATTTTCAGTTATTGCCTACTATCAATTTGAAATATATAGCATAGTACATCGCTAATGTGGATGTGAGGAATTGTTTGGCTTTGCAGTCATGTCTAAGTTTAATAATAAGTAAAGAACAGGATTACATGTTTATTATTTCTTTAAAAATGGATGATTAAACATAAACTTTTAAACATTTCAGGTGCCAGACGTTTTGTAACTCTGGATTTTGGCAAACCCATTGTTCTAACTGATGTAATAATACCATCAAGTATGGACCTAGCTTCTCTGTCCATTGATGTGTGGGTTGATGGGGAGGAAATTGATGGGCAGAGGTTGGTTGTGGCATCTGATATTAAAGACAGAACTCTGATCATGAACAATATCATGCCAGCCCCAGTATGTCGCTACCTCAAGGTAAAATAACCAATGAAAGGAACAGCTTTCTTCTGTTTACAATGAGTAGATGTTCTCGAGAGATATTAAATGTTGTGATTATTCAAGTCAAATTTAATACACAATGAAGTTCTTAGTGGATAAATGTAACACCAAGTCAATCCATAACCTTATAGGTTACCTCAATTATGCTAGCCCCTACTGTTATCTACTTATGAAATGGCCATTATGCAAAATTTCCTGAGTTAACTCTTTATTGAAAATATCTTTTTTAAAATTAAACTAATTCCACTTAAATAATTCTAAGCTGATATCCTAATTTTACTCCCTTCAGATTACTACTGTTGGCAGATACAGTGGTGGCACAACTCGCTCTCGCATTCCACTAGGCTCTTTCTATGGACACACCTACATTCTTCCTTGGGAATGGCCTAGCTTTACTCCTGGCCATTCAGTAAAGAGCCATGCATCTACAGCTGATTCTTCTTCAGCTGCAACATGCCCTGGTAAAGACAGTTGTAATGATCTGACTGATTCAAAAAACTTGTTGAAAACTCCCAGCTCCTGTGAAATGAGTAGCCATACCTCACTTTTGTCACAGCTTGCACTGTTTCTGTCCTTACTTGAGGACCTTCAGTGTAGATTTAACTTGTCCAAGACCCGCCTTGAGTCCCTGCTCAAGGTGGTAGTCAGCTCACAGTTCATCTCCTCACATGTTCAGTATCACTTGAAAAGAAACAGTTCTGGCAAACTCAGTGAAGAGGATGCTCAGATTCTGCAGGTTTGTTGCTTCACATTTCAATTTAATAGGATATCTTTTACTTTAGTTTGGGATTACTCACCCTTGAATTAATATTAAATTTGATATTTTTCAACCTGGGAATCCAGGTTCACTTAAATTTATAGACACGTCATTAAACAATCAAGACATTCAAGCTAATGATGTTTGCATTAAGATAATGTATTACAAACTTTCTTGGTGGCATTTTCATTTTGGATTAAAACAACTTCCTGTCAATAGCAAACTAAGTTCCAATGTTCTCATTATCTTGTGTTTTTGTTTTTTTAGGGTTGTTTGCGGATGAAAACTTTGAGCTAAAACATTCATTTGATTGACCTTTATTTTCAGCTAAGCCGTCACACATCCTATCCATACTGTTTTATTACCTTAATGACAAGGATTAAGAAATTATTTTTTAAAGGATGTTAAATAAATAAATTCAACAAATGTTTTTTTGTTATTAATTTTTAAACAAATTTTTTAAGGCATACAATGAGTGTTTGCAGTTGCAACTGCAGCTAAATTTAGCTCAGCGAGCTATCCACAGACTTCAGACTTCACTGGGTATTTGCGTAGATGTCATAGACGAATCTTTGAACACTGATGTCTTGTTAGCTCAGGTAATACATTGAATAAAGCACTATGAAGTATTTAAATCTTAGTCAAAGGCATGGACAACTAAGTAGCATACAATCCTATCAGAATTTAAATATACTATACGAATGATGTTCACACTCTTTTCTAGGCTCCCACTGACAAACTTCGTGTCATACTGGAAAACCTCCTGGACACGTTACTGTCATCAACAGTAGGTCTGTCAGCCATCTCCCAACCTCCTACAGCTCTCTACGATGTTCTTACACATGAACAGGCCCAAGCTGTCTTCCAGCACTTGTGCCTGCATGGCACACAGAGGATCCAGGTATCAACAGGGCTGCTACTTGTCAGAGTGTGTGGAACCCAGCCATGGTGGGGGCAGTTCCTTGGCAATATGCTGAAGCAGTTTTTCCACTCTCACTACTCTCAAGTGTTTCCACAAGACAGGTGAGATAAATATTCATACTCCTGCGTCCATTTATATCACCCCTTTGTATGGAGCTTTTATGCTCATTCAGAAATAAATGAAAGCATCTGCTAAATTTATTAATTTGACTGATTATGTCTTTTTTATTGAGAAAAAAATCCAAATGTTTAATAAAAAAACCAATAACTAGATGAAAAACTTTATGATGAAGCTTGTGTTCTCTGTAATTCTACTAAAATTTCATCGTGTGTAAGGATATAGATCTAAATTACAATTATTTTGAATTTTTTTTTAAATTTGATTTTTCTTTTTTAAAATATGTGTGCAGTGTTCATGTTTAGCTATTTATTTATTCAGGGTCTTTGTTCTGCTGAGTGCCTTGGGTCAGAAATCTTTGAGTGGACCAAGCTCACTTGCCATCTTAGACAGTCTTCTATCCATGTTGACATCAGTCCTTGAGCCTGCCACCAATCCCCATGCAGCCAGTATGTTCAATGAGTCATTATTCTATATAAATAAAGTCTTTCTTTCACACTGTGTTAACATTTTTAAGTAATAATAGAAGAAAAGAAATATCAAAATTAATATAGCTGGTGCTCCTCAACCCATTTACAAGAACAATTTCTATACAGATGTTTTAAGTTATACAACTCTTTTTTTTCATCAGAACATTTGGACTTGTCTCTTACAAGTTGGGTGCTTCTTTTCTTGTGCCGCAATATGGAGTCCTCGTCCAATGCTCTGGCCTCTAACACAGATGACACAGAGAAAGGGGCCAAGAGAGATAAAGATGGTAAATATCTAGTCACAGACTTTAGTTTAAAAAAAACCATTAAGAATAAATTGTCTACAGCGAAAGAGTAATTAAAACTTCAAGTTAATCAGCTGCAGGGATTAATCTTTTATTAGTTGATCTAAATAATTAATATTTTAAAACTTAAGTATTAAATGTAATTAATACATAAATATTGACTAATTCATTGTCAAATTTTTTGGTGGTCACCAATAAAATCGTGTTGGTAACAAAGGGTCTATCAGAGGCTGATGTTTTTTGGTAACTATAATAACCATTTGAACCCTGGGCTCCTGGGGAACAAACTCCCACATACACACAAACAAAATTCCATGATAATATAATTAGAGTCTATATACATTTTATTTATTTCAATCTAAATTTTTCTGTTAGTGGTCCATGTCATGAATTTATTTGAGTGACTCCGTTATCTAAGAGTATCTGAAACACAATGTACACAAAGACTTGAATCAAGAGTTTTTCCAGTTATTAATTATGAACTTTTATTCTACTTAATTACGGTGAACAAGTGATGATGTTTCTGTGCATATACAGGCCACCTCCAAATAAGCAAAATAAGTTGAAGATCTATCAGTTTACTGTGGAGTTTATACAACTCCTTGACATGTATGCCACCACTAACAACAAGGTCATCATAATCGGCGACATAAACTGCCATTTCGACTCCACCACCGACAGCTACGTGAAGACCCTAAAATCAGCTCTCGACACACACGGAATGACTCAGCTTGTCAGTGTCCCGACGCAGAAGCGAGGTCACATCCTAGATTGGCTGGTTGTCAGAGAGGACCAGGCAGCTATGATCCAAAACCTCATTATTGAGGACAAACTTATTTCTGATCACTTCCCAGTCACCTTCGACTTTGACTTGAGGAAGCCAGGACGCCTTCTGCGATCTGTAACATCCCGTGACCTCCGACAGATAGATCTAGCGGCCTTTAGATGTGACGTCGCAGCCCTTGAGTGCGGTGTAGATGACCCTGCTACAGACTACAACAGTGGCCTCAGAGTGATTTTAGACAAACATGCACCACTGTCCACATGGCGAGTTTTGGACCGCCCTTCCGCCCCATGGCTCACGCCCGAAAATTAAGGATGCTAAGCGGAAGCAGCGACGTGCAGAACGCCAATGGCGGAAGTCGGGCTTGACTGTGCACCAACAAATCTTTGGTGACCACAGGGAACGAACCAAGAGGTTGGTCCTTGCAGCTAGGACTGAGTATGTTAGTCATCAGACTACAGGCAGAAGCTCAAGCATTGTGGGTCAGCTGACCGGTAAAAACAAGGCTACATCTCTGCCAAATAACATTGCTGTAGAAGAGTTGCCAGACGCTCTAAATGACTACTTTATTACAAAAGTTAAGAGGATCAGAGCGAAACTTGACGGTTGCATCGATACTGCTCCAGAATTCTCACTCTTCAACGGCTCTTCCATGGGTGAATTTGTTGAGGTCAGTGAATCGAATGTGAGGAAAATCCTCGCTGATACCCCAAGAAAGTCATGTTCGCTTGACGCTCTTCCAGCAGGGCTCTTGTATGAATGTCTGGATGAAATAGTCCCCATCATCACTTATATCATAAATCAGTCCTTAGCTACTGGTATTGTTCTATCATCTTTTAAAGAGGCGATCGTCACTCCACTATTAAAGAAATCAAATCTTGACCCTAATGTGATGGAAAATTATCGCCCCATCTCAAATCTACCATTTATTTCTAAAATCTTAGAAAAACTTTTCTCCGCCAACTCCTAGATCACCTCACTCAATTTGACTTGTTTGAACAATTCCAGTCAGCATACAGGGCGCATCACTCTACTGAGACAGCCTTGTTGCGCGTCGTAAACGACCTTCTGTCGTCTTGTGATGAGGGCCAGGTATCGATTTTGTCTTTACTCGATTTATCGGCAGCTTTTGATACGCTCGACCACAGCATACTGCTCCAGCGTCTGCAACAAACGTTCGATCTCACTGATACCGTCCTGTGTTGGTTCCGATCGTATCTGACTAATCGGGTGCAGTCAGTTATTTCAAACGGCTTGACCTCGAAGAAATCTAATATCGAATTCGGAGTACCCCAGGGCTCGGACCTAGGCCCGGTGCTTTTCACGATGTACATTCAGCCACTGGGTGCAGAGATCAGGCAGTTTGACATGTTGTATCACATGTTGATACACAACTTCATCAATCCGTGATCCCTTCTCATTTCCCTCAGCTGCTCAGTATGACAGAGAAGAAAATGGAGGTGGTTAAGCACTGGATGACCATAAACAAGCTCAAATTGAATGATGATAAGACTGAGCTGCTCCCCATCGCGACCGCTCAGAAGCAAAAATCTGCAAATAACACGACATCCATTACTCTCTCAGGTGTGCGTATTGAGTTAGCTCAAACAGTGCGGTACCTGGGTGTCTACCTAGATGGAAGACTAACTTTTGAAAGTCATATTAACATGCAATGCAAGGCGATTTTTCTGGAGCTGCGCAGGATTAGTCACATCAGGCCCTTCCTAACAATTGATGCAACAAAGAGGCTGATGTCTGCATTTGTGCTATCGCGCATGGACTATTGCAATGCTCTCATGGTGGGTCTTCCAGCTACGCTCCTGGATAAAATTCAAATAGCACAGAATAATGCGTCTCGCATTGTTCTCCGCAAACGCAAGTTCGACCATGCAAAAACACTTCTGAGAGAGTTGCACTGGCTGCCGGTGCGTGCTCGCATAGAGTACAAAATCGCAACTTTGTGCTACCGCTGCTTACATGGCCTGTATCCGTCCTATCTGAAAGAGCTGCTGACGCCTTATGTACCCACTAGAGAGCTCCGCTCATCCGATAGTGGCAAACTCTCGACACAACGTGTTTGCCTTGAGACTTACGGAAAGCGCACTTTCGCATTTGCTGGTCCAACAATTTGGAACGGCCTTCCTGTCGATCTCAGAAACAACCAGACACTGGAGTCCTTTAAAACAGATTTAAAGACTCACCTATTTCGCAAACACCTTCTGGGATGATTGTCTATCTTATTTTCCAGTTAATGCATAATGGCTGTGTAGCTTATGGTTGAAATGGCTAGAAAGACTTTGACATTGTATGCTTGTAATTAGTTTTTGTAGTGTTGCGTTTGTTTTAAATGTGGTAAATTATATATTTGTTTTTGTTGACTTTGTACCGCACTTCGAGCCTTTGGGGATGAAGCGTGTTTTTTTAAATGAACTTTATTATTAGTATTACTACAATTTAATCTAAAGTAATCTCCCATTAGTAATGTTGGTTCCGTTAACAAGCTTAGCCAGAGGGATCTTTGGCAAAACTACTAACACCAGCTAACACTGATATGTTTAACGTCCTACCCACTCGCTGTCCCCTGCTCTACTGACCACCTGCACTCTGCTACCATACTACCCCCTTTAGTATCCCCTCCTTGATGGTATTCCTATGCTTATAGTCCACCTCCCACAAAACAGACTCTCAGGAATTCTAACACCTTGACAATCCATTAGTATTATAAAATGTATAACAGGGAGATAATAATCTTAGAATCAGAATAGCATAGAAGACAGTTACTTTCACATCTATGATTTTCAAACTAACCAAGGGTAGGACTAAGGGTAGTCCTTGAGTTGTTTCTTTATTTTCTAATGCACACATTTCATCATTAGCAAAAGTTGAAGCCAAGCGTTGATCACTATCATTTTCTATTGGCTTTATTTTTAATCATTTTCTATTGGCTTTTTTTAAATCCTTTTTCAAACATGATAGTAATTCTTTGAATCATTTACATTATCATCAGCCTGCCTCAGTTTGAGTCCTTAAGAATAGCAATTTTTGTATTTTCGTCACCTCTATACATAAAACCATTACTTAAACACATAAAACAACAATGCATCCATGGGCGCGACCATCACTGTGACATCACAAGTTATGTGATAAACCCTGAACTCGGTATTTACAACACATTTTATATCCAGCCAATCTAGGATACGGTATGGGAGATGGATATATCAGTTTGGGGATGTGGATTTAAAACACTTAGACCTATAAAGTGGGATTGCAGGTTCTTTGGGTTAACTTTATTTGGATGTTGCGGAATTTGTTGTACAGTGTTTTGAGCAAGACATGCTCTTTTTGCTTTGGTCCTTAGTGGGCCTGTTTAATGGAGGGCACACTGTTTTAGACATTTGGTATTGCTGTAAGTGTAGTTTTATGAAGTTGTAAAAATTCTGACTTATTTGTAATTTAAAAAAACAACAACTTTCCCATTAAAGTCTACAGTGTCAGCAACAGATGGGCATTCATTGAAAGCCAGTGGTCTCCTTCTACATCGTCAGGAACTAGATGCAAATTTCAACGCATCTATCGACGGGGATTTCAGCGAAAAGTGGCACAATATCGGCAAAAATTACATGAGATTGATAGATTAAAGAAACATTTTGGTGGACCGGATAAAAAATATCAGGCATCGGCAAAGGTATAATTATTATATATTTTTTCCTCATATTTTATTTGAAAAAAAATAGCTTCTTTTTTTGTGAGTGTATCATTGAAAAGGTTGTTGTTACTTTAAATAGTAATATTTTTTAATGTTTCATGCAGCTTCTCTTTAAGGGGATCACAGAACAACGTAGGGTAGAAGAGTCTGAAATGAAAGATGATTCTATGGACATTGACCAGCCTCTATTGTTATCTCGTGATAGATGTCTCGCAGTGGTTGGTGGACTGATGGCGCTCTTACTCAGCATGGATTTCACGTGTCATGTTGATCTTTTTCTAGTTGCCTGCAAGGTAAGTACACAGCATGATCAAATACAGAAAATCTCTTTAATAAATGTAGTTAAGGATGTATTACTTTTATTGCATAAATCAGGTGATAAAAGAAAATGCATTGATCTGTTTTTATTGCTCTCTGCAGGTATTGGCAAAACTGTGTGTGGCATGTAGACCTTCCATTGTTCTTGCTGAAGTTATGTCACAAGAACAATTGGAGAAACTAGTCTTGTTGGTGCTTGATGCAGAGTTAAACCATGACAATTTAACATGGGGTGGGCCCTGGGCTGGCCATGCTATCACATGCTTGCTGCAAGACATTCTAGAAGGTAAATTTAGTTCACTGCCCAGTTTATGACATATGTTTTATTTCATCTAATCCTATTATTTCCCAGTTTACTGTTTTTATGAATTTAAAAGTTGCTTCCCTTTATTTGAAAAACAACCATATTTTCACATTTTAAAGCATCATACATAATAAATATGGATACCTAGATTTTTTTTGTTTGTTTCACACTATTGAGCCATTTTTACTATTGTTGGTTATCGCATACCACAAGGTTTTTTCATATCCTGACCCTAAAAACTCAGTATGAAATGAAGCTTTAGAGGATGTAAATTAAGGTTTTCAACATAATCCAAAAAATACTCTGTAAGGCAATCCATTCATGCAGGGTCCTATTTTTTAAAACTCAGGATTTACAGAAGATGTATGAAAAGGATAGACGCTATCACAAGGACTGATGTGCTGCTAGAATGTTCTTCTCCCATGCATTTAAAACCTTTATACATTCCCAACTGAAGCCACTATTTTCCCCATGTCCTTTATTCCCTAAGATTTCCTTTTTTTTTATTTCACTATTGTAAGGTATAAACAAATATTTCATGATTGACATTAGATTGTTTTTAAAAAAAATGAATATCCAAAACAGGTCATGTGTTGAAATGGGAAATGATTTTGTCATGTGACAGTCATTTTTATTTTTTAAATCCAAATCTTCAGGACATTACTTTTTTTTTATGTGAAGAATCATCATCAGAACTTTTTTGTTTCAATAGAAAAACTTAACATTGAAGAAAACTTGACTATTGCAGGAGAAAAATGTTGTCCCTCCAGCCCTGAAGACTCTGAGGCAGATATTTCTGATGTTGATGACTCACAGGTTTATTCACAATGGCTGGAGAAGGAAAGTTCTGTGTTGTGTTCAGAACAAGTCAGGGGAAACAAGAAAGTGAAAGTTATGCAGCTGGAGCAAGTGAAGGTCATCTTGAGAACTAAGCCAGAGTTCCATGGATTTCTCAGAAAAGGTAATTTTGAGGCTTGTGAGAAATAATTGAGCAAGGCATGGTGAAGCTTGAAGGGAAAGAGTTGGACATTGTTAAAAATTTAAGTGTCAGTAGCTCTGTGACGCTTAAGTTTTGAATACATTTCTATTTCTTTCTTGTTTCTTGTTTTGTCTTTTCCACTGAAGAAGGCTTTTAGCCCAAATGTTCTCATTGTATTGTCCCGTTCTTTCACGTCAAGCTTCGACATACTGTGGTCAAAGATTTCCTTCACACAGCTTTCAACACAGTCCTTATTTATTGTCCTTGTGGCTTGTGATTTCCTAATTAAATTAAAACAATAGTAGACCTTTTTATTTTTTTTAGTATTAGAGGAGACAAACATTTTTTTTTAAAGTAATTAATACAGCTTGAAAGTAAGTTGATTTCAGCTGCACATCACAATGGTCACAATAAATATTAGGTGGTCTTCTTTTGTAAAGCTGAGTTATTTTAGTGACCAGCAGCATCTCAACTGGATGACACTATTGATTCACTTTTAGAAATAATCTTACAAATATTCAGTTGTGTGTTTCTTGTTTAACTGTTTCTATTTTTTGTCAGATTTCCTGGAGGGCAACATTTGTCTGGATGAAAAGGATGACCCGGTTGCCTTAGTTGGACTATTTCTCAATAAAAGTGACAGGGACAAATTCAAGTGGAACAAGTTCCTCGAGCTGATCAGCAAATACCAGACAAAACCCACTGTGGACAATCTCCCCCCACCACCGCCCATCCCACCCAGTCCATCACTCCCTGACTTCATCATGGAAGTAACTCCAGATGGCCCAAGTTTTTCCCTCAAGAAGTTATTGGATGACAGCTTTGATGACATGGAATCTCCTACAAGTCACAATATAAACAAGATGATAGCTAATCATCCCAGGTAGTCCAGCGTGCTCAGTTGTTTTTTAAAGTTTGGTTTTGTTGAAAATTCATTTCATGTGACCTGAGATCACATGTCCAGTGAGGGGAAAAGAAGTTTAAGTCATCTCCAACTGTTGTGTTTAGTGACTGTATCTCTATAGCTTCGTTACCTCAATCTAAAAAATATGTCCTCAGACAAATTAGGCTTACAACAATTTAGGACATTACAAAGTTTTAATTCATTTATTTCAGCTATCAGCCAGGAAGTTTGAAACATCTTCTGAACTTACAACATAAAATTAATGAACAGATTGGGATGGCAGCAGCTTCCAACATCTCCCAGAACATTTCCACTGCTTTAGATGCTCGTCTGGAGTTCGGACTTGAGACTCTACCAGAACATCGTCTCAAGGTAGGAACATGAGTTTAAAATATACCTTATGAAAATATGGGCTCTCGAGCATTATTTACAATGACAATGTGGAATCATACATAAGATCTGAGGGAATTTTTAAAGAAAATATTCATAACTCAAAGAATGTTTGTTTTGTTGTTGTTTTTTTGTACTTTCAAATTTATTGTGATAAAATGAAGAATTTTCTATCTTGTATAGGTTATGCAGTCAGTACAAGTAAACAACATACAAAGTGCATTTTCTTCTCCACTACCTCCTGCTCCTACTGTTTGCATGATGAGCACTGATGATAGATTTGACTCCCGGACTGACTCTGCAGATATGAAACAAGATGGAGAGACAGTAGGTTTTTGTATAATTTTTTTTTGTTTTGCTACAGGTTGGATATTTTCTGTATCCACTAAAAAATATACATTAACATGATTTATTGAATTATTTTGAATGTACATAATTGTATTGTGATGTGATACAATTAAAAACTATAGCTGATGAAAGCCAAAAAAAACCCACCTAAATTCTGCTGGCTTTAAATAAGAGTTAATGAACTCTCTGTTATCCAACTATACAGATACCGCCATCATCAGTGGAAATGTTGAGCCAGTGTTTTGAGAGGATGTTTTCCCAGCTAAGAAGTGGTCGAGTCAATTTTGAGGCTGTATTGCAGCTGTGGCTGACACTGAATGAAGATGAGCCGGTGGGTGATGTTGGGGCCACTACAGTCAATGGAGTAGCCAGTGCTCAAGTGTTTGATGCCACCAGGCAGCCAATCATTGCTCTCTCTCAGCATGCTGTTGCTAGCCTAATGGAGGTATGTACATAAGGATGTCTTAGTTGATCTTAGTGTACATCTCTTTTACAAAAAAGTTTGATACTATGATTTGTTAGGTTTCCCCCTTTATGACTTGAATTGCTTCAAGAATGATATCACAGAGTAATAACTATCTGTACAGGTGGGTGTGATGATGCCCTGCCTACCCGTAAGGACGTGGGTCTACTTGCTCCAGGCCCTTTGTTTGCTGACCAACCAGAGGCACACTAATGCTCAGGGCATTGAGACATCACTTGCACCCTGTGTGCTGAATGATCCCAATCTGGCTCCATTGTTGACCAAGTTTTTATCCAGCCACCAACCAGCAGGCACTCAACAGGTCTTTAGTCAACTATAACAATATTTGACACAGTGGTCTTAAATCATTATTGTTAGTTTTTTTACATAATCTAGTCTTTAGTGTTCTATTATTGTCAGGTTTTATTTGTAGTCTTTAGTAGTCCATTGTTAATGTTTAAATTGTAATCTTTGTTGGTCCATCATTGCTAAGTTTTGCATGTTTTCTTAAGTCCATTACTAAGGGATTTTTTTTTTAGTGAAGTCAGTTTACTTTTGAAATATTTGTATTTTTCCATGTGTAAGTATACCAATAACAAGCAAAATGGCTTTTAATTCAAATCTAGATTGGACCTACAGCTGTGAAGATCTTTGGAGACCTTTTGTACAGGCTTCAATGTAAATCTATTGAAGTCAGTGGACAACGCTTCAAAGAAATGCTTTTAAAAATTGTTTACAATCTCACTGCAGAAAGGTAATTATTTGATTTGATTACAAAACATTTTATTTTATTAAATTAAATGTAAATATGATTACCTCTGTATAATACTTTTTATGTAAATAACACAATAACTATACATTTTTTTTCTTCAGTTCTAATTGAATGTGTAGTAATGATAGATTAAAACTATCAATGCATTTCTACACTTTCAGGGGAGCCATATACCAGTGTTGTGGTCCGCTGGATGCACAAGTTCAGTTTGTTGAGATGCTGGCAGAGAACACTCTAATTTCAGTGGATGTCAGTAATGCCCTCAGTGTCATCCAAGCTGCAAGCACTCTTGTCTACCAGCATCTTTCTTTACAAGATCAGGTTAGCAGATCTTGATTACATTGTCATTTTTGTCTAAATGTAAACAACTTTAAATGGGAGGGAATTGAAGCTACATCAAAGGAAATAATATCTTGGTGACTTACATTCAAATGTACTTACAAAGGGACTTTTGAGCAACCTCTGAAGTCACAAAAATATATGAATTTAATTTACTGAAGTTTAGACCAAGTCAGTGTCACTCACTTTTATTCATTCAAATATTTGCCAATGGTGGACATGACTAAATATTTGAAAACATATAAATTCTGATTTGTGTCATTTTTTTTACGACATAGGGGTTGAAATTTCAAGTAATGTTTATTTAACCCCCCAATCCTTGGCTGTGTGCATAGGTTGTAAGTCGAACTAGTCATGATACCTCACTGGGAGCCAGATCTTGCTTTGGTGGACTTGTAGCCTCCCTACTGCGTGGCAATGACAGCCGACCAGGTGGTACTGATTCACTCAGAGACCAGCTCATGTTCTTTCTAATGCAGCTTGTCAACAAGTGAGGAATATTTGTGTAGTTTATACCCTCCATCTAACTTATTATTTTATCTAAATCATAAAAAATTAAATATCTTCATTTTGAAATTGTAAATTAGCGTAATATTTTAAGTTCAATATGTACATGTTTTATGTCTCTCTAATAATCTATAAATTTTAAATGACTTATAAGTTGTATGTTGATCCCTTCAGGTTGATTTCTACCCCAGTGGCTGGACTGCCAACAAGAACTCCTATCAACAAAACACCAGAGTGGCCAGACCAAAATATTGAGGGATTTTCAGCCCAAAGATTTCCCCCAAGACTGCTGACCAATGTCAGACTTTCTGATGATGAGAAATCTAGAACCATGGTCCACCAACTGAGTGAATCACAAAACCAACAATTTCTGGAGGATGAGGAGGAAGATGAGAATGAAACCTCGCACAGGCCATCAGAAATAGCTGATATAGTTGTGGGCAATCCCGTCATAATGCAGAACCTCATCCAGTCCCTCAGCCACTGTACCAGCAACAAGCTGGCCCTTATGTTTGCCCACACTGACTGTTTAAATAGCCTGCAGAAAACTGCTGACCAAACGGATGCTTTCACTGTGGGGGACCTTATATTTACAATTTTGAGGACCTTGAAAGAGAAGTGCAGTGATCGAAATGTCATGGTGGACAACTTGTATCATTTTTTTGCTGGTCGGCCTCCTACCATGAGTCAAGTGACTCTAACACGACTGTCTGAGCCGCTTTTATTCTTTACCCTTAGGATGCTCAACTCCTCATCAGCTGTGAAGAAGTTCATTGATCTAGGTATACACATAACTAATTCATTGTCTGGTGGTAATCAAACCAATAATTGCACATAACTAATTCATTGTCTGGTGGTAATCAAACCAATAATTGCACATAACTAATTCATTGTCTGGTGGTAATATTACCAATAATTGCACATAACTAATTCATTGTCTGGTGGTAATATTACCAATAATTGCACATAACTAATTCATTGTCTGGTGGTAATCAAACCAATAATTGCACATAACTAATTCATTGTCTAGTGATAGGTTATCAAACCAGTTAATGCACACAAATAATTTATTGCCTGGTAGTAATCAAACCAGTTATTACTCGAATCATATTATTTACTTTAAACTTAGCTTTTGCAAATTGAATCCTTAAAATCTTGAGCTTATGTCTCATTCTTAATGTGTAATTGAGCTTGACACTGGCACTTTACTTTCTTCAAATGTTCCTTTTAATTTGATGAAAATGTTTTTAATATCATTGTGTAAATAAGTAATTTAATATTTTAACAACTTTGAACTTATATATAGACATTATTTTAACAACATTGGTCTATACATTTGCAGGGGGTATTGATGTGGTGAGTTCTAACCTGGTACGTTGTAACCAACACATGATCTCATCATCTCCAAGCATCATTTCCACCCTAATGCAGAACTTCAGCTCTGGCCATGCTGACTTGGGAGACAAGAGTAAAGGTTTTGAGGTTGATAACACAGAAGGTCTGCAGAGTTTTGCCCAGCTTGGTTAGTATTACATTATATTCAATCTTTATCACTGGACAGAGTGAGTCTTGCAGTCTTTTAAAAAACAATTCTTTTAATATTAACATGTTTTAAAAAAAAATAATGGTCTTGTCCTTATCAAAATCAATGCTAACAGAATAAAAGTCTGATTTGATAATCAACTCATTTCTGGGATGTTGAATTTCCAGGAACCATTACATGCAGCAGTCCAACAGCCAGTCCAGCTGATTGCCTCATAATGAACCTTGCCAACAGAAGAGCTCGCTCTGCAACCTGGTCTTACCACTTTTACCCTGATGAGCCCTGCGTGGAACTTACTATACATCTACCGTTTGCAGTGCTGCTGAAATATGTTCATATCCGGCCCCATGGAGCTGCAATTTCAAGTGAGCTTACAATATTCAATTCAATTAATCATTTTTTTTGTTTTTGTCATCTATCATTTAATAATTTGGTGTGTGGATCATAACAGTTAATAAATATTGATTTTTAATCACACCAAATTAGCTGGCATCTTTAAACTTAATTGGGTTGATTTTTTAATGTAAAAAAATAACAGCCTTGCTGATGAGTCCACCTATGGTAGATGTGGGTGACCTGGGAAAATTTGAACCCTGTTCCTCTTGGTTGTGACCAATGCTGCTATTGCACCAGCTCAATATTAGCATCGTTGATTTTTCAAAATATATACATGAATTACATTTCATGATATGCAGAAAATACAGAATCATCAAGACAGAATAAAGGGTATCAACACCAAAAATAGTCTTAATTGCTTATCCTATTTCAGCATGTCCCTCCCATGTTAGCCTGGAGCTGTCCCATGATGGTAATGTTGTGTCACCAGCCTCACCACCCTTGCACACATCTAGTCTCACACTGATACGTCTTCAGCTACAAAAGCCAGAAGTGGTTACCTCTGTCACATTATTACTGCATAGACCCTGGGACTCCATGAGCATTGGCCTACAGAAAATTTCTCTCTGGGGCCAGACTGCATTTGCTGAGAGTTCTGAAAACTCAATGTCATTTTTAAATGAAGATTGCTTCTCAAGGTCAAGGTGAGATAACTTTTTTAAAACCCTAGTTATATTTCTTGTTTTGTTTCGTTGTTGGAGTTTTAAAACTCTCTTATTTTGTATTTTTTATTAAACTGCTGAAAATCTGGCCATATTTCTGTAACTATCCTTGTTTTTCAGTCTGGGATGGATGCGAATCCTGCACCACTGCCTTGTTAACTCCAGCCAAGAAATTCAGAGTACAGTAGCTCACATTGCAGCTCACACCTCGAACCTCCTGGTCACATGCACCTCCTTGCTGGTCCATCCTCTGATCGGGGTACATGCACCCAAGATAGAAACTATCCTTATAAAACTTGGACTGTGTCACAAGGATGTTGGTCTGGCATTGTTGGACAGTATCCTGCACCAGGGCCCCAGGAATTCTGGTAAATATCTGTTGATGATGCTCTAGATAAGTTTTTCTTGCTGAACATACATCTATTTCCTCAATGTCATGTTGAAGTTTCATCACTACCATAGTGTTTCTATAGCAATATTAATCACTACTGTAGTGTTTCTATTGAAGTATTCATCACCATTGTAAATTGTAGGGTTTCTTTAGAAGAATTTATCACTACTGTATTGTTTCTATATTCACCTAACAAGAAAATATTCCTGTTTTAAGGTTCAGTCCACTCCTACTTGGGTAAAGTTGATGGGGCTGCAAGTCCATATACTGTTGAGATTCTTTATAGGCTTGGCACAACGCAAGATGAAAATACCCAAAACAGGTATATTTCTTTTATATTTTCCTTAATTTTATCTTTATAAGAAAAAGTTCAGTGTTCCAGTATAAGGAAAGTAACAATTTAAACTATATTTTAGAGTAGAAACATGGTTTTATATTGACTAGAAAGGGTGCATACATAGAATAAAGATAATACAAAATTTGATTGTAAACAGAATTGAAGCTTTGCTTCGCTGGCTGGAGGACTGCTCAAACTCATCCTGCAACCAGTATCAGTCTGGACTCAATCAGCACATGCACAACACACAGAACACCCCATCACCAGAGCATGTTCAGTGTGTAGCTGCCATACTGTGGAACAGTGCACAGCTTCCGGTCATGTATCCTCTTTCCAGACTTATCACTGTTGATTTCATTAGGTAATATTGAAACAAATAAGATATATTATATAGCTATATTTTTTCTACTCTGTAAGTGTATGAAAGAAACTTCGTTTTAATAAACTATGCACTTATAATAAAATTTAAAACATGATTTGGCATTTCAACAACAAGAAAAAAAAAAACAAATAAAGAGGTTTAAACTAAATAATATAGATCATTTAAAAATTAACTTTTACCACTCAAATTTGGTTGAATAATATATGAAGTAGATATAGGCTTTGTGGAGATAGCAGTTTTTAAATGTTGTCAGCAGACCTCAAGCATAATTTTATTCTTGGTAGGTCCCAATATGAATGGTCAAGAATCCTTCCAGACAGCAACCTGCGTCAGGCAGTGAACAATGTCCTGTGCTCCGCTTGTCACATTTGTCCCAATGGATTTATGCACATCCAGGAGTGGATGGGGATCGTTGGACCTGATGGGGCACACATTAGAGCTCCAGCCATGGATGAAGATGGTCAAGAGAATGTTGAACCGAGGGAGGACATGAGGGCAGGAAGAATGACAGATGATTCTAAAGAAGCCACAAAAAGACCCACGGCCACTGCCACAACATACAGCACAGATGGAATGACGGATGATTCAAAAGAGGTTTGATTTTAAATAAATGATTTGGTACTACTGTAAAATGTCTAGTGTATCATGCACCTTCTTGGCAAGTTCTGCACACTAAAATATGTTAGTGGATTATATACTTAGACACGTAAAAGTTTACATTTTTCTAATGGTCAGAAATGTATCCAAAGTTGATGATTTTGTAATTTTAGATGATTAACATAATTATATATTTAAATTAAAAAATAGGTTGTTAATTATCAGGGCTCATCCATCTGTTTATAAGCACTAAATTGGACAGTCATATATTACTGTACCCTAGGCTTGTCGTTTGGAAAGTTTGAACACCATGAACCTAAATGAGAGCAAGTTGATGCTTCTGGCCACCGTGTGCATGTCCCCGCAGGCCACCAGAAGGCTGATGAACTGTGGGCTCCCCGCCATGTTGGCACAAGCCGTGTGTGAGTTTTGTAACCAGCAGATGGTGTTGGCTGTAACAAGAGGTCAGCTGTCTGAGAGTCCAGACAGTGGCCTGAATCCAGATGACAATTGTGGTAAGTTGGTACGCTACTCTAGGATTAGTGCATGCTAAGATTTCTAGCTTAATACCTCTGCAATGTTGTTGTTTTTTTACATTTAAAAAAAAAACTAACAATAATCACTGCCTTATTTTTATAGTTTCTGCTAATTGTATATATTATCAGATAGGAAATGGTAAGAGAAAACTTAAAATGTAAAAAAGTTTATGTTACTAGCTAAGCTTAATTTTGTGGTGGATAGCATTCATAGATGTGTATATTTCGTAGAGTCCCCAATAACGGCAAATTTGGTTTGTGCTGTGCTGAGATTTTTCACCGAGATCAGTTCAGAAATGGAACTTAAAAACTGGCTTGGCCAAGCTGAGGGTAATGCTTTTTGGTCTCTACTTCTGACTTTGCTGTGTGGTAGCCAATACCAGTCTCCAGTTCTACTCACATTGTCAAATCAGGAGACAACTGGGGTAATTAATTTAACTTAAATATTTAACTGACATTTCCCTTACATTAAAAAAGTGGTGTAAATTAACATTTTTTGTGACATTGTTAAAGTGGGGTAAAATTGAACCAACCTAGTTATTATTTTGACTGTTTCCTTTTTCATGTAGAAAAATCTTGTAATTTCAATCAATAAATGTGTATTCCAGCTCCTGACTGCCGATGAGAGATCAGAGCTAGAAAATAAAACCATTCAGTTCTTTTCTTCTGTGATATCCTTTCACCCTGAAAATCAGCTGTTGTTTGCCAAAGTCTTATGTGATGTCATCAAGGATCAAGGCACTACCAAAACAGGTCAGAGATTCACTTCATCACTTTGAAAAAAGTTAACTCTTTTAAGTTTAACATAAAATGTATATATACATATATATGCTCTTTTTAAACTATGGTAAAGGACCCAATGCAATAATTCACCTACAGAATAAATTTGTTTTTATTTTGATTTGTGTTATTAAATTTCATTTTTATAAAAAAAATTCCTATTCATTTCACTTTAAATTAATTCAAAACTTGTTCGAATTTAACAAAATTACAAAATTATGAGGTATAAGGGCATGTGGGAGTTGTTTATTTGATGAATTGGATCTATTAATAATACTATTTAGGAGCAAAGCTGAATATTATTGTGACCACTCTTTTTTTTCCATGATTGGTTCCTATGATAACAAAATCAAGGCTATTAATTTTTCAGTTATTGGTCATTTTTGTGTGTGCACTATTAATTTCTTTCATGCACTGAAACATAAGTTAGTTCAAATCCAGATAATAGCTCTCGAAAGGACTGAACTGTTTTATGAAAAAATACAACTTTATGCTTCTGTTTGAAAATAAATTATTCTGAACTTAATTTGTTCTTGATATAAACGCACGTACGTTCATTCTCTGCTAATATTGATATTTTAAACTTCAAGGTTATTATCATATAAGAGCAGTAAATTTGTAGGAACGAATGGTTTTCAAAGATTAATAATTTGCAGAATTGCTCAGTGCAATGCCATTGTCTGGATTTATGCGGCGTCTCTTACTCCAAGTCCTATTGGAAGATGAAAAAATTATAGTGTCTGTGCGTAATGCAAGCAGCAGTGTGCCATCAGATGATGATGACGGTATCAACAACGACTGCGCTGAAAGCTTTCCACTAGCCAGCTGTGGTGGACAAATATTCCATCCTCGCTATGGTAGTGGTCGCAGCTGTCAGTGTATTACAATGAACCTTAATGCAAAATGCTCAGACGTCATATCTAAAGTTGCAGGTGAGAGGAAATATCTGATGATCAATAGAATGCAAATATTTTAATTTATTATTTCTGGGATAATTATAAGCTATGGGTAGTGAAAATCCTGTAAGTTACTTAATACACAACTATAAATTTATCATATCTAAACATAGAAGCTTTGCAGCGACTGTTGATTAATGTGAAGATTGTATAGTTTTCCTAACAACAAAATTTTTTGCCACACTCTAGATCCATTACCTCTTCCAAGCTGTTGGCCAGAAAAGAAAGAAGAGAAGAAGCTGCGCAGTGATGAGAGCACCAAGAAAGAAGCACTGGGTGAGCTTGATGTGGAAATTATGGAGTTTTTCACACAGTCGGCCGGTGAGCCATCACAGCCATTAGAAATATATAATGGCACACTTGGAACATCTTTTCTGTCATGGATAGAAATTTTTTGCACACAAATGAAAATTGTTTCCCTTCTCCCTATCCGAGATAATCATTGAATTGTTTCACTACCAGCACCCAGCTAAATAGTACACCCACTATTTTTAAAATTGATTTTCATTCTATTGCTTTGTGCATAACATTGAATTTAAAAATTGCAATTTAAAAATCTTCTGAAATATAGATAATTATCTAAAGATTTTTCATGTCTGTTAGCTGTTGCTCAATGTAGATTATTAATTTAATGTGTAACATTTCTTAATTTTGTCAGCTATTGCTAAAGAAAAACGAGAAAAGAGTCCATCCTCTAAAAGTACACTACCTCCGAGGCCACCAACAAGAAGAGGAAGGCACACCAATGATTCGCTCCTAGAATCTGGAAGTTTCCGAATACCCCAGGCACTTTTTAGAGCGAGACTACGGTACATAGCCATACCAGGTAAAAGCTACCTTTTTGTTGTTTTTTTTTTAATACTCTGTCATGGGAAAAGGCCTTTAAGAATTATGGTGTATGTTTTATTCTCTTATTGATATCACCATATGTTTTGTGTATCCTCATTGCATCCTAAAATATGATTTAAGCATTGATTTATCCATGTTTTTTTCCCCAGGGAGAGACTTGCCTCACAGTTTGACGTTGTCCCAACTTCTCCATGTACTGTCTGATTATGCACTGCTTCCCTCCACCCTTGCTCTGCAGTTTGTGGTCAGACTCAGATCCCCTGGTCCCAGTTCATTCAAAGGTACATGAGAACCTGCATTATTCGGAGATAATTTTTCTTATTGGATTGAGTTATTAGAGTTCTGCAAATGTGGCAATGATTTATCTTTTTAAAATCTATTTGAAGGTAATTAATGTCAGTCACTCTTCATGTTAGTGAACTTGCCCAATAATGCACCCACAATATTCCCATCTAACATGCTCTGATTTCTCTCATGTTTATAGATGGTCTTGATGAAAGTATAGCTTCTGATGAGGCTTTGATGTCATCTCCTCCATTTCCCTCTGCATTAAAGGTAAAAACTACAAAAACTCTGCTACTAACAAACTCAGTTTTGTTTAAAGAGCAATGGAAATGAAAGAAATGATCATATTATGGCTTGCAAATATGGGCCCATTTTTTAGGAACATTGATTTGAAATTTTGCAAGGATAAACAATAAACCAAAATTATACACACATTTTTTTGTTCTACAGTTTATGCTTTATTCATTAATAAGGTTAAATATTTTATTTTATTTTAAAGAACAACTTACAAACCTTGTTAGTTCTTGATTTATTATACCACAGACCTAATAAATGTTAAATTACCTAAAAAAAATGGAGTGAGCTGTAACATTAATGACTTGATAATGATGGGAATTTAATGTTGCTAACTGTTAATAGTATTTATGTTCGTCTGTCCTGTCTTCTAAAGGTATTTGCCAATGTTGGTGGCTTGGCTCTCCTGGCCCAGCACCTGCCCCTCCTGTTCCCAGAGATTTCCAGGCAGAGTGCCAACATTGAAGTTGTGTCCGACAACAACAACATAAATGACATTGGTCATGACTGGGTCACTGTGGAGTCCTCTGATGAGCTCTATGATGTCAGTAGTCAAAGCAATTTAGTATTTATACATTAAAATATGAATTTAAATTAAAAAATAGGCACATTGATATAATTGTAAAGCCAAGCTGTAATACTTTGCCTCATTGTTTTGTTTCTTAAATGATGAGCAGAACATTTTTAAGAAGTCTTGTGAAATGTAAGATTTCAATCATGTCACGGTGGTATTGCAAAATATTAAAAGGCTTTGTTTTATAAAATAAAAATTCATAGTTGGGACTTATTTAAACAATGCCCCTTTGTTATCTGAATTACTTACTGGAAAAGCTTTAAAGAAATATAAAGCTTGTTGTACATCTGCATGAACAGGATTGTTCTCTTTCTTTGTTTTAAGCCATATCTAGAGCCCATCACACCACCCCACACATGCAAACCCAACAAACACTCGATGGTGGGGACAGTGCCCTCTATACCTCCACATTCCCTCATTGCCTTTGGCCTGTTTCTGAGACTTCCTGGCTATGCTGAAGTGTTGCTCAAAGAGAGGAAAGTGGCTCAGTGTTTGCTGAGACTGGTGCTAGGAGTGACAGATGATGGAGATGGAGGTAAGAATAGGATGTGGTTGCAATGTATCGGTCTACCCAAGTTCAAAACATATCAAAAGATTCTATTAATTTTTGTATCCCAACTGATGGGACTTATAGGAAGCTCATTATGGATTTTGTTTATTTGTTTACAAAGTAGAATTTATTGAAGATTCCAGATTAGATCAGGCATAATTTGAGAAATGCATCAAAACATTGTAATTGTGCCTGCATTTTTTTATATCATTAACTTTCTTTCTTTAAAAATAGATTGTTAAATGTATTTTTTAAAATGGATCCATAAAACATTTTGAAATTGATTTGATTTTGAAACTTTCAGGTCAGATTTTGTCCTCACCTATTGCTAATTCACTGCCCACAATGCCTTTCACTGTGCTGAAGAGCCTGTTTGACACCTCGCCCTTAACAACAGACGACGGTGTTTTGTTGCGACGAATGGCCTTAGATATTGGAGTTATTCACCTTGTTTTGGCATGTCTTGCAACTCTTAGTCACCACAAACCTCGGGCTCCGCTGACAAGTTTTCAACATGAGGTGATTTTTTCAGCTTTGATTTATAGCTTTCAAAAAAATTCTGTACTGTTATTGAGATTATTCTTCACAAGGTTTCAGAACCTTAATAAAAATACATTTATTTTCCTCTATATCATTGTACAGTGAAATCTTTAAAAAAAAGATTTTAAAAAAGATTGCTGCTTTTAAGAAAAAACTGAAGTTTTTTAATTCTTGTCTAGACTCAGCTTATCCTGTCAGCAATGCAGTCATCCTCTGCCATGGCATCACTGAGCCAACCAGAAGAAAAGGCTCAGCAACACTATTGGGCTAAAGGCACTGGCTTTGGAACTGGCTCAACGACCTCCAGTTGGGATGCTGAACAGGCAATGTTACGACAGAAAGGAGAAGAGGAACATGTTGCCTGCTTGCTACAGGTGAAATATGTCACATTATAGATTTTAGAAATAAAAGTTCATTGCATGTGGAGTTTGTTTCCTTTGATTAGAAAAATCAGGTTAATCTGGAATTGAATATTTTAAAACGTTAATACATAACGTAATTAAAATAATTTAGGTTAAATGCTATCCATAGCACTCACTGATTAGGATATTACTTTGCTCAGGTGTTGGCCAGCTATATGAACCCCAATGGAAGTGTGAAGACTTCATCTGAATCCACTTCACCTACACCCCCTGACACAGAAAGGGATCTCATCCCAGACACATTGGCAGATCTCTTGTCCCAATCCTGCCTTGTCCCTGCACTGTCCTCGTATCTCCGTAATGACTCGGTCCTAGACATGGCTCGCCATGTGCCCCTATACCGTGCCCTGCTACAGTTGCTGAGAGGCATCACAGTCAACCCCAGCCTTGTCCCCATTCTCCTACCCATGGATGAAGAGAGACAGAGACAGGGGAAGAACAGTGTGGAGTCCCATGCATCGATTGAAACACTACTAGAGAAGATGAAAGGTTGTGTGGACACATATGCAAGTAGACTCAAGTAAGTTGCTCATCTCATGCATTGAGAATAATTCATGTAAGTAAACCTAGAAATATTTATTTTGTAAAATTTGACTAAGGTGTTGAGAGTTATATTTTAAATTAATGAAAATAACTGCAAGTTTTATGAATTAATTTAATGCTGGAAATGAGCCAAAGTAGGGGAAATTATGAATATAAAGGACGCAAAAAAACACGAAATCGTCGTCAAGAAGCCTTCTTCAGAGAACAAACAACCGTAAAAACAATATAAAAGAAAAAGAAACAGCTGCAATGTAGTATCCAAGAGGACAGCAAGAGGAAACTGCTCATTGTTTCGCTCATTTCCTTTTACCTCACCTGATCGCAGTCTCTCCCCCTTATTACCATAACTTAATGCTGCAAGCAATATTACCATAACTTAATGCTGCAAGCAATATTACCATAACTTAATGCTGCAAGCAATATTACCATAACTTAATGCTGCAAGCAATATTACCATAACTTAATGCTGCACGCAATATTACCATAACTTAATGCTGCACGCAATATTACCATAACTTAATGCTGCAAGCAATATTACCATAACTTAATGCTGCAAGCAATATTACCATAACTTAATGCTGCAAGCAATATTACCATAACTTATGCTGCACGCAATATTACCATAACTTAATGCTGCATGCAAAGGCATTTGGTAAACTTGTAATTTGAAGTAGGAATTAGGAGGGATTTTAAAACTTCCATTATTTTTTAAATTTATGCAGTTATGTTAAATTATTGTTTCAATTTTTTCACTTCAATAAATGTTTCTTTTTACTATAAGATCCAACAAAGGGAAATCTGGAAACAAGATGGAGGATGAGGAAAGTGAAGGCTTAGCACTGCTTATACCAGACATACAGGAAACAGCAAAACTAGTGCGAGTAGCCACGCAAAGGCTGAAAGAGAGCACAGGTAACAAATGTACATGGCATTCTGACTGTAGCTATAGAAGCTACTCAAATAATGAAGGATATCAGAGACAAACATATTTTTGTTTATCAGAAATGCAGACTTTTTAAAATAAATTTTTAGAATGCACAAAATGCCTATCAATTATTATTTTTTATGCTAGTCTTGCCAGTCAGTTTAAAGCAGCAGTTCTCAACCTGTGGGTCGTGACCCTTTCGTATCAACGAAAATAATTTTGTGGTTGGGGGTCGCCACAACATGAGTAACTGTATTAAAGGGTTGCAGCATCAGAAAGGTTGAGAACCACTGGTTTAAAGGCTCTTTAATCATGCAATAATATTGTTACAGAAAAGCCAGAAAGTTGTAGACAAACAACTCGAGAAGTCAACAACACAAGGCCACGTAAGACTTTGGAGGATCTCTACATTGGTATCATGAAAGTGCTCCAGTTTGACACCTATGAGATGGTCACAGAGGAGGGAAGGAATTTGAAATTTAATGTGTCCCACCACTACGAGTCTAATGTCAAGGCCACTGGCACTGTCACCAATATAGCAAGGACTCGGAGATTAGCTCAGGAGGCTGTGACATTGTCCACTTCTCTTCCCCTTGCTTTCAGCTCCAGTGTCTTTGTACGTTGTGATGAAGAGAGATTGGATGTTATTAAGGTTTGTGGTTAAATATCAGTTGTTTTTTTTGTTTTTTTTTTTATGTAATTGAGTACTTCCTGTTAAAATGTCAGGTATTCTAATTATTATTGCATGTTTTGTTATAGGCTCCATTTAAGTTGAATCCAAATCTAATGACTTGCCTGTAATTGTCCTATATTTCTTCAGGTTCTGATAACTGGGCCATCAGATACACCATATGCCAATGGATGTTTTGAGTTTGATGTTTTCTTCCCACAAGACTACCCTAATACTCCACCATTCATTAATATGGAAACAACGGGCAATCATTCTGTCAGGTTCAACCCAAATTTATATAATGATGGCAAGGTAAATGTGCACAATTTTTTATGAATATATAACCCTGAAACTAAACTGTTTAAAATGACTCAATTTCATGTTCAATCTTACGATTTTGGCGTACAATTTACAATTTTGAGATGTCTTTTATGATTGTACGCCAAGACCTGTCAGAACTACGAATTTTAAGAGACCGGGTTGAAAATATATACATTGCAGTATTTTTTTGTGTTGATAAATAAATAATAATTTACAAGTACTTTTGGGTTGTTAGTTTTGAATTGCATTTGCATTCTACATCCAGCAATGAAGGGATTGAGAAATACGATTGGTTGGGGACCATCTATAATTATATTATGTTTGCCCTGAAGTGATGTTGCATTTGGAGATTTTTTTGGGGGGGGGGGGGAGGTGTCTAAATAATTAGGTCTATACAATTAACACCACCACCTTTTTGTAATGATAGTTGTGTGGTGGGGTGTGTCCTCGGCAGAAAGTATGTACTTTATTCAAAAATACTACAATATTCATTCTGAAAGTCAAAAAAAATAATGCTTTGAAAATATCACGTAATGTTTCGTAGGAATTATCATCATAATGTTGCCATGTATTTTCAAAAATGAACTTGCTAGATATCGCTTAGATAATTCTCAGTAGTAGAGGTATTAACAGTAATATTTAGTCCACCATATGTTCAACGTGTATGTGACGTATATTTTGTTGGGCTACACCAGTGGTTCCTAAAACTTTTTGATATCAAGCGCCAAAATTTAGGTTTTCAACAGGCTCCCTTTCTTCTACTCTTCGAAATAACGAATACATAAACAAAATAAAATAATGGGTTGGTAAAAATTAATATAACAGTTCACTAAGCGGCATCTAGCAACTGCAAACAGTTAATCTAGTGGGCTACTGTTTGCACCACGACCGATAGATGTCACATTGGATTAAAAATGGAAACAAAATCATGAAAATTGTGTAATATTTCGCAACGCTAGAAGATGCAGCAACCCATATAGAAAAAAGTGCAAGAAAAAACAAAAAAATGTTTGATTAGACAAAACCTGATCTATTGGTACTGATCTCCTGTCTGGTATGCTCAGTGGTCTTCTCTGATGCACGTTGCTGGCTCTTAATCTGATATTTGTGCACCCAGCTGGGAACGAACATTGGAGACGACAAATTTACCCCCGGCTGACTTAACATTGCTAATTTGCATCCAGCATGAATATCATGCCACAATGAAACATCCTCATTATGTTTCTGACCACCTGGAAAATGGCAAAGTCCCACCGCCATTTCCAAAGTGCACACTGAACATATCAGACCCAAGACCGTTACCTGTAAACCAGCTTTTGACTCAACATATGTTTTTATATACTTTCCGGCATGAGATAGGGTACCAAACTGGCCCTCTCATCACTTTTGACCGACTGATAATTCTGCAAAGCCCGAACATGTCCCAACTCATGAGGGTCTGACTTCAGGGTCCCTCCAAAGCAGTCCACTATTATCGGAGTTTGCTCCAGACCATTCTGATCCAAAAAGCCAGGAAAAGTGAAAATTCATAGAAAAAGTGGACAAACTGGTTTCCGGCTTCCAGGTTGGGTTAGAAAAACAAAATTAAATTCTGTCAACCGGTTGGCTCCTGAGCACACCAGTTCAACTGGTCAAGTGATCCGAAAATCGATCTGGTAACTTTGGCTATTTCAGGGTGCCAAATATGGTCTCAGCACCTCTTTCGGTTATGGCATGGCACATGCTTAGTTAGGTGCATAGACATAAAATTAATTTGATTACACTTCTGTGTAGTCACTTGTCTGTGTGTTCTCTTGCCCATGGGTTCACGTGTCATATGTGTTCGGATGTCTTGTGGTCAGTTGTCATTGGTTCATTTGTTGTGCGTTCAGTTGCATGGGAACACAAAAAGATTTTTTACACTCTAAAACCCCTACTTTGAAGTACCACATGTAATGAGATAAAGTTAGGGTAAAAAATGCAATTTAAAAGTAATTAACTAATTATAAGAGTGTTGGACTGTGAAAAAGCTTTACAGTAGATTAATTAGATACAAAGGATTTGTGTAAATCTTTAATAACCATCACACAGAGTACAAATTTAAATGTTTCGGCAAATGCCTTCATCAGTACAAAAAACAGTACTGATGAAGGCATTTGCTGAAATGTTTACATTTGTAAGATGATAATTAAAGCTGAATGTATATTGTTTTATTTACACAAATTGTTTGTGTCTAATCAACTTAAAACTGGGGGTTCGAATTATAAACACATGTAATAAATTTTTTAATTATGCAATGAAATCTTCTTGGCCCACTCACATTCGGCAACCAAGCACACATATCTGTGCATTACACCAGTAATGTAAGTAGCTCCCCTTTTGCAGGATATTAACATAGTTGTATAGGTATGATCTCAGTTCATTTTAAATATTATAAGAATTTAACAGATTTTGACATTTTTCATATAAATAAATATATATTTCTTTAATATGTATTAAATTACATATTACATGCAACAAAAGTGACAGATTGTGGTAATATATGGTAAGTCTTTGATTAATCTTGGGATATGCTTTTGTTTATCTTTGCAGGTGTGTCTCAGTGTGTTGAACACATGGCACGGACGACCTGAAGAAAAATGGAATGCTCAAACTTCAAGTTTTCTCCAAGTAAGCAACAAAATAAGTTCACTGTGTGTAACATTCAAATTATTATGGAAGTTTTACTATGAATATCTTGCCAGGAAGCCTTCTTCTCTTTATGTGTCGAAATTATTTTTTTAAAGGAATTTTCATTCATTTTGTCTTGGGGGTTGAGCTAGTTGTTCACTATAGTCACTAAACACATCACAGACGAGCATTATATGTGTGGTGTTACCTAGTTACACAGACAATAGTTCCACTGAACCTCACCTTCTCAGTACGTGGCCCTCAGCTCACTGTTTCGGGTACCTAGGAACAGTGATGATAGGTCAGATACCTCTAAGAATCTATAGAAGTAACTTTATGTCCGACAATCTGAGTCACCACCCTGTGTTGCTGGTGCTTAAGTTTCCACCAAGGTTCTGGCAAAGCTTACTTGCGTTGTTCCTGCTTACTAACCATTAGCCCAGTCTTCCCTGAAGGGTCTTCTAGCAATGTTCCGATGAATGGAAATAATTTAATGGGGATCATCTACATGAATGCTCAATGATATTAAAAAATGCACATTTTAATGAAAAACAATTTTTGTGTAAAAAAAAAAAAAAAGAAAATAGCAATGTTCCACACTGCAATATAAAAAGTTAGTAAAGATTTCTATTTTCAAAAAAAAATCCCTTTTTATAAATGTTTTCATTATTTTATTTTAGTGTTATATTTATTAATTTTCCAACTATAGGTTCTAGTCTCCATCCAATCTCTGATTCTGGTGAGTGAACCTTACTTCAATGAGCCAGGCTATGAGAGGTCACGTGGTACTCCATCAGGTGCTGCCAGCTCACATGAATATGATGCCAATATCCGACAAGCAACTGTTAAATGGGCTATGTTGGAACAACTTAAGAACCCTTCATCATGTTTCAAAGAGGTATTTAGACTTACAACGATAAAGAAATTTTAAGTTTCGGAAAGCTGCTTTTTTCATCATTACACAATAAATTTGTGAGTTTTATGCTGCTAAAGGGTCTTCTTCTTCTTCTATATCTTAAGGGCCCACGATCAATTTATAATCTTTGTAATAGGTCTGTGAACATGTAGTGTTTTTTCAAACATTTGACGCCTCATTTGTTAAAATTGAAATGCTTCTTTTGCAATATTTGATGCTATTTTTGCAAAGTTCCTCTAAAGGCACTTTTTGTATGCGACAGTGCTTGTCACAAGGGTGTTGGCATGGCAACCAGTGTAGAAAATGCAGAGTCTATCCTTTAATTTAGTGTCCATTTATTTATTTTAATTCATCTGCATTGCTAAAATAAATTTATTCTCTTTTTAATGAGTGTTTTCCAATGTATTTGATCAGATTATCCACACCCATTTCTGGCTGAAACGTCATGAGGTGCTCCAGCAGTGTGAGAAGTGGATCGCTGAAATGGAAGGTTACAGCAACGACAAACGCACAGGAAGGTCCATAGCTCAGAGTACACTAGCACTGAAGGTATCTAGGAGTGCAAACATCTTATGATGGATTCATTTTTTGTTTCTTTTCCTTTTTAAGTCTTGAGCTCTATTGAAAATCATGTATTTTATGATGTTTTCAGACTTAATATATTTGTATATATACATTGAAGGGTAAGATATGTAATACACTTGTATATATATATATATATCGAATGGTAAGACACATAATATACTTGTATTTATATTGAGTTGTAAGATACGTTTGTTGAAAAGATATTGGAGGATCAAATTGAAATATGTATCTAAGACAATTTTTATTTTCATACAGATAAACTTCTCTTAACACTACTGAACTTGTTATACATAATACATAAACTTAAATTAGCTGTCAAAACAGTGGCTTTGGAATCTAACTTATCCACAATATTTATCTTTAAACACATCGTAAATAGTTTAGTACAGGGCTCTCAAACTCAAATTATCCGGGGGCCGCAGAAGGTAGAGTCTGAGTGAGACTGGGCCGCATCAAGTATTCCACAAAAAAAGCGATTACAAATTCAATATATGCAACTGTTAAAATCTGCTCAATCTTTATTAATAAAAAATAAAAACATTAAAGGTTCTCAAAAACTAGGCTTCACTTACTTCCTCCTATTCCTTGTAGCCCGAGGCTTCTTTTTACACAGCTGAGCATTTGGCTTGAGTGAGGAGGCATCCGAGACCCTCAGTATAGCGTGAAGATGCTCATCAGTAAGTTTGGCCCTGAACTTTGACTTGTTAAATTCAAAGTGGAAAATAGCTGTTCTCACAGATAGGTACACCCAAAAGGGCACATGATCCGCTTGAACAACCTGGAAATCTCAGGGAAGGTGGAGGGCAATTCTCTCATAAATTGTCCAAGCTTGTTTGTTTTTCCATTCACCATCCTGAACTTAGCCTTGAGCTCAGAATTGCACTGAAGATCTATCCGCACCATTTGAAGCGCAAAAGTGGGGCATTTTCACATTGAACAAGAAAGGGTCAGCAAAAATTTGAAATGGGGCTCTGTGTGTTTTGAAGTCTGCGAACCTGTGAGCCTTATCATAGAAAAGGCCTTTTTGAATATCCCTATTTTGAAAGTGACCAAGCTGACAGGCTCTGAATTTCCATCACGCGTCACTCATACACACAAGAGGTAATTTTAATAGAGATTCTTTGATACTGTGTCGGATTCTATGGTTTAACACAATTATGATTGTGCATTACCCACTAACTGACTTTTTAAAACTTTGATATTTATATATTCAATATTCGAAGCATGTTTTTTTCAAAACCGCACTTTGGCAATGCTTGTCTCATTAAATGCTATAAAATAAAAACGTTTAGTCTAATTTTAAAATGGTTTTTACCATTATAATCAACCTCCAAACCTATACAAACAAAATAAAAATCAGAATTATATTAGTCTGACATTAGACTGAAGCCGTTGCAGAGGATCACCTTGTAGTTTTGAGAATTAGGAAAACACGCTGGCTGCATTAACACTAAACTTTGCTGTCAGGTATTGGGCGCAAAATATCGTCTTTTGGGCCGCAAATGGCCAGCGGGCCGCGAGTTTGAGACCTCTGGTTTAGCACATTATATTATAGACAATAGTAAATGAAAGAAACATGAAAGATTTTCTGATACAATGTTGTGTCTGTTACACTTACAGTTGAATGTATGTATTTATTTTCCTTAATTTCAGCGCCATTACAATCAACTTAGAGAAGAATTAGCCAAGTTAAAACCACCACCTAACCTGGAAGCTGAAGAACTGGAAAGCACCAAGATTGACCCTGAGGCCAAGCAGTACTCAACTGGATCAGTGTCAGAACAAGCTGAAATGTCAACAAACTTGGGCGAAGCTGCTGTAGATGCCATTGACCCATTCTTTCTCTTTTCATCCCCTGGGCAACACATGGGGGACGATGATATCAACACTTTTACAGACCCAGATTGTTAACATGTTACACATTCAGCTTTGATATTCACTTGGCATGTGTTCCCCTGGACATCTTAACATACGTGATGATCCTCTCATGATAGACATGATTTATTTCCAACTAATGTACAAATATGGAGTGTCACAAGACGCAACATAAATATTTCAAATAGTAAGTGGAAAAAGGAAAATGACATTGAAATCAAGAACCCCATAAGTTTCCTTGGTACACTAAATAGTAGCCAGGTAAATGGTTGTGCCAAATAAAATTGCTTTTATTCTTGATTCATACAATGGCAGATTTATTCAATGACCATAATTTTGTTTACTAAGCATGTGATGACATTGTGCTCTTGTTACAATGATCTAGTCAATTCAGCTTAGTCCTCATTTGGATTTATGTTCATGATATTCATTGGGGGCAAATATAATTTTCAATATTAACAAGGCTAAAATGTACAGAGCCACAGTAGTGATCATTGATACTCAGCTGATCCAATAACAACAGACAATGATCAAAGTAAACAGATTGTAACAAATCCATCAGAGCCAACTGTTATAAGAACCTGGATATGGCAACTGGACAAAGCTAACTTGCTAAATAGTAACACAACTTTTGAGTTGAAGTCATCCTGAGAACGATTGCTCCTGTTTCACACAACCAAGTTATAAATGTACAAAAAAGATTGTCTTCTTTTAACCAGCGGTCTGATGGTCTTCATGGTGGGGTTAGAACTAAAAAATGGGTTTGTTTTACTGTCAGTTCACCATTCTCAATAAATCCCCTTGATGTTTTTTATTTCTCCTCGAAAACAACCATTGAAAATATCACAAAGCTTTGGATTCATTCTTGCATTCATCAAATGCTATTATGTATTCCAAATGTCTGCTTTTATGTATTCCAAATGTCAGTTATCTCTTAAAGAGGCAACTACTGTTTCTTAAACCAGTGTTTTTACTCCATAGAGCAGATGTCGAGTGTCAACTTTACCCAAGGGGATAAAATTGGAAATTATTCATGGCTGTAGCTCACAGTTAATTTAACAATTAAGAGCTTTCATACTATTGACTTAATCTGTGTGACAGTCCTAACCCAATTTGTCAAATTTTATTTTGACATCCAACAGTGCCAGATTCTGTTGTCTTGACAATTCTGTTCAGTCCTGGCACTGTTAAAACATGGCTATACAAACTTGATGCCGTAGTGATGTATTTTAAAATCATCTTATTTTACTCTTTAAACACCTAAATACCACAAATCTGTTATCATCTCTGCACGTTATTTTAATTTGTTTGTGGGATAAAAAGCCTAAAAATTGACTTGTGTGACATGTTTGCATCAATTGTAAATTGTATGCAACAATAATTTTATCTATCAAATAGGAGATTAACCTTTGTGATTTTTAATAGACAGAAAATGTTTCTTTTATATTCTCTTTTGCTTGCATTAAACATGGAAACTATGACATACTTATGACTTGTACTGTTTGAAAAGATAATACAAATAAAATCCTGTACATATTAATTGTGTAAATTTTGTTTAAGTCTCTTGCAAAATACTCTTGTCTTAATATAATATAAATATATGTAAATTTCAATCTGATTAATGTTTATCTTGTATATTATACTTATTGAATTAGGTGATTGCGGATATTTGTAATTCATCAAACTTTAAAATGGATGTTGTTTATTTTGAGACCCATTGAGTTGGTTGAGAGTACATGCCTATTGATTACAATAGTTCTCAACTGATGAAAACTGAAGCCAGACAGCTTGACTGACCTTTGTAATTATTTGACATAGACATGTTTGGATTCAATCATGCATTATTAAAAGTAAGAGGGCAGTTATTTGTTTCACATGCTGACAGCTAACCCCATTGGTGTGATGTTGCTGTGAGATAAGGGCATGAGCAAGTTTGTGAGAATGAATTGACCTCATTGATATCTTCACCAAATGTTTTTATTTCATTAAAGCAATTTTAAAATCTCTTGAGGTGTTTATCATTTTTGGATATAAATGGAGATACACATCTGGATATATATATATATTTATATAAAGATAGTGGGTTATGTTTGTGGTTTGTACCTAAAGATGTTACTGAATTGTGGTTGTTTAAGGTCATCTGCAATGAATGTGATCTAGCCACTAAGTGCAGCTGCCAGATTAAATGTGACCCTGGGGTAAGGAGAAAGGAACTGATAGTGTTATTTTGAGTGTGATGACTTGGTGAATCCAAGTACACCTTGATAAATAAGATGAAAATAGGATGTAAGAAAAGGCCTTTATTAATTCTTGTAACAATAAAAAAATTACAATTCGTTATAAATCGATATTACCCGTATTTATTTAACCATTTAATTTTCAATCATTCTTCTCAAATTTAGGCATCTCAATGAGAAATAGATCATGAGTTTTTATTTTTCCTTCAAAATATAAATCTCCATTTTGTGGAGAAACGTTAGAGAAACCCATTTAATAAAGTAAAATAAAAAATCTATACATATAACATTCAATTAAAATAACCAATATCTTATTTGCTTGGATAAAAATGTTTAAAAAAGTGAACAATGTAAACAATAGACAGAAACAAAACTTCATTTAGGAATATAACCAAATTAACAATCACAAAATGAATCTGATGAAGAATTGAGCACTAGAGGCCAGGAACCCTCTTTCTATACAATCTAACAATAAAATTGGCATGGTAGGAACCAAAGTACATCACTCCATCAGCAATTTCTATTTCACTGATGCTAGAAGTTACAGCCCCTGTTTTATCTTGAAGACTACGGATGATAGTTCCATTTTGATCTAATTCTACGGCCATTGCTTTCGTGTCAGCAACAGTGATCAAACCATTCACTACCTGGAAACCTTTAATAGATGCAACCTGGGGAAATGTAAGAAACGGAAATCTTGTAGTGAACCTTCTAATTAATACTGGTTAAAAGGGGTAACCAAATGGGCTGGTTCAGAATGAGTTATTAATAGTTACATGACAGAAACTGATTTTTGTACAGGGCATGATTACAGTATATTCATTTTAACAATATAATTTTAAGTGTTTACAATAGTTTAATGTAATTGTATTTATAAGAATTAGCCCACTTAGAAGGTTATGCTCATTTGATAAGGTGAAAAATAAAGTTCCCCATAAGTGCAAATTTGTGTTCAATATGAGAGGAGTGTAAGATAAACTTCATATTTCTCAAAACAAATGGGATTCATACAAACAATGATAGAGAATTTGGTTTATATGTAAGTTTTATTATTATAAATTAGAAATAATTTATATCTCAAAGTTTTGAGCATTTATTGTAAGGGTTATGGTAGTGTATAAAATGAGATTGACATTCTTTACTATCACCTATGTTTTTCTGTTATCAATCAAGCAACTTTAATTTGTATAAGCAAAATCTTCTTATTCTTTTCCTTCATATTTGAGGTCCCATGATCAATTTATTGATCATTTTGGCTCCTGGTTTGAATTTCAGAGTTTACATACTCTTAGATGAGTTGCCGTCAAAGGCTAACATGTCCCATTCGCCTGTGGTGCTTTTTGATGGTGGCTTTGGTGGGGATTGAGCTCCAGACCACTAGCTTTTTGGTTTGAGTCAGTATAGACCACTCGGCCACCCAGGACCCGATGTATGTATTTTATCATATTCTGTTTTTACATTTCAAAGGCAAAGACGATTGAGGGGATGGGATGAACACATGAATATCAATAGCTTCAAACCTGATTATATCACAGATTTGAACTTCAGTATGGATTATAATTCAAAAATAAATAACCATATTCTTTAAATTAATACACACCACCATCATGGTAATGAGGAAACAAATCTCAAACTGTGCATGATGTAATGTTTTTGAATGTGCTTTGGGAAACCACTGCAATATTCACAATTAAGTAATGACATTGATCATAGATTTTTACATTGGTAGTAATATGGTTGGATGGTATAATGTTATATATGTAGCTTTTTTTTAAATTGCATCATTACCTTTGCAAGAATGCCTCTCAACCAAGGATTGTTATAGAGAAAATCTATAAATGAAGTTTTTCCTTTTTGCCTTACAAAAGCAATTCCTAGCCAGTAAGTTCCGGTTATCTTACTGTAACGAATGTTGTCTGGGGAACCTGGTAAATTGTCTGCCCAAACTGATAGAGCTTTTGTCTGCAGGTCATATCTGAGGATAACAAATTGAGTAAAATGAATGTAGTATGAATATAAAAGTTAGGTCAGGTCACTCCTGATAAGGGTTACCATGCGTCCAGGTATCCTTGAACATGTTCTCTTTTTTTAGGCCCTCGTCCAGTCAGCTTTCCAGAAATATGGCTTTTGTCCGCATTTTTCCACTGTTCATCCTTGAATGACACCTTCTTACTTACTTTCCTGTGTTGTATACCATTCTGTTTTGTGAAATAATCATGTGCACCAGCAATATTTAGCTCAAGGTAACCAGTGGAACTTCCGGTTCCGGAAGACATTTTTGTCAACATAATTGTAAAGCAAGTTCATGTTAATTGATTATTATTAATTTTTTTCAAGTTAAATAAAAAATATTCAATATTAAAAATGCCCAAAATTTTTAATTACATATGTGCTAAAAAAACAGGTTTTTGTGCAGGTTGACATGATTGGGAAGCTGAATGTTTGACATGACTGGGAAGCTGAATGTTTGACATGACTGGAAAACTGAATGTTGGACATGACTGGGAAGCTGAATGTTTGACATGATTGGGAAGCTGAATGTTGGACATGACTTGGAAGCTGAATGTTTGACATGATTGGGAAGCTGAATGTTGGACATGACTGGGAAGCTGAATGTTTGACATGATTGGGAAGCTGTATGTTTGACATGACTGGAAAACTGAATGTTTGACATGACTGGGAAGCTGAATGTTTGACATGACTGGAAAACTGAATGTTTGACATGACTGGGAAGCTGAATGTTTGACATGACTGGAAAACTGAATGTTGGACATGACTGGGAAGCTGAATGTTTGACATGATTGGGAAGCTGAATGTTTGACATGCAGCAGGGGAACTTATATATGAGTTGCAAATAAGGGCACACTGGATTTAAAATTTATTACTGTTGTAAGATGGCTAGTCACCCACCAAGTGGCCCGGCCTTGCCCCAAACAAATACTATAAATAATATGGAAATTTTAATAACAACTTGATATCAACAAAATTAATTTGTTTCAAGTTTAAAAAATCAACTTATTAATATTAAATTCAAAAAATAAAATACTTGCACTTGAAGAAATGATGAATTTATTGAATACGTGTCAAACTAAAATTAAAAATAGGGCACAAATTAACATTTAATTGAATTATACTTTAAAAAAAAAACTAATGAGATTTGTTGAAAATACAGGGCTTCTCAAAGTGTTGGTCCATTGACCACCTAAATTACTAAAGTCCAGAATGCTTGTCTGAAAAAGTTAAAAATTTAATAATATTAAAACAAGAGGAATCACAATTTTTAGAACTGGTTGCTGCTGCAATGTGAATTCCTATCAGTTTGACACCATGAGTCATGTTGAAAACTCTGTTTTCATTAGATTGATGTTTTTATTATTATACATCCTGTGCTATATGCAAGACTCGTGTTCAGATGTACAATCACTAGACAATGGTTGAAAACTTTATCACAAAATCTTCTGATTCATATGTAACAGGAGACCTACTTCATTATCCTGAATCTGCAAGTTTCAGTCACTAGCACAGCACTTTTGTCCTTGGTCAGTTGGACACCATTAGCAAATATGAGTCCATCAAACAACTGGGTTGTCTTTCCTGTCTCTGGGTCATACATCAACAGTCTGAAATAAAAATAAAACTTGTGCAATTTCAATCAACATATAAATATCAATGTTGACTAGTTTTGATTCATTAAATAAATATGTGATTTGATAACAGTCTTCAGAAAAAACTAAACACTTGACATTACATAAAACAAAATTGACATTTTTTCCAGTCATCTAGTGGCTCTCAAGTTATTTGTCTCAATGAGGCAGTAAAATGGCTAACATCCTTCATCAGATCACTGTTAGTTCTGGGAGGACCTCTTGCTCTTGTGGAGAGATGCATTCAAAGGATTGGCCATGGTCTGCAGGACTAAATCTACATATTATATTTAATTTTAAGATTTAAGTCATTTACTTAAAATCTTGTAAAAAAGGAAACTAATGTATATTATAAATACATTTTATGTTAATATTAAAATATCTCAGCAAGAAAGGTAGATTTTATATAAATTAAAGAATATAGAAATAAATCATTAAGCCATTGTTAATTACCTGCCATCATCAGAGCCCTCTAATAGTATAAGAGGAAATTTATTCCTGTTCCACCTTGTGCTGGAATCTGTAAAATATATTTTTCCATCTGGTCCAATATCTAAGTCATTGACAAGCTTGGCTTGTTTTCCATTGATTGGTGTGGATGAGGAATACAAAGTGGTGTATTCACCTGAAGAAAAAACGCAGATTCAAATATACTAGAGAGGATCAAATGTTAAAAGGATATTTATTAATTAAAGACATTAAGGTGTTCTGTATACTAGCATGTGTTGTAAGAGTGATAGTGATATCAAAAACAAGATCACTTGCCTGTGGCGACATTGACCTTAAACAAACCAAAGTAAGCATCAGCAACAATAAGGAAACCATTCTTGTCCATTCTCATTCCCAGAGGCCGGCCGCAGGTAACTTCATTCTCTATCCCACCTGTACATAAAATGAGGTAAAACCAAACTCTTAGAGGGAGTCAGTTACATCTTAAAGGCTTGTGGCAGGATTTAAAGACTCTGAGAAGTCCAATGATCAAACAGGTAGAAAAGCATACTTGAGAAATAAAAACAAAATTTTGTGTAAATTTTAGCCTTAATCTATATCCACAAATGCATTTTATCATTAAAAATTTAATATTTGAGGTGGATAAATTTAAAATAGAAACAAGCAGTTTAGATGAAAATAAAAACAATATACTACAATGTTTAAAAAAGAAATATAGTACTATATGTAATGCTTTCTTTACCTGTTGGCGAATATAAGCAAAACATGGTTATGATATGTCAATTTCAATGTCTTGAAATGTCAATTTTCTTACCACAAGGCCCTTTACCAAATCTAACAAGTTTCTGAACAACACCTTGGTGAATGTGGTTGACCCATCCATCACTTGTTCCAGTGTACAGATGATCTAAACAAAAATAAAGGATTACAGAATAATTTTCTCGTGATTCAAAGAAATTAGTTCAAAAATATTCTTATTTTTACCAAAGGAAATCATAGACATGAAAAAATTTACCAACCGCCATCAGCTAGAATGGACTCTGGTCCCACAAGTTGATCACGATATATTCTTTCAGCATTCAATAAAATATCATTTGGTTCCAATGGGCCAACAAATTCCGGAGCATCAGAGTATCTAAAAATCCATAGAACAATATATCTTTTAAGTACATGTTTTAATAAGGAGAATAATATATAACTATTTTAACTTCAATCAATGGTATAACCATATCATACTCTTCCCTCTGACATGCACGTGCATGGAACAACAAAACACAACAGCACTGGAACTATGAAGTACACAGTTCCAAGGAAGCATTTTTGTAGTTTTTTTCCCAAATGAGATGAATGACAATGACCACTGACTCTGACGTGAATTATTTAATATAGTATTAAATATTATGTACAAGTATTAAAGAAAGACAGAAAACAAAATCATTACTCTGTATGTTATGAATACATTTTCAGTGAAAATAGTGGGTGCTGCAGTTCCACAGTGCTAGACATAACCCGCGACTGGTCAATAGTTACCCTGTGATAGCCTGAGGCTCAATAGGACTGGGAAGTAAGATAAGCACTATCAAAGGCAGACTGATGCTCAGAACCAGTGCAATTAGAAAGTAATGAACCCACCTGTAAAGATATAAAACAAAGTTTTATTTAACAATACATATTATTTCTTGGTCTATTTTCTTTCATTTATATTTATATAGTGCTGTAACAATTTTTTTTAGTATAAGCATTTCTATCTTTTAGAACAAATAAACCTTCATGTAGCTTCTTTACACTTGTAGTTTATAGCTTGTTTTACCCCAGTTTCATTAAAGATATGGCTTTTGCCTTGTTTTACCCTCTAGAAGCCTTTTTTACAGCTTCACTCTCTGATAGTTGTTTTTTGGGTTGTTTTCTAGAAATGTCTGAAGCTTGTTTTTCAGGGCGCCTTTGTCTAGCTCCCTCTGATGGCATCTTTTATAGGCTATTAAATGTCAGCACTCACTTTCTTCAGTAATTTAGTACCACCTAGAAACATAATTGTTAGGAAAATACAATTAATGCTATTTTTCTTTCAAACTGTAAACCTACCCTACAATACCTGCATCTCCCTGACCCTGAATTTGAACTTACTCTCCCTGAGTTTTATTTTTATTTAAACCTTATTAAGCATGTAAACATTTTTGTGATTATTCCAATAAAGCAGTATTTTTTTCCCCCCCCCCCCCCCTTTTTTTTTTCTCACAATAACTACTAAATTTAGTAAATGATCACACAAAAGTAATAAAAAATGTGAACCCCTCCATCCTTGTTCAATAGCATTGATTGAAGAGAACTAGGTTTGAAGTCACAGTAAACTATTATTACAGATTGACTAAGTGGGTGAACTTACTATGTGAAAGCCAGTACGATAAATTTTAAGTAAGGAGTCTGCAAATGCAATAATAATACTTTTTTTTTTAGGACTTGCACTAATACGACCCGGCACTATGTAAATAATGACAATGACATGATTTATCACTGATTTAAATGCAGATGTCACTAACGTTCATAAGGAAAATATGTTGCAAAAGCACAGTTAATAATATGCATATTATTCGACAATGAATAAATAAGAGTATTTCTAGTAAATAAGTAGGTAAGGTATACTTAGACTAAACTACTACTACGTATGTGAATGTGAGTGAATGTGTTTTGACCTCATGACTTGTGGCGTCGGTGTGGCCAAGCGCCAAAGGTAAAGGATCAAAGTTCATAAAATACAGTTCGCCGCAAGTTTTTAATTTTCTAAAGAAATCGGTGTTTTTGAAATCTCTTTAAATTTTGGAAGGTAATTTTACAATTACAATATAATTATTGAGATCAAGATGGATACGACGCCTTAAATATTATTACTTACTAATAAAAAGGCGAAAGTATTTAATCTATAGTGCTGCATTGTGGGTATTGCTAAGGTAAACTAAGATGGCGCAAATTATTTACACTATTTAATCAGCATCATAATGATGATATAAATTCTATTGTTTTACCTACCGTGTGTTCATTTTCTATCCTGAGAATTGCTTAAAAATATATTGTTCCAAATGTTACTGCGTAAATTATTGATTCTTAACTTCTTAAAGTAATGCATACAGACAAGGCAAATCTTAACTTTGGTAGTAGTTTGTTGCCAAATTATAATTATAACCATAAGAATTAATAAGGTGCAATATATATATATTGTAGTAGTGTGGGGTAATGGTTCGTGGCTACTGGAGGGTGGAGTGTGGTGTACATGTGTGTGACACACTTTTAAAACCCTGCTTGCAACGCCAAAACTGTAGCCGAGTGGTGCAGACGACTTGGCTTATACTTATTACTGTTTTAATTAAATTTAATACAAAAAAACAAATGAAGAAATTCAGGTCTCAAGGGCTATAGCTTTATTATACTTATTGTAAACTCTAAGGAAGTAGCAAAAGAAACAGCTTAAGAAAAAGTCTACTATGTAGAAACAGCCCTAGAACAGGTTAACAATACCCTGACTAAAACATTGAACAACACAGCTAACAATAAACATGTTAAATAGCTAGGTAATCTAATTACAAGTGGCAACAAAATATACTTAACTAAGAATGGAGTATAAGTATACGTACATGTTATTTGTAATTCCAATGGCAATGAAAATTGTATTGTAATAATTTTACATTACTATAAAGGGAATCACGTGGCAGTGTTTAATTTGTAGCATGTACACCATCTAAAATTCAGAACCAGTGTGCGATGTGAGAGCTAATGATAAGGTCTAGAAATTACTGTGGAACTGCCATCCATGTAAGGGGTCTATGTAAGATGCACCCGTAGCAGGAATGTACTACAATGTTGTGAGGTATAACCACCGTTATTTAGATACTAATGCTGCGCGTTATATGCAGCAGACTGTGTATAACAAATACATTCTTTTATTTTGGATACTTCTGCTAAGTGAAGTTAGCACTTAGCTTTACTTTAGATAGGTTCGGAGCATATCATTTAGTTTAGGCATATGCCTAATATAGTATAGTAATAAATGTAATAAAATGTCGCCAATTCAATATTAATAGGCCAAACATTTAAAAAAAAAAAAAACTTTTATGCTTTTTATAATATAATTAATAATAATAATATCCTTATTGAAATTGTGTCAACCATTATTGAAATTATTGTCTTATTTTCTTTAACATGTTTCAATATTTTTCAGTCCAGTAATATTTATATCATCAGGTGTAATTTATTTCTTTTTCTATCATTTATAAATTATTTCCCTTTTTAGACAGGAAGCTCTCTTTCTGAACTCTCTCTCTCTCTCACACCAATGTATATATTATATTGTGATTTATTTATCATAGTAGTAAATATTTGTACAAGTATTAAAGAAAGAAAGAAAAAAAATCATTACACTGTATGCTATTAATACATTTTTAGTGAAAATATGTGGTGTTACAGTTCCACAGTACTATACACAACCAGCCATTTGGAACAGTGTGCTTCGTTGTTCCAGTGCCACAGCGTCCGGTTGTTCAGAGAGAATAAGAAAGCCAACAGTAGAGAGAAGCACTTTCAATCATGCAGTTCCAATTTTCTTGTCTGCGTGGGAGACTGTGTTTACATTTTGCATCAGTGCATTGGCTGTGTGGTGTATCAAATATGGGGCCTATATTTTTTAGAACATGTAGCTAAATAATTTGAATCATTTTCTCTCTAATAATATATATTAGGCTTAATTGAGCTTCTTTTCTTTGCTTTGTAGTAAGACTGAAGTAAAACCAGATGAAAACATTGATTATTTTCTGAGAGAATAAGGTCAACGAGCATTTGTGAAAAGTAGCTGTTTTTAAAAAAAACAAGCTGACATGGCTGAAATTGAGGAACCTTCACATTCAAATGGAAAGAGCCAGTATTCAGAATCCATAGTCTTAAATCAGGATTTTGCTGATCTTACAGAACTTGAGACAGAGCTTCATTACCCAACTCACAAACAATCAGATGTAAATACAGAACCAGCATTTTTAATAAATGTAGAATCCTCACCAATACTTCCAAAACCAAAACAAATTCAACAACCAGGAAACCACCAGGCAAAGCTCAGAGAGAGACTTTATGATAAACCTGAAAATTCTGGTGTCATGCAGTATGTAAGAATGCAAGCATTAAGAAAAAGACCTTTTTCTGGGGTAAGAAAACATCATGCAATTGTATTTGCTTTTTAAAATACAGCTGATACACAGGCAGGACACCCAAAATAATGTTATGGCCTCTCTGATATAATAGAAAATAAATTTAGAAACCTTAAATTTAACTAACCACCATGGATATACTTATAACTTTAATGTAATAAATATACAATTCAATAAACAAAATATTATATTTTCTACAAGTATTTATTGATCTAACATTTGCTTGAAGCAACTTATAATTTTTTTAATCTGAAAAACATCTTAGATGCAGGCTGTAAACAAATAACTTGATTATGTCATAGGTTGACGTACAAGGACAAACAAAACAAAGCACTATTTTGGAGCCTTTAAGCACAACACTTCCAAAAAGAAATGTTATCTCTTCATATGACCAAATAAAACCATCTCATGGGCTGACCAGCAAAGAAAAATATGTTCTTCAAAGCATGTAAGATTGAAAAATTTAATGTTTTTTAGTTCATGGAAGTTTTTAAATTAATTCACTATAACATGCAGTCTTAAACTATAGGCCTACATACATTTTACAAAATGAAACAAAATAAAATGTACTTTTAAAACTTTTATAGTGTTACCAGAAAGAGACCAAATCAGTTGGACCCACTGGAGTCTTCTCAAGAAATGACTAGTGTTGTCAATGTCATGGGTTGGTTTACTGGTTCATGTTTTATTTTAAATTTATAAAATTCCTAAAAGTTCTGTAGCAGCATGATTTCTGGAATACTGTTCTAGACTTAATTCATTATTCTTTAGCTTATTTTATTTTAATAACATAATATAATTTATGTAGATTATGTAAAATTATGTTATAATTCATGACAACTATTTATTTTAGAAATAAAATTGTCAGAAGTCGTGCTAATGATATAACTATAAAAAAAAAAAATTGGCAGTTTCTTAATAATTCAAAAGAACTCTGCTCAATAATTTTTGAGTCCTCTTTTCTTCTACTTTTCTCTTTTAATTGTTGAGAATTTTCCATTACAAATTTAACTCTTAGTATATTAAGTTGCAAGTATCCTTTTCTAATTTAAACATTGGTAAACTGATTAAGCTTAAAGAATTTATTTAAATTATTCATAACGACTGATTTTAAATTATTTATTTTCTTAGATCATACAGAAAATATGAGTTTACAGCAATATTATCACCACAGTGTGTCTAGAGTTGGATTGACCAGTTTTGTCAGGTCCAAATCAAGAAATACAAAATCCAGGGGTGGTGTATCAGACCCTGATTTCTTGGAGGAAACTGATTTACAAAATCATTTAACTGGGAACCTTGAGTCAGAACATGAAGAGAATAATATAGTAACTAGAGCTGTCTCTGAAACTCCTGGTTTGGAAAAACAGGTGAAGCAGAAAAATCAATGAATTCATTCAATGAGTGTTACCAGGTGTTTGTGTAGATAAGGGAATTTGACCTGGGGCAATAGTCTATATATTATATATTGAAGTGCTTGAAATTTATAATGTACTGTAACAGAATGCAAACATTATGGGAGGTTTATACAAATATTTAAACTGAATGTGTGACCTTGGTTACCACAATTAAGAAAAAATATTTTTTTTATCAATGGACTACTTATTAAAAAAGATGTGTATTGAATAAAATTGCATCCTACATTCTAAACTTAATCTAAGGTTATATTTTATAAAATCATTTTATGTAAATATAATTTGCAGTTTCTTTTAGCTGTATTTGTTCACCTTTAAAAGTACTTTCAGCTGACATTTAGAGGCAGCAAAAAGCAAGGGACAATTACACCATTACCAACAGAAAGGTCAATGATCAGAGGTGATTTGATGGAGGAAAGATCAAAGAGTGCAGGTGTGGACATGAGAAGGTCATATGAAACAAAGAGATTTAAGGAAAATGCTGTCAAGTCCAAATCAACATCACATGTTGCTTCTAAACCAGACCCTAACAAAGTCTTGTCATATTTGAAGAAAAACAAGTATGATGATCAAGGTAAATTACCAAGTATTTGAATAGCATTTCTCTTAGTACAGTCTTAAATTATTAAAAGTATTTCAACCATTAAATACTATAAATAACCCATGGAATACTCTCTACCCAGACCAATCCCCTACTTTTGCTTTGGAGCCTTCAACGCCCTCAATTTTGTTCCCTTCCCCATCCCCAATCTTGATTTTTTTTATCCAAATTACTTTCCAGTTGTTTGCATCACTCTGTAAATCAAAGAATCAAAGTTTCTGTTTACATGAGATGATTCAACAAAACTTCATAAACTCAAACATTTTTGTGATTTGGTTCTTTACCAGGTCTTTGGTAAATTTCTGGAATGCAAAATTTTATTTAAATTTGAAAATCCATTGAAAAGATTGTTGATAGCACCCACCTCAACAATTGTTCATTACCACTTTCATAAAAGAAAATTATGCCAAATTTCATTTTCTAATGTTTGCACTTGTTCATATGATGCAAAAAAAGTGTGTTTCCCTGCTTGCACTGTTTAGTGTTATTTTTTCTGAATGTACACACTTGTGATGCAAAAAAAAAGTGTGTTTTCCCACTAAGTGTTCTGAAAAGACATGTCTGTGCTTTTTTTATATATATATTTATATATATATATATAAATAACATTTTCATTGTGGAACTTCAGCAATTTCAATATGTAATGATGAAGGAAAAATAAAATGAGGCTCATTTATTTTAGTTCCAGAGAAAACAAATGCTTATGAAAAACTCATTGAGATGAGAAGTCAGCTAGGCTGGGTTGTCGACATACCAAGACATGGTCCTGACACCAGGGAAGCAATGGAAAAACTCAAAGATGTGGTAGAGGATGAACATGTATGGAAAAGAGTGACAAATTTGTTAACATTATTTTCATGATTTAAATCTGTGTTTTCAAAGCAATTTTAAAAAAAGAAATAATTTTATATTAAGAATCAATGTTTTTCTTTCCATTAAAAATAAATCTATTATTTTGCAGATTTTTGGTACAAAATTATTTTAAATGACACCACCCGTTACCTTTCCAATGAAAATGTACAAGAACCTTTTAATTTTGATCTTTTATCATCCAATTTTGTCAGGGAACTGAAAAACCAAAAGATGACACAGGAGAATTCTTCTACTGCTTGCCTAAAAATCACAAAGATCCCCGTGCTCGCTACAACCCTTATGATCTTGAAGTGGTCTCAGCCAACACAGCAAGGTCACAGAAGATGTACTTTACAATCAGTGCTTCTTATGTGACTATGGTATCCACATTCATAATCTGTTGGTAACTTTAAATATGAAATAGTTAACATATAAATCAAAGTAATATAGAAATGTTATCAATTCTGCCTACAAAAGCTTTTTAGTTTGTTATATCATTTATTTAATAGTGCTATGAATCTGATGATAAAATGAAAGAATCCAATGCTACATCTGCACTCTGGTGGCTATGGGAGAGACGATTGTTCAACATGGTTTTCAATTTCCCAGTCTTTGAGAAATTCAGGTTTGTTAAGACTAAGCCTTAAAACATTTTAACATAACTAACACGAAAATAAAAGGTATCTACACATTTATGAAAATTTTCTTTTTTTCTTTGTCTTTGCCTGTGATGGAAAGTGCACGCCCTTCTCCTGCCATAACTAAAAATTGTTTATGTTAAAAAAATTAATTCTGATATTTGTGCCTCTAAGAAAGCACCTAGTCACATCACATTAGGGCTCTAACTGGTCTGCTGTACTCATAAAATTGTGCAGTATATTTGATACTGGGAAACTTATTTGGTTTTAAAGTAATGTTCTTCCTCATGTCATTTTGGTTAGATTGAAAAATTGCTATGTTATTTTCAGACTGTGGAAGACATTCAAAAACTGGAAAGAAGCAATACTGAGACAAAAGAATAAAGGCCAGCAGTAAGTTGATCTAAAAAGAAAATAAAAGATTTCTTATGTGAATTTTTTTAAAAACAACATGGTGTTCTAAATTATTTTTTTCCCTATATATCCAACAGAGAAAAGCTGTACAGATCTCTTTTCATTGCTAATGAAGTACTGCAGGGCTGTCTGATTCATGTCAGGAGTCTTTGTGAAAGCGCTCGAAATATCACCAAAGATGGCACCACCAGCAGTCTTATTTCCTTTGTTGACCTTGACTCATCATTGACTTTGACTCTGCATGAATTTGAGGCTCGACAAAAGTCAAGATGTGATAAAGGACTGCAGCAGTTGTCTGCCCTCAGAGAAAAGATCATTGAGATTGTGTGGGAGTCATGTGCAGTAAGTCAATTAAGGAAATGACATGAATGCTAATAACTCTTTGACTCCCATGAACTGACAGTGCAAGCTCGCAGATTTCCTATTTCTGAGCCATGTCAAGGCTTAAGATTGAATAGTAATTTTGTTTTTAAAAAAAGCAATTGTGGTGTAAAGATTTGGTGTCCCAGTGTCTGGTGAGCCTTTTTGTTTTGTGGGTCGGTTAGCTGTTTCATGTTACAGCCTGATTTATTTAATTTTTATTGAACTTTTGAAGCCGTATTCATTCATTTCTTACTAGGATTGAGCCAAGAGGCTCAGGAACACACTCTCATTAGAGATTTACTGCTAGTAAAGCTCTAGAATTAAATCAAATACTGCAATATGAATTAGAGACAGGCTGAATTTCGGCTTCGGGTTTGGTGCCAAAAGTTGCCAATTGATCACTTTTGGCCCAGTTTCTATTTCAGCAGAAACAGAAAAGTTAACTTTCGGTTTAAATTCGGTTTTGGCTGAAAATGATTGAGATTTTTTACCATTGACTGAAAGTGACAGAGGTTTTCGTTCCTCTACCAGAAGTCAGACTGTCTGTCTGTCTCTAGGCCGGCAAATCCGATATTCACTATTGCCGGACGACTTGCTATCATCATATGTTATATGACTAATAATCTTTGAAAACTGCTAACAGCTGGATGATGACCTACTTGTCCTTTATTTTAAAAAAATGAAATTTCAATTAGGCCGAGGCAAATGTAAATAGTTTTTTTGAAGAAAAATTACAGGAATGGTAATATTTATTTCATTATTTTTGTTTTATTTTTTTCAACAAAAAAATTTGGAACCCTAGGTTTATTCAAATCATACATTTTTGATATTCATTTTGATTTATCAATATCATGCTCATCAATGTTTTCAAAGGCAAATATAAATAATATTGAATAATCCTAGGGAATTTTAATATTTCCATGATTATTTTTGTTTTATTTTTTTTAAAATAAAAATTAGGGAATTGTATTTATCATTTGGTATCGTCTTTTTTATGTACTGTTTTAGACGAGCCATATTAATCTCAGGTTTTAGTTTAAGTTAAACGCTGGTCCTGTTTGATTTTTCTTGATCTGTAAGTGCTTTTAAAACCATTGAAAGACACACAGGAGTCAAACAGTTTGAGATTCATCCAAATGAATAAATTGATGTTATTTAATTAAAAGTGTTTATTTGTTGATTAGCTTAAAATGGACATCATTATCGATGAGATTTTTCTTGATCATTTACACACAGACCTGCTTCACCAACCAATTATTGTTTTAAAAAATATTAGTGTTCTCTCCACACTTAAAATTACTGTGTATATCAATTTTTTCTTTTATTTTGTAGACTGTTGCAGAAATGGAAGGCATAACTCAAGGCATAAGAGAAGAAGAAAATCAAATCAAAAGTAGTAAAGTCATCATGGATTCAAATCAGCAGCACAGGCAGACAATCAAAACAACTTCATCCAATAAGAAGGAGAAAAGTAAGATTTGTTTTGGACAACAAAAAACCAAATACAAAAAGTATAAAATTTAAAAAAATTAAAAATTAAATAAATAAATAAATTTTTTTTAAACTTCTAAAAAACAAATTTTTATCAGTGACAGTTTAATAAGATATCTTAAATATGCTAAAGATTTGCAGATTTCATCTTAACATAAGACTACATTTTTTCTGTTTTTTTAATTTATTTTAAAAAGCCATTAACATACAAGTTGGGCTTTTCCCAGAAAGTAAACCTCTGTATGCTGAGATAGCTGAGTGGCGTAAAATTTTGGCACGCTTGTCCTGTTTCCTGAGATGTGTGGATTACATGCTTCAGGACTTGTTGAGACATCTCATTTTCTCCGCTGCTCAGAGTTTATTAGATACCATGGTAACTTCCTACCATTCAATGGAAGACCAGGATTCTGGTGATGAGGATGAGGTAACTCTTACATTTCTTAGTTATATTAGAACATATTTTAAGTTTGTGTTTGCATCTGGGTTACAAAAAATCCATGCCTTCAAACAGCCCCTGGGCAAAGCTTGAAAACAAAAGGCTTTGTTATTACAGAAAAATGTTGATTTTCTGAACTTATTAAGGACTGGGGGTGTTTGGGATAATACATTTTTTGGATAACCTAACACTGACAGAGAAAAGTTGCACTAAAGAAGTTAGTATAAAAGTCACATGATTTATTTAAAAACCGATAAGTAGTGGAGTTTTTTTTAAAGCAAAAAGGGGTCATTTCCAAACTGGTGCTTAGAATAAAATCTGAGGTAACATTGTCTTTACTGGCATGTATTCTGCAATAGTCTATATATAAATTAACAAGTTTACTAATCCCATTATCACAGTCCTGTCACAGTATGCACAGTACATATCTAGATTTTACCTGGATTGTGCAACATGGGTTGACAATATTTTCCAGTGTTTATTCACAAATGCTCCATAATAGACAGGGGCTTTTTCAGATGTAAATGAACCGAAGACAAAGTCTATGATAATGTCACGAAACTCCCATGCTGATGGTAACATCAATATAAACAACCACAAATTTGATTGGCTACATTCAAATATCTAGGGGCAACTATAAACGAGCACAATGAAATAATGTAGGAGTTTTTAAGTTAAAATTTTCCTACAAATTTCTTTTTGAATGCATAATTTTATTTTACTAAATAGTATAGTGCTTTCAAAAAGAAATGTGAAGAAAATGTTAACGTGTGAACTGAAAAAAGATTCGACCCAATTTCCGTTCCATCAAATTACCGTCGATCAATTTAACGTCGATGAAATTGCTTTCGATCAAATTTCCTGTAGCCTAAAGAAAGGATAAACCTTCAAAAGGCCTTCAAAACTGCACTAAAACATATCTTTTTAAATTATACTACCCTGACTGATTCCCCTCCTCTGACCGATAAATGATCTTGCTGGCTGCCATCCATGGTTTGCCTTGTAAAAGTTATTTGGTGGGGGTGGGTGAATATACATTGCTGTACTTTATTTCATAAATGTAATTTATTTTAATGTCATGATTATGTCTCTTTTGATAAAATTTTTATGAACAGCGCGGTGAGCCCAGCCCTAGGCTGGGGTACCGTGCTATATAAGACCTCTTATTATTATTATTATTATTATTATTATTATTATTATAACAGCAAGCAACCAATCCTATTTCAAAAGCTACTGGGAAGGAAAAAACTTTCAGGGGAACAAAGAAGACAAAATACACCACTATCATAAGACCAGTAGTAACATACGCTATTGAGACTTGGACCCTTACCAGAAAAGCAGAGAACCTTCTCAATACATGGGAGAGGAAAATCCTCAGAAAAATATACACCCAGTGATGGAAAATGATATCTGGAGAATCTATACAAACCAAGAGCTATACCAATAGTACAAAGACCCATCCATAGTCGCAACAATAAAAAAAGGCAGACTGCGCTGGGCAGGACATATTGAAAGGATGCCAGAATGTAGAGTAGCAAAAGTGATATACAGGCAGAAACCTAGGGGCAGACAACTCACCAGTCGACCAAGGCTGAGATGGATCGACGATGTAGAGAGTTGCATTGGCTGCCGGTGCGTGCTCGCATAGAGTACAAAATCGCAACTTTGTGCTACCGCTGCTTACATGACCTGGCGCCGTCCTATCTGAAAGAGCTGCTGATGCCTTATGTACCCACTAGAGAGCTCCGCTCATCCGATAGTGGCAAACTCTCGACACCACGTGTTTGCCTTGAGACTTACGGAAAGCGCACTTTCGCATTTGCTGGTCCAACAATTTGGAACGCCCTTCCTGTCGATCTTAGAAACAACCAGACACTGGAGTCCTTTAAAACCGATCTAAAGACACATCTATTTCGCAAATACCTTCTGGGATGATTGTCTACCTTATTTTCCAGTTAATGCATAATGGCTGTGTTGCTCCGGGTTGAAATGGCTAGAAAGACTTTGAGATTGTATGCTTGTAATTAGTTTTTGTAGTGTTGCGTTTGTTTTAAATGTGGTAAATTATAGATATGTTTTTTGTTGACTTTGTACCGGGCTTCGAGCCTTTGGGAATGAAGCGTGTTTTTGAAATGAACTTTATTATTAGAGAAGGATTTACACCAGTTGAGGATTCACGCATGAAGGCAGAAAGCCATGGATCGTTCCAAATGGAAGCATGTGGTGGAGCAGGTTAGGGCCCTACATGGGCTGTAGAGCCACTGATGATGATATATTCAGATTTATGATGAATCGGAGCATTCATAGAATTGGTGTTCAGAAAATCAAAGCTCTACTTTATATGAACAAGATAATTCTATAAAAATCAAATAATTTCTAGAAATCCTATAAATAAATATATATTAAGCTTATAATAACTTCTAATGCTTTTTTTTTTAGGATGACAACAGTGAAAGATCTATAAGTCCAAGAATCCCTTCTGCCAGGTAAAAAGTGTTTACAGTTTGATTCTTTTTCACAAAAGTCTGGTATATGTTGAGAAGAGTCATCATTAACCTTAGTCTTAGTATAGAAGAGCAGGGGCCACATGTGGCCATACTTATTTACTTATGATTTTTACCACGCCTGGGGCATACAGCTATCTACAAGAATTTTCCATTCATCTCGGTACTGTGCTTTCCTTTCCAGTTACATCCAGGTGTATCCCATACTTTGTGTGTCTGCCTATAGCTCACGTCTCCATGTATTCTTTGGCCTTCCTCTCTTACATTTTCCCCTGTGAATTCCATGTTAGGACTTGTCTGGTGATGTTATCTGGGGTATCAAAGAGTGTGCTCTATCCACCTCCATCTTTTCCTTGTGATTTCTTCAGCACTTGGCTCTTAGAATGTCCTTCCCAGTGTCTTTGTTGGTGATGATTTTTGGCCATTTCATGTTCAGGATCTGCCTAATGCAAGTGTTTGTGAACGTCTGTACTTTCTGCAATATTCTCTCTATTGTTCTCCAGGTTTCGGCTCCATAAAATAGGACTGTTTTGACATTTGTGTTGAAAATTGTGACCTTGGCTCCAAAATTTTCTGACTTTTGACTCCCATATTTTCTTTAATAGTATAAATGCTGACCTAGCCTTTCCAAATTTCCTGACATTAACTTTAAATCGACCATTTATGTCAATGGTGCTGCCCAAGTATGTGAAGGCCTCCACTTCTTCAAGTGCATTTCCTGCCAAGGAGATATGCTCTTGTTTTGCTGAGTTTACCTTCATGATCTTTGTCTTGCTTTTATTTATGATGGGTCAAAGCTGTACTGAAATAGTGGCCACATCTTTTGTCTTTTCCTATATTTGTTTCTGGTTGTGGGACAGAAGTGCAGTTTCAACTTGCAAAGTCTGTTATTCAATTGTTCCCAGGGTGTCCACTGTATCCCGTTCCTCTTTTTGTCAGTGGATTCTTTCATTATCCAGTCAATGGCAATGATGAATAGAAAGAGGGACCTTAGTGTACCCCACCCTGCATGTCATTTCTTCATTAAGGACTCTGGATGATCCTGACTAGTTTTCCTGGTACGCCATAATGCTGGAGAAGTTACCATAAGTTTTGTTGGTCCAAGCTATCAAAGGTCTTTTTGTGGTTGATAAAATTTAGATGTAGGGGATTGATTGACTGTTCTTCAATGATGCATTGAATTTTGATTTGGTGTGTGCATCATCTGTTTCAACGGAAGCCAGCCTGTTGATCTTGCAGCTGTGTGTTGACCTCGTTCTTATTCAGAATAATTCTGTTTAAGACCTTCCCTGGTGCTGACAGGAGTGTAATTCCTCTGTATTTAGCACAGTTGCTGAGATTCCCTTTCTTTGGTAACTTGGTTAGGTATCTTTCTTTCCAATCTTTTGGAACTCTCTCTTCTTCCCAAATCTCGTCAAACAGAGGGTACAGCATGTTAACAATTGTATCTATATCTGCTCTCATCATCTCTGTTGTGATGTTATCTGTTCCATATGCTTTCCTAATTTTAAGCGGCTTGATAGCCTGGGCTATTTCTTCCTTATTTGGGTCACTGTCTTCTTATTTCAGATTTTCATTTACTTGTTGTGTCTGTAGGTCTGTTTAGCAATTCTCAAAATATTCCACCCATCTCTTTTTTTGTTCTTTTTGTTCCATTATTGATCTACCTTCCTTGTTTTTAATCGGTTTCTGGCTTCTTGTATCTTCCTGAGAGCTTTCTTGTTATATCATATAGCTCTTTCATGTTCCCCTTGCTGCGTGCTTCTTTTGCTGTTTACGCTAAACCATCTATATAAGCTATTTTTATTTCTTTCCTCTCATTTATTTTTTGTAACATGTTGAATGAGAGCCAATCTTCGTGTTTTTGCTTCACTGGTCCTAATACCTCATTGCAATAGGATGTTACAGACATCTTTATGTTTTGCCATTGACGTTTTATCTGGTAATTCTATCTGTTTGATCTTGCAGTACCTGGAACTTATTTCTGAAGGTAACACTGAAATCCTGTTATTTTTGCTTGTTTGCCAGAAATGATATGTTTTATCTTAGTCATCTGCCAGCTGGCTCTTCCCAGTTTTTCTTCGGTTTTAGCTTAAGTCTTGCACAAATTACATAGTGATCAGATGCAACATCAGCTTCTCTTTTAGCTTGTACCTTCTGAATTTTTTTCATTTTCTATTCTGTTATCAGGGGACACCCATGTTACCTTGTGGATATTCTTATTGTGATGGAATACCATGCTCCCCAATATAAAGCTCTCGCAGGTTTCATTTTTCTCTCTTAAACCATGATTTCTTCATATCCTCTATTTTCTTTCCCAACCTTAGAATTTATTTCTCCCATTATGATATTTAGATCTCTACTAGAAAATTGTTCTAGTTTAGCTTGTCGTCTATTGTAGAAAGGTTCTTTTTCATCTTTCTTACTATCTTTGGGTGCATAGCACTGTATTACATTCATATTTATTTTCTTCTTTGTTTGGAATGTTGCTGTTATAATTCTTGGATCTTTGGCTTCCCATCCTACTGATGGCCTTTGAGCCATCTGTGACATCATGAAAGTAACTCCTTGTGTGTGCATAGTATTTTCCTCCTCCAGCTTGTGTTGCTTGGGGTTGAAATGGCTAGAAAGACTTTGCAATTGTATGCTAGTAATTAGTTTTTGTAGTGTTGCGTTTGTTTTAAATGTGGTAAATTATAGATTTGTATTTTGTTGACTTTGTACCGCGCTTCGAGCCTTTTGGGATGGAGCGTGTTTTTGAAATGAACTTTATTATTATTTATTATTATCTTGATTCACAAGTGCCAAGCGGTGTGCTCTTGTATAGTCTCATTTCTGCCACCACTTGTGCTGAATTTCCTGTTTTGTATATGGTCCTAGAATTCCCAGAGTCTATGCTAATTAGCTTTGAAAGTAGTTTCCTCGGCTTTGAGGCTGTCAGTATATCCAAGTTTGGTCAAAAAGCATCATAACTCTTCTTGGTGAAGAAGAATCCTCTCTTGTCAGGGCTGAAGTTGTTTTGTTTTTTTCTTCTTGGTGACTTTTCTGTAGGTAATTTGTTTTTTTACAGGTGAGATAGCTGGCCTCTCACCAACCCTCCTCCTTTTGCATTTTGGCCATGGTGGAGTTACATGCAACCATAGAAACGTTTAAGACCTTAATAAATAATCTCTGTATAAAATTGTCAAACTAATAATAATAATTACAGCAAATTAAAAAATTATTTCACCACCAGGGCTGCACCTAGGAGGGGGGGGGGGATAACCATGGCACTTGTCAGGGGCCATATCTAGATAGGGCCCCGCCATTTTTTTGAGTTTTTAAAAGATACGCACATGTTTGAAACATGAAAGGGACCCAAACTCTGTCAGCTGCCTGCGACCCAGAATTTCCTAGGTGCGGGCCTGTCCACACTCATTTGCAATCAGAACTTTAGCTTATACTTTTGCTACGATATAATTTGATTCAAAATAAGGAAGAGAAAAACATATAACAGTACCTTAATGAATTAGTTTTGAGGCAACAACTAGTAAAACATAAAAACAATTTATTATCAAGTATTATTTTTGACATTATTAAAAAAATTTAGTTGGCAAGAGTCAAACTGGTTGCACATGAATGCGTCTAGAAGAGTAACACCAAGTCACTATCAACACGAGGGCATCTGTATAGTATTCGCATGAAAAACAATTATTTTCTCATAGATAATATGGCTAGATTTGTCAGGTTTTTTTAGAACGACTCATTTATTTTTAAAATGATGTCCTGTTAATGTTTCTAGATGTATTTAACTGTTTTTCTTTCTCAGCGCCTCGATCTCCTGGGGTTCTCGGTCACAATATAGAGCAAAGACTGTGCCTAAGGAAGTTGTCCCTGAAGCATATGTGATACCTAGATATGATTTCACCAAGGTGGAGGAAGTGAAAGGACTCCCTGACATTGACCAGGTATATTGAAAGAATCAACTTTCTGGATTATAATTTTTGAAATTTATGATTATAAACAGCACATCGATCTTTTGTTACTATTTCCACGTTGGTGTCGCAAAATTTTTTATCATCATAAGTCATCAACTGATAAAGCATCTCTTAGGTTTTAGGTATTAAGTTGATAACATTGAATTTGTCCCAAAGTTCTTGCTCTTGTTATATGAGATTATTTATTTATTTTTTTTTCCTTATGGAATTTTGCACACCATTTCCAGAGGTCAAATTTTAATTTTTAAAAAAAAAAAGTATTCATTTCTAAGCAAGACCAAATCACTTTCTTTACGCATCTCCTAACAGGATATTCCAGGTGCATTAAGATCCTTATTTACCTTACTAATGAAATTTCTGATATAGCCTACACAAGAAACTGAGAATTTAAATGGATCAAATTATTATTAATGATTTATAGATTTATAAAATATTACTTGAACAACTTATTGAAAAAAATCTCTTCCATGCTTAGGTATTGGCTGAAATACGAGGAAGGGATGTTGTTGAAGAGGTCATTAACCCTGTGTTTACCATCAAACTTGTGCTCACTGTGACTTCTCAAAATACTTCACTGGGTGATGCTAGTGCTAAGAAAAGCAAAGGGTCAAAGGTTAAATGGTCTATTCCTGGAGAGCAAGGTGACAAGTCCCCAGATGTTTATTCAGGTATGTACTTGTAATCTTTTTTGGGAGCCTTATCATAAGACAAGTCAAAGGTGAGACTAATACATTCAACGAGCATGCAGTCATATTAATCCATTTAAAAATAAATATTTTTAAGTTGCAAACACACTAATAAGAGAATTAAAAGTTAGTAAATAAGTAAATTTTGATGCTCTTGATAATGTGAAAGCACTTCATTCTCACATTTAAGCTTAATTCCAATGTTAATATGACAGGTTCAGAATCAGAATCTGACAGTGAATATGAGACAGGAGACTCAGAGATGGATGAAGAAGACGCTGCACAAGACAAAACAGACGAGACACAAAAATATTCCTATCCAGCGAGGCCAAAAGAGTAGGTTCAAGGTCATTTAAATTGTGGCACCAATTTTATACATTTTTGCTTGGTAACCATTGGGAATTAATAATTCTTGGCTCAATTAAAACTGGAGCTAGAGTCATGAGGAATTATGATGTGCCTGTAAATATAATTAAAACACATTTTTAAAACTACTTATTCCAGGGAATCTGTAAGTAATCGCAAGTCTTATGTCAGCTTATCTCCAAGTGCGGGAGAGTTCCGTTCTAGCCTACAGTCTATTATATGCTATTTTGAGGACACAGTTGGTAAGGATGATGTAAATGCTCATTTAATTTATTTATCAACAATCTTGAGCAAACAGCTGTAGATAGTTGAAAAGTTTTAATTTATTTTCAAAAAAATATTTTGTTTGAACTTTAACATTTTTTAAATGTATTAAATTTGAATGAAAAGGAAACAGTAAATAAAAAGTGTTTGAAATTAATTCTTATCCACCCATCTTAATCCACTACTATCTCAAATTTATTTCTCCACATGTAAGTCCACAGTCATCACCTCCTACTCCACTATTTTCACATCTCACACCTCATAGTACTTGGTGGTGTAAAGTCTTTATATGATAGATAAACATCCTCATCTGGTGTGTTATTGTGTAGGGTCTTGTAATTTGTTAAAAGCCAAGATGATGATTTCAAAATAGGAAGCAAAAAAAAAAAAGTTGGAGTGGTGGGGGCTACATTTTATAGCTATGATCATGGTCGTGTTTAAAGGGTTGGATAAAAAGACAAAGTTTTAAAAAAATTTTATTTTTTGTTTCAGTCAAAATTGTTCCCATGATGAGAGAACCCAAGCTCACTGTGTTTTACTCACCTCCCAAACATGATCTTAAGCTCAAATATGATGAGGAGGAAGCAGAAGAAAAACAAGAAATGATGAATGAATGGCCAAACCTTGACCTCATCCTAAGAGATGATTCAGCCTATCAAAAGCTGCTAACAGAAATGTTGCACTACATGGACATGCAGATGGAGCTTTTAGAGCGATATACTGCTGTAAGTTGTTTTTCCCTTGTTAACAGTTTTTTAGTTAAGGGAAGTAGCTCACCAAATTTAACATTTGTTGATGGACAATTTTTTTTGTTCTGTAATGTCAGGCCTGGAAAATGAGGAGACTAAATTATTTGAAACAAATTATAGAGCACATTTAAAATTAATTGTCATAGGAAATTTACTTAGTAGACCTAGATATATTCCTTCTTGTATTTCTTCCTGTTGAAGTAAAAGTCTTATTATAATATCTTAATTTTAATGACTATAACATTCTTAAATAGAAGGTCTATTGTACAAATAATACCATATTTCATATAGTCTCTAACAAACAAAATAGCTGAAACAAAAAAAATTTCAGGTTTACTATAATAGGCCTACTTTTTCATTTCAGAACTATAATAATTTCTGCAAAATGGTGGACCAGTCAAGAAAAACACACGTGGAAGAGTCCATTGCCAAAAACCCTTGGACTGCTGATGAGTTTAATGATGTTTTGGGAACTCACACAGAAATGGTCAGTTATAAAAGTTGTTGTGTAATAAATTAATTAATCTTTGTTTTAGTTTGTATTTATCGCAGTTAGACAGTAAATATTTTGCCTCAGAATGTGATGAAATTTTCTGTTTTTAAGGATTAAAATTATTTGTGTTTATTAAATTGTGTATTAGTATGTTAGTATGTTCATCTTTCATTTTATTTTTTTTATAGGTTCGACTCATGAATAAAATGGTAACAACTCAGAGAGTTGCTATGGTCCTGGTTGAAGGTGAACATTTCAGAGATTCATGTCTGCCTTACCCACAAGCAGTTGTAGATGCAGCCAATAAATGGCTACCCATTATTGCAAACAAACACAATGATGACCTCATCACTATCATTAAGGTAAACAACTAACAACTAAAAAGTTTGTGTGAGGAGAGGAAGGGGGGTGGGGGTTAAGTAGTCTGGTTTATTTATACATCACACCAGAAGAAATATTATAAATAAACATAAAAATTACATTCATCCCCATCAAAAGTTCAATCTGATTTATTATGCTCTGTAACTTCACAAGCTATTTATGTCCCAGGTCAGTGGTCGGCAAACTCCATTAGTCAAAAGAGCCAAAAATCAGCAACAGGGCGATTACATTTTTTTGAGAGCCAAATTTCTTTCCAAGCACCTGTCAAGAAACACGTATTTCGGAGTCAAAACCGAATTTGGCCGACTGGCCGAGCCGCTAAAGAGCCACATGAGGCTCGCGAGCTGTAATTTGCAGACTACTGTCCCAGGTCATTAGATTTGAAGACTTGTGGTACACAAGATAAAGTTCAATAATACTTCGACTGATCTGTGTAGATAGAAACAAGATTAAATTTCATACCTGTTTCCACTTTATAGCAAATTGTTCAATGGGCTTAAAAAATGATGAAACAATTCTCATTTCAAGCAGCGTTACAAATTGTGGAAATAGTACCCCTTCTCTCTATTCGGATAAAGAAAACTGTTATTTTTATTCAATATTAAAGCAGTATGTAAACTGTTATATTATAAGATTAGATTCTTTTATTGATCCAAATAAATGGAAATGTTTTTTGATTGCATTGTACATTTTCATCACATAAATAAATACATATTTTAACCTAGACAACATTTTACAAATAAAAATATTTAAAAACAAGACATCTAAAGTATTTCTCTAGCTTAGGAATCAGCCATCACTTAACTCTTTTAGTGACAATAACGACTTAATTAGTGATCATTCTGATTTGGTAACCGCTGGGGAGAACACTTGTAAATTTGTACAGATTGGGTAATAAAAGAATGTTTATACAGTTCAGTTCTAACTTTAAAGAAAAAATAATTCGCCTGATCAAGTTGGATACATAGCATTTTGAAACTAAATAAGAAATTAAACCTAGTAAATAAATACATTTTTATTAACCTACATTTCATTTTTCATCATAATCTAGCTTATATTTTGCATATATACCTAAATTAACAATTACTTTTCCGAAAATTTGAGCCATCATTGTGTAGCAGAAAAATTTGAATATCCCAAAATGCCAAAAATGGAGAAACAGCATTTTGAAAATTAACTCTTCAAATGTTCCACTGTAGAATAAGTTAACAATGATTAATGTAAATGTCGCACTCAGAACAGGGATATCAAGATTAACCTGTGATGAACATTGATTTTTTTAAAATTGGAAGTATTATAATAACTTAATAATGACCTTAATAATGTAATAAACTTACAAATGTGTTGTTTGAAACTGCTTGTTTAATTGATAATGTTAGCCTGTTAATGATTATGCTGCATGTTTCATGATAATAATGATTCATGGTTTTATTAAACTAGGGATCATCAAAACGTTTGGACAAGACAATTATTTCTGTTGAGGAATTCGTTGAGCACCTCTCATTCTTAGGGAGAATGTCTACAGAGTTGCCTGCCCTGGAAAAAGAATATGATGTTGTCAACAAGATGTTCACTATCGCTAAAACATACAAAGTTTACATTCAACCAGAAGACATGGCTTTGTACCAGACTCTGTCACCAAGTTTTCAACATCTGAAAGTTTGTATTTACTTTTGTAGCAATACACTTAAACTTTTTTATAGTACAAAACTTTTTCAGGAAATGGGTCACCAGCTTTAAAATGAAGTTAATTTATCACTACGCATCACTCAAGTTGTATTTAATGAATAAAAAAAAAAAAATTACAAGAGAAATGTGATTGCATTATTCTAGTCAGTTCCTAACAGGTCTGTTTCCTTTTGGGGATAAAAATACACATAATGATATGTGATGGGAGAGTGACCAAAAGTCTGATTTGAGTGACCAAAAGTCTGGGTTTTAGGATTCAATTATTGTTTTTTTTGCCACCTCAATGAAAAATTTATATTCATTTATATGTTATTTTAACTCATTGCAGTGAACAGCCCTTAAAAACAAATTTTTACAATATTCCTTCAGTCCACAATACTTTACTGCGAAGCTAAGAAAGATGACAACATTCGAAAGTTTTCATCTCAACTGGACACTTTAATCGGAAACATCCGATCCATGCTGATGAATCTGAAAACTCGGGTTCAGGACCCAGAACTCTTGCATGTTGACACACATCCACTTTCAGCTCTTGAAGCAACACGACTTCTCCAAGAAGAAGTCCAGGTTTTATCTGCAAAAGCTCGAAGTTATGCCAGCTACCAGGAGCGTTTTGGATCTTCATTATCCAAGCAAAGGAAAAGTTTTTATGGAGAGTAAGTTTCATGATACTAAAATGTGATTGATATAATCATGAATAAATCTTTTAAAGCTTTTTGATAAGACTGGGCCGATTGCCTGCATAAAATACAAGTGTTTTAAAAGGCCTATAGATATTTTAAAAATCCAGCAGTATTTGGAATACTTTTTTTAAAGTATTCTGCTTGCTTTTATAGACTTCTGGGGACAGACAAGAAATCTGACAGCAGCATCCAAGAAATCCAAACAGATTTGGGTGAGATTGAGCGGGATCTGAAGCTTCGAGCCCTGCTGTGGCAATCTCTAGAAGAATGGGCCAAGCTGGTGAATGAATGGACGGAAACATCATTTGAGTCCATTAATGTGGAGGCTCTTCAGAAAAATGTCAACAAGTTTACTCAGACTGTGTACATGTTGGAAAAAGGTGGGTTTGAGAGTTCTTAGTGATAAAATCCAACTATTATTTTAACACAGAAACTTGGAATGTTCAGTCATGGTGTGATGAAAAAGCCAACTCTTCAGCATGAAATGTACAACCCCATGAAACTATGTATAACATTATTCTTCCATGATAGAATCAAGCACAGGTTCAAATCAATGAATAATTTATCTTCAGTCTACCCTGATTTCAGTTCAGAATTTTTATAATTAAATTTAGCCATCATAAATAATAATTCTCTAGGTATGTATGTATGTATGGCTGAAATGGTGTGTTCAAGAGGTGTGCAAAATAAATTCCCCAAAATATAGTAGTAATTGGGATTCTTATAAAGTGCGTTACTTGAAATCATATTTCGTCAAGTAGCTTTAGTAGATGGGATACTCACTCATTGCCGCTGCCATTGTTTGGTGGGTTATTCCTAGTATTTAATAATTAGTTATGCAAATCATGAACACAATTATTTAAAGATAATATTCAACTTATTCATACTGAGATGAACTTACGAATGATTTTATCATTGTTTCTTAAGGTCTCCCCCACAACCAGGTGTTACCAAAACTCAAAGAGAAAGTCATGGACTTCAAGCAAGGAATGCCCGTGATTACCTCCCTGCGCAATCCTTTCTTGCGACCTCGCCATTGGGAAGAAATTCAAAAAGTGATCAACAAGGTCATCAGCCGTGACAAGAACTTTACTCTTGGCAACTTACTTGAAATGAATGTAAGTTTGTTATCTCTCTTAACATGGACGTTGGTATATGCATTTGGCACCGACAAAAGGGTTAAGTGTGAGCAAACTGGACAGTTTAAAGAAATTTTTCTAAATATTTTCAAAGAGTGTATTTTAAACTAATAGATAATCAAGATTAATCCCATTTTTTTTTAATGTTTCGTAGGCTTTATAAGAAATTTTAAAGTAGCGTTTTCTAAATATCCTTTTTATATTACTTTACGATGCTGACATAAAAGATTTAAGTTATTCTTTTCAGATTTTCAAGCACAAAGAGAAAATTCAAGAGATTGCTACAACAGCTACTAATGAGGCTACCTTGGAGTTGATGTTGCAAAAGGTTAGTGATTGAATATATTAGAGTGAAGCTGTTATATTTAATGTAAAGTTTATATGATATCTTTAAGTTAAGCTGATCTCATATGTTATAATAAATCTGATCTCGTATGTTATAATAAATCTGATCTCATATGTTATAATAAATCTGATCTCGTATGATATAGTGCAGCTCATATGTTTTCATCTGAATTCATTTCTTTTGTACAACTCATCTGCTAAGTTACCCTCTGCTGCCAGATGTGTCATCTGTTAAGTTAACCCTCTGCTACCAGATGTGTCATCTGTTGAGTTGACCCTCTGCTACCAGATGTGTCATCTGTTGAGTTGACCCTCTGCTACCAGATGTGGCAGAATTGTGTTTGAAGCTTATGAGAAACAGGTGTCCCCCTTTTTTATGACACTGAACAACCAACACCCCAGCTGCACCATCATTCCATCATGTTGTTCAAAGAGAGACAGTAGATGTGTTCTTGCCCATTATGCCACCATCATTCCCTCATGTTACTCAAAGATAGACAGTAGATGTGTTCTTGCCCATTATGCCACCATCATTCCCTCATGTTATTCAAAGAGAGACAGTAGATGTGTTCTTGCCCATTATGCCACCATCATTGCCTCATGTTCAAGAGACACAGTAGATGTGTCCTTGCTCATTATGTCATGAACCTTCCTGAGCTCTTCATGTATTTTATTATAAATCATTTGCAACATTTTTTTAATGGACATATGACAGATGAAAAAATAGTCAGGAAACACCATATCATTGCTGGATACTTTCCTTTTGTAAAATATTTTTGAGCCTCAGTTCAAAGTTTTAAAGCTGGTGAACTGTTGGAAAAATGTCCAAGCACATTTATTTTTTCTTGACTTTTGTATAATCATAAATTACTTCCCAACAGGTCATTGACCTATGGCTTTCAACAGACTTTCGTCTGGTGCCTCATGCAGGGCGTGATACTATGGTTATTTATGGAGCTGATGACATCATGGCCCAACTTGAAGAGAGCCAGGTCACTGTAGGAACCATTCGTGGATCCCGCTACATTGGCCCCATTAAGGTTAATTTTTAAAAATTCTTTGTTACTTTTGGTAATAACAAGATAAATGGATAATATGAAGCAAACTTGTCTAACATAGGTTTGAAGCATTAAAAAAAAATCTAATTTTAAGTATTGCTACAAATTTCTATCAAAATACTTTGAAATGTATTTTTCCATTTAGGCCCAAGTTGAAGAATGGGAAAGGAAGTTGCAGGTTTTTTCTCGCACACTTGATGAATGGCTGAATTGTCAAAGAAATTGGCTCTATTTGGAGCAAATATTTAGCACCCAAGATATTCAGAGGTACTGCTTTTTTTTCTGTACACTTCAATAAGATTCTTAAGGAACAGAGATTGATAATTAATTTGACCAGTCCTCTATGGTTTATTTGACCAGTCCTCTATAGTTAATTTGACCAGTCCTCTATAGTTACTTTGACCAGTTCTCTAAGGCAAAAGAGATTTATTTTTAATGCATGTAAATGTAACGCCAGGCAACTGCCAGCTGAGTACAAGCTGTTCATGTCAGTAGACAAGGCGTGGAAGGATATTATGAGAAGAACAAGTGATAGGCCAAATGCCTTGAAATCAGCCATCACACCTGGGACTCTGGACACACTGCAGATGTGCAATGCCAACCTGGACAAAGTTCAACGTTGTTTGGAGGTTATTTTCGTTAAACCTGTTTTAATTAAAGATCAGAAAGATTAAATAAATTTGTTGTATTTTATTTGTATTTTACTTGTATGTTACCTGTATATATCTTTCTCCTTGTTGTCTCCAGGATTATCTAGAGACCAAGCGGTTTGTTTTCCCAAGGTTTTATTTCCTTAGTAATGATGAACTGCTGGATATTCTAGCTCAGTCCAAAGATCCAAATGCTGTGCAAGTAAGTAAAGACATAAAGAAATGTGCTCATAAACAATAATGTTTTGCTATAAAAATTCTCAAGAGTTTTATTTCCAATAAAATGAATTTTTAAAAAATAAGGATCGCATGATGGCTTGAAGCAGCAGAAGATAACTTTATTAAGATCATTACCTATTTCTGTTTAACCAAGTTTTCTTTATCGTGATTTGTTTGACACCAAAATTTCTTGATTTTTACTAATTCTTTTCAGCCCCATCTTGGCAAATGCTTTGGTAATATAAAACAACTGGACATTCGATTCCTGCCAAGACAACCTCCCACTGTCAGATCAATAATCTCTTTTGAACAGGAAACAATCTTAATGCCAAGGTAAATTAATCTTTGTGTAATTGTGTAATCTCAAGTTGGGAGTAGAATATGAACCCTTTTGAGATGGAGCCTTTTTGGAGTGTTTGGTGCCAAGAGGATGGAGTCCTTTTTACAAGCTCGGCAACCATATTGCAACAAAAATGTATATATATAATAAAAAACAAACTAATTACTTTAAAATTATAAAACTATTTACATTCTTGTAGGGAATTAAACGATCTAATTCTATCTTTATGAATCAAACTGAAATCTCAACATTTATGCAAATGAGATATCCTGGTTTGCATAATTTGTACATGCAATTTTATTTACACTTATAATGAACAGATCTTACTTGCAGAATTTTGTTCAATTTTATTATTGTTGAAGCCTAAATAAGCTCTAAACCATATTTGAATAAGAAACATTGTGAAAAACTACATAAAATATTCCCCTTTTTACATATTTCAAGGTGAAATATTTTTTAAGCATTTTAGGGGTTGCTAGGTACAAACAAAATTGATATCAAATGATAAAAATTGCTATAAAATGATAGAACATCATAAGATATCAATGGAAGCTGCCATTAAAATGGAGAGATGAGCAAGCAATGGGAACAACAATCTGATTAGCTGGTATGGAGACCAGCCAGCCAATCTTGGGGCTTGAATTATTAGACTGATGGATCAACCATTCATCTTTTTTCATCATTCTACCCTGGGCGGATCTGTAGCATCAGCTATCCCAAGAGGGTTGAAATATTAGTGTTTCCAATGTCAGCGAACTATTTTACTACCCTATCTCTATTGCTCACTTGACTTATCTAGAACCACTTTACCATAACTTGACTTGGTCAAAAATTCATCAGGAGATCATGATAATTTTACCATTTATAACTAACTTTTAGTTCTAACTTTTAGTTCTAAGAAAAAAACTTTGCATGAAATGTAACAGAATAACTCAGTTTGAGAAATGTATGTATCAGGAATGTGAGAGCAAGAGGAGCAGTGGAACAATGGCTGGGAACTGTTGAGGCTGGCATGTTTGAAACAGTCAAAAAGTGAGTAAATTTGTGGATGTTTGACAAATCCACATCTTATGACAGATCATTTGTTTCTTCCCACCAATAAATAAATTAAGAATATTGACTGTGAATGGGGAATTCAATATCTCTTCTAAAAAATTTAACATAATTCTTTTAAGGCACTTGAAAATTGGTCTGGCTGATTGGCAAGCTGCAAATCTAAAAGATTGGGTTTTGAAACATCCTGGCCAGGTGGTTCTTACAGTGGTATGTTTAAATTAAAAACAATAATTTTAGGTAGGATTTCTCTCTGGAACACAGTAAATGATCTTCTATCATTAGAATAGTAATTCATAATACCATCCAACACCTCACTCCAAACCTTTCCCTCAGTCACTACCTGGAAACCTTAAAAACTCATAACAGATTGTATCTCTAATTTATTATTACTATAAGCCAACTATAGCTTATGTTATAAGATGCTTGTAATGGTATTTACAACTTCTATAAAAATATAACAAAAGTCACAATTCTCAACAGATTCAAATTATGTTTAACAAAGATGTGACAAAATCATTAGACTCTGCTGACCCCAAAACTGCCCTAAAGCAGACACAAGATATTATGGTTGGTCTTCTCAATCAACTGGCCAGCTTCACATATGCCAGATTGCAGGGTTATCAAAGGATGAGTATTGAAGCTCTGCTGACAATTACTGTACACAACAGGGATATTATCATTGACATGATCAGAAACAAAGTTAGGAAGAGAGAAGACTTTGAATGGAAGAGGTACATATTTTGTATGATGATGATAAAATTGGGAGGGCTTAAACTTTAACATTTTTTTTTAAAAAGTACAGTTTACATGAAACGTTAAAACCTAGTGCCTGTTAATTTGTTAATTTCTACAAGCTAATTCTCTGTGTAAGCTTTATTTAAACATTTTTGTACTTATCCCTTTTAGTTGTTGAACACTTTCAAGCTTTTATACACCTTGTGCTCCATCCCCTCTTCCAAAACTTTGTTAAGAATTTTATAAAAATTTATTATACAATCTAAAACATTTTTTAAATTATTGTATGGTAGTAAGATAAATTAATTTATAGTTTTATATTTCATGTAAACAAAAGGTATGTTTTTATTATAACACTTAAATGTAAAAAAAAAATGATTATTCTGTTCAAACTTTGATCTCTTTTAACTGTTGTGTTGACTCACAGACAACTCCGCTATGAATGGGATGAAACTACAAATAACTGCCAAGTGCTACAGAGTAATGCTAATTTTCTGTATGGCTATGAATACCTTGGCTGCTCCACCAGACTTGTCATTACACCACTTACAGACAGATGCTACCTAACTCTCACCGGGGCCTTACACCTACACCTGGGAGGTTCACCTGCTGGGCCAGCTGGCACAGGGAAAACTGAGACTGTCAAAGATCTGGCCAAGGTCAATCTCCAACGTTTCTTAGTTTATTTTGTTAATTCATGTAACTGAACCCACATTTTGTTTTGAAAATTATAATTACATTAAAGTAAGAATATTACTTTTGTGTCATAGTACGCTGAAGAAAAATTTACAAAATGTTGTCTATAGAAGTTATCAACAAGTATTTTAATGAGGGTACACTGACATCTTTGAGGTTTTATGTATACATTATTTAATTTTTGTGCATTGCACAGCAACAACAAAAAAAAACATGAATAATGTAGAAATATTATTTTTCAAAGTTAAAAAGTTTTACCACCCTAACTTGAATCCATGCCAAAATACCTGTTTTAAAAGCCAAACAGTGAGACATTATTGATAATACATTTCACTTATTTTTGTTTTGTTCCTGATTCAGGCCATGGGTAAACAGTGTGTTGTATTCAATTGTTCAGAAGGACTGGATTATAAGGTCAGTGATGAGACTGCAGTACATGCCATTTAACAATTGAAATATATGTATAGATTCTATCCTGCTACCAAAATTTTCATATACATTAATTTAGAACACCTTCCATTGGTGAGACTAAAATTAATTAGTAAATGTCAATATGAATCAATATTTATTCCCTACCCACTACCAGAATTCTCATATTGAGTAGTAGATCTGTAGCTTCAGTTTTTATAAACAAACTTAAATTTTCATGCTGGTGTTTAGTTTATTTAGTATTTTTTAAAAAATAATTGTACTATTTTTCTATTTAAATCTATTACAGATGCTGGGCAAATTTTTCTCTGGATTGGCCCAGTCTGGCTCCTGGTGCTGCTTTGATGAGTTCAATCGTATTGATGTGGAGGTCTTGTCTGTGGTGGCCATGCAGATTCACACAATTAAAACAGCCAAGGATGCCCAGTCCCCTAGATTTATATTTGAAGGTCGTGACATTAAACTGAATCCAACCTGTGGCTACTTTATCACCATGAACCCAACGTAAGTCAAAATGGTTGTTTCGTTCAGTTGTTTCGATTTGTTAACAGATTAAGTCTGTTTGTGGCTTTGTTTTTTTTTTTAGAAACTTACTAATGTCAATTTTTCCCATGTACAAAAGCTGGTCAGGGCATTTAATGGTAAAGACTGAATACTATTTCTTCAGCTATGCTGGTCGTGTGGAGCTTCCGGACAATTTGAAGTATTTGTTCCGACCGGTGGCCATGATGGTTCCTGACTATACCCTGATTGCAGAGATTATGTTGTTCTCTGAGGGCTTTACTGAAGCCAAATCTCTCTCCCAGAAAATAGTCAATTTATATCAGTTGGCGAGCAAACAGCTTTCCCAACAAGACCATTATGACTTTGGAATGAGAGCCATCAAGTCTGTTCTTGTCATGGCTGGCCATGGCAGACGTCAGGTTTTATTAAAGTAAGGATTATTTATATAAAAAATTAGTAAAAAGTTAGACTTGAAAATAATTTTTATTCTGACTAATCCTGCTGAAGGCTTCTAAAAAAAATTGTTTTTTTGTTTCAGATAAAATAATGCTCTTAGTTTTTTTCAAATAATATTTTAATTTATTCTCAAATGCTACAGTATTAATAAGTTTTATATTAAAATTTCACCCTTAAATAATGCCGTCTAATCTCAACTTTTTGATTTATTTAAAATCATATTTTGTCATCTTGCTAGTAACCATCTGAACATCCAGAAAATAACAGAAAATGAAGAGTCTTACATTCTCATTCACTCATTACGAGATGCCAACATGCCAAAGTTTTTGGCAGAAGATGTGCCCTTGTTTGAAAGCATTCTTGATGATTTGTTTCCTGGAGTTACGCCCCCTGACCAAGATAATGGTGTGCTAGAAGTATGCCAAGAAAGAACTTTTGAATATACGTTTTTTTTATATTAGATCCTGCTTATGGTCAATAACTACCTCCTGAATCATGATGATTTTTGAATAATAACATGTCAAACAATTTTTGTTCTATATTTAATTGTAATAAAAGAATTTTTGAAAGGAAGCAAACACAATCAAGAGTATCATATTTTGAAGCTAACTGATAAAAGCAAAATATAACTGCTATCATTAATGATAAATTAATGTTTAAAAGTTTTTGACAGTTTGAAAACAAAATTAAAACCAATACATTATGCAGGCATGGAACAAATCTTTAGTGAATAATTCCATATCCTGCTTTAGTTCTACTTATGAGTTATTTATCTTTAGCTCTGAGGATATGGTCATATCAATTTGAGATATTCATTCATGCTGCTAGAGAAGGTCACAATGCTTCTCTCCTTTTTTAGAAAGCCATCAGCATGTCCATCAGAGACCTCAGCCTCCAGCACTGGCCCAATCAGATAGAGAAGGTCAAGCAGCTGTATAACCAGATTCTGGTGCGTCATGGCGTCATGCTTGTGGGTCCCACTGGTGGGGGAAAAACAGCTGTCAGAAATATTTTACAGAAAGCCCTGGTGTTACTTCCAATGTTACAACTGCAAGTTGCCAGCAGTGAGCAAAGAGATCCAAATGTGAAAAGGCCAAGTATCTTTTATGTAAGTTAGAACAGTATGGCTCTGGAGAGATTGAAATAAATTTTAAATTGTATAATTTTAAATTTTTTTTCTCACTCCCCCCCCCCCCCTGATGTTAATTTTATTTTTCAGGATGTTTTATTAAAAAAAATGGTTTTCCAAATCAAATTTTACTTGCAACTAACATTAAGTTATGATGTAACTAGCAGTAAGTTATCAGGGAACTAACATTAAGTTATCATGGAACTAACATTTAGTTATCATGGAACTGATGGTAAGCCCCTGTTAAATTGTTAATTAACAAAATGGTAAATGAATAAATTTTATATAAAAAAATGCACTTTTTTTCCTGAGGCCAACAAATCCAAAAAAGGTCATGTCGAGACATTCACAGTCAATCCAAAGTGTGTAACACTGGGAGAGCTGTATGGTGAAACAGATACAAACACATTTGAGTGGTCTGATGGACTCATTGCCAATGCTACACGAAGATTTGCCAAAGAGCTTTCGTCATCTTTGTCAGGACAGAATATGAATGAGGATCCCATGCTTGCAAAAGAGTCTCCATCTAGTCGTCCTGTTTCCTCTTCAACAGAAATGTCCATGATATCAAACACAACTCATGTAAGAGACTTCGTTTTAGATATTGTGCAGTGTTTTAAAAGTTGCTTAAATTTTATTTTATAGTTTTAAGGGATGTCCCAGCTAGATGTCTAATGTTGTAATAAAGAATGACAGATGAATTTTACAATTTGTAGTGGGAGGTGATGGAAGTCGAGTGGGGGTGTGTGTAAAGTCTCCTACATTAGAGGGAATATTCTTGATTATTTTTTAATCTGCGAAAAGCATGTTAAAATTCATTTACAAGCTTATTATTATTATTATTATTATTATTATCATTATTATTATTATTATTATTATTATTATTAGGTGGTTTTATATAGCGCAGTACTCCAGCCTAGGGCTAGACTCACCGTGCTTCACATAAAAATTAGCGATTAGTTTAAAATAACTTTGGAAAATACATAACTGGTATCTATAAAAAAAAATAATTTACATATTTTATGTTCATACTTTTATATTATAAAACTTTCCCTAAGCTGGAGTATGAACAACAATCTTGAACAGAATGTCAGTCCTGGTGCCTCTAGCACTAAGCTGGAGTATGGACAACAATCTTGAACAAAACATCAGTCCTGGTACTGCTAGCTCTAAGCTGGAGTATGAACAACAATCTTGAACAGAATGTCAGTCCTTGTACTTCTAGTTCTTTTATATATGCTTGTTTTGTATCTTAATGTTTTAAATCCTATATTAGAGCGCTGCAGTCAGGGGGCAGAAACAATCTGACTCCCCTTCCACAACCAATGACAAACAGAAAGATGATGAAGAGGGCAAAGAGGGCAGCAACATTACAGACTGGCGGTGGCTGATTCTAGATGGGCCAGTGGACACACTGTGGGTTGAGAACCTCAACACTGTACTTGATGACTCTAAGGTTTGTGGATAAATCCAATATTTTGCTGCTGGGTTGCATAAATCTGTTTAATCTTATTTCAACCATTGTCAAAACAATAACTCCTTAAGAATCAACAACATTCTGTCAGATGTTGGTGTTCTTCTTGCAGGTCCTTTGCTTAGCCAGTGGAGAAAGAATTTCTTTAACACCAGGGATGCGACTTCTCTTTGAGGTAGACAATTTATCTCGTGCCAGTCCCGCCACAGTTAGTCGATGCGCTATGGTGTATTTAGTAAGTCTGAGTTTATTTTACATCATAGTATAGATACAGATACAAATTTTTACCAATACAATGTTTTTATATATATTGTTTTAGATAAGGGTGTTAATGCTGCAGTACTTCTTTCATCATAAAACAGTCGCTTTATAGTTAGATGTGGATTAAAATATTATTTGAATGTAATAATAATAATTCCAGATTGGATCTTGTCCACCACAAGGGAGTTACAAAGTAAAACATTTCTAACAGTTAAACTACATTAAATCCCTTAAAATTTGGTATCAAAATTTATTTTGTACTTAATAGTTTAAGAGTTGGAAAAGCGACTTGTGGTTGCTCTGCATTTCTTACTTAGGGCTTTTAGGTCGCTTTGAGCTCTGGCTGGTATTGAATTTGTAGGCTTATTGAAAGGGTTTTGAACAGTCACAGGCTATTGGATAATTGATTTCCTATGCTTATTGATTTTTTACGCTCATTGACAACTTACAAGCCATCGAAAACAGCATCAGTGCCTGTCACTACCCACTCTGTATAATCCTGTTGGATATATTGTACACCATCTAGACCTATTTTTATAGATTATGTACCTCTTCCAGTATTTTACATGCGTAACAGGGTTTTTCATTGCCTCAGCTGGTTAATATAATTATTTATTGATAGAAAAATTCAAATTATTTTAATTGGATGAATTTTGAAATAATTTTTACATATTTTTTATTATTATTTAGGACCCAGTTGACTTAGGATGGAAGCCATATGTAAAAACATGGATGAGTCACTTACCCAGAGAACTTCCTGAATCTGGTAGAAACTTTCTGAATTCACTATTTGAGGCCAGTATTGACAAGGGGCTTAACTTTCTTCACAAGTTTAAGGAGCACCAAGCAGTAGAGGCCCCTGACCTGAGTATTATTGGAACATTGTGTCACATCATTTCTGCTTACATTGACTTTCTTGCCACTCATGGAGGGTTTGGCCTTCCAGGTAAGTCAATATTTGTTTGCATGTGAGAAACACAGGCTTAAGCGACAGTGCATACTCAATAAATATCATTTTAAGTGCTATGAAACAAAAAGTTTATTTCTTTTGACCCCTTTAATCAATGATTATCGCCTTCATTATTACATTCATTATTACCTTCATGATGCCCGAGTTATTCACGTTTACCTACATAGTGGCTGAGTTATATTTTTAATTTTCTTCTGTCAAATTATTTCATATTTAATGCTCTTAATAGATTATAATTTACATATGTCAATTTTTTAAAAATTCCAAATTGTTTCATTATTAGATGAGAAAGAAAAGGACAACTTACAAGTGCCTGAAGATGGAGCTGCCAGCAGCATGTCTTCTGGGAGTGGAGCCTCTAAAAATAAAAGAAGGCAGTCCAAAAAACAGCTCAAACTCAAAGATGAGACAGATAACTCAAATCTTCTTGAAAAAAAGAGTTCAAAAGGGTATAGAATAAAATATTTCTTACGCTTCTAAATTGATTTGTTACATAAATTTGTTCTGTGTATTTTTAACTGAAGTGATGAAAAAAAAAAAAAAAAAGACAACCACAAAAGTTTGACAGCTTGTCTATTTTTTTTTGTCTAAACACACTTTTAATTACTTTTTGGTATATTTTCCTTTTCAGTAAAAAAAAAGTACAAAAGGGTATAAAATAAAATATTTCTTACGCTTTTAAAATTATTTGTTAAAAAAATTTTTTTTTTGTATTTTTAAATGAAGTGATAAAAAAAAAAAAAAAAAAAGACAACCACAAAAGTTTGACAGCTTGTCTATTTTTTTTTGTCTAAACACACTTTTAATTACTTTTTGGTATATTTTCCTTTTCAGTCCTGAAAGAAAAATGTTTTTTTTGGAGCGTCAACCCAACCAACTGAACAACATGCTTGGGAAATTATTTGTTTTTGCCTACACTTGGAGTGTTGGAGGGGTCCTCAAGAGGAGAGAATTCATGGATGAAGATGACAGCAGTTCAAAAAGAGCTGGAGTCACTTTGGAAAGAGTTGATATCAACAATGAATTTGATAATTTTGCGCGTGAACTCTTTGATGTGGAACCTCCTCTTGGTAAAGTTCAAATATGAGATTAAACTTTCATGGTCAACTACTCTGCTGAAAACTTTTAAGTCAAAGCTCTCTGCAGTGTTTAAAAAAAATACTCGTGTCATTTATAACACTGTAATAAGTTGATAATATTTAATTTATGTATTAATGCACAATATTTATAACTTTTTATTAAATGGTAATATAATTTTAGGTGTGAGGTTACCAGCAGGCAACCGCAGCATTTATGGATACTTTGTTGACCTTGAAAGTGGCAGCTTTGTGCCATGGGATGTTCTCATTCCCAGCACAAAGTCGTTGATTGAGAAAGGAGCTGTCATCACCATTGGTAAACTTATTTTCAAATTTTGAAACCAAAAATATAAATTCTGTCATCTTCAGTGTACCAAATCTTGACTTTTTAAAAATAATAATGAAAAATTAATGCAATTTAGGAAATGTTGATTTTGTGAGTGTGCATCATTGATGTCATCTTCTCCTCTCACAGGTGAAACTCTGGGAGTTGTTTCAGACAAGAAAAAACAAGAGCTGAAGGAAGCTGAAATCATCCCAACTGTGGACATTGTTCGCTTTACATTCTTAACCAGTCTTTTACTGCTCAACAAGCACCCTGTTCTACTGACAGGTCAGTGCTAGCCAAACACTGGACATTGTTTGCTTTACATTCTTAACCAGTCTTTTACTGCTCAATAAACACCCTGATCTACTGACGGGTCAGTGCTGGTCAAATACCACCTTAAAAATGTTGATTAAAAAGATATTTAATTAATTGTCAACCAAAATATAATGTGCAGCATTCCTTGTTTCAATGGTTATGGTTGATGTCAATATGTTGTTTGTTCCAGGAGAGTCTGGTGTCGGTAAGACAGCCATAATCAATCACATGTTAAAAGAATTGGAGAAAGATGGAGGGACATCCATGGAAAAATCTTCCACTATTTTGGGATCTGTGTTGCAGTATTCAGAAAATCAATATGGAATTTTGGAAAACATCAGCAGTTTGACGAACTTCCAAAATGAAGAGAATGAAGACAAGACTATGGACATACTGTTGGGCTGTAAGTAGGATGTAGACAAAACTATGGACATTCTGTTGGGTTGTAACTTGGGTTGTAACTAGGATGTAGACAAAACTATGGACATTCTGTTGGGCTGTAAGTAGGATCTAGACAAAACTACGGACATTCTGTTGGGTTGTAACTTGGGTTGTAACTAGGATGTAGACAAAACTATGGACATTCTCTTGGGCTCTTTGAATAGATTCTTATAGAATTTAAGTACTGTTGACATAGGAGTGTATGAGGCAGAATTTGGTACAATGTTATAGCTGACCAACCATAATGCAAAAATTGTGACAATGTTATATATTTATTTCTAATTTTCAAAAATCAACTCATTTGTTTCGATTCCTCAATTCAGCCAAGAGTAAACATATTGGTTTGATGAGCACAATGATACAGTGCAGTGCCCAGACAACTTCCAAGAGACTCCAGGCTCAGATTATGCTCAAGCTGATCAAGAAAAGTAGAACATCCATGGGGGCTCCTAAAGGGAGACGAGTAAGTGGCTGTCAAAGTTACTATCGGGTCCTTTCCCTTTTTTTTTTGTAAGTGAGACAATTTTTAAAATGAGTCAATAAATGTTAGATCTAATTAAACTTTGTTTTAAAATGTTTTGAAAATGTTGTTCTCTCCAGGTTGTTGTATTTGTGGATGATTTAAATATGCCAGCACCGGAGGAATTTGGGGCTCAGCCGCCATTGGAATTGTTGAGACAATATTTAGAAATGGGTGGATTCTATGATACCAAGAAAATGGTCTGGAAGGTAAAAGCAAAAGAAAATATTATCTCTTCAAAAAATTTTCAGCCACCTTGTTTTTTAAAAATGTTCAGTTTTAGACATATATTTTGTTTGAATTTTTGCATTTACGGTAATCACATATGAAAATATATTTGCGTTAATGCCTTCTTGTAATTAACTTGAGAAAATGTATTTACATCCTGCAGGACATTCTTGATGTAACATTGGTGGCAGCATGTGGGCCACCTGGTGGTGGTAGAAACCCTACAACACCAAGGCTTCTCAAACATTTCAGGTATTTTGACCATAAACATTCCAAAGAGAAATATTGTTGCAAAAAATAATTTGGTTAAAATATTATTAGAATGAAACTAAAAGTGTGTTTGTAAGACCTGTAGAGACTTTGGTAGAAGGGTACTTAATGAGGTTCAAACAAGTTTGCGCTTTCACATTAACTTTAATGGGGGTTTCTCATAAAGTTATAATTTTTATTTAATCCCCTTGTAACTTTTTAACAATAAAGATAAATGTCCATTAAGCTATGAATGATTTTATGCATATTCATCATCCACATTTCAGTTTGTTCACTCTGCCACAACCGTCCACCAAGTCCTTACAACATATTTACCAAGTGCAGCTTGGCCGCTTCCTTCAAGAAGGAGAGTTTATGCCTGAAGTTGTTGAGTGTTTGTATCCCATGGTGTCTGCCAGCATTTCCGTCTACTACAACATGTGCTCTGTCATGCTGCCGACCCCCACAAAATCTCACTACACATTCAACATCAGGGACTTATCAAAGGTCAGGGGAATTCTTTGGTTAAACTTTCATATACGGATCAAAACTTAGGTGAACTGTTTGAAATGTAAATGTCAAGAAAAGTATAAAAAAACTTTACCTGTAAGGGGTCGTTCGCAAATTACGTCACCCAAAAATTACCTTTTCAGACCCCCTCCTCCCACCCTGTCACAAAGTGACACAACCCCCCCCCCCCCCACNTCCTCTAAGATCCGAATGGAAAATGGCGACAACAGTTTTTCTATCATTTTTCTATAAGCGCAGAAGGTGTGCCCGACTGAGTTCACGGTACCTATAATAACAGAGGCAATTTCGACCTCAAATTAATGTTTCAAAATTAATTGAATAAAGTTTTTAAAAATTATAACATTTTAGACTTATAATTTTTTATTTATTTTGTGATGACACAAATTTCTGAAACCCCCCCCCCCCTGTCACTCTCACCCTGAGGGTGATGTAATTTGTGAATGACCCCTAAGCTTAAAATAAAGTATTTTATTAAAAATTAAATATTATTAGGTCATTAAAATGATTAATGTTTGTTGTATTTAATTATTTGTTTAAGATGTCATCATCTGAAATAAATTAGGCTAGTAACATTTTTAAAAAAAGGGAAGTATATATTTGTTCAATGTTTTTGCTTAAATTCATTTATGGCAAGTTTGTTTTTCAAGATAGAACATGACACTACTTTTGGTTTGTGTTTCTAAAAAATGTGTTCATATTATAACTCCATCTTGATTCTACATAACACAAGATACAAAATGCATGGTTATGACTAGATTATATTCTGTCTTTGGATTATTCAGAAAAAAATTTCCCCTTGAATTTGATTTTTTGCTAAGGTGATCCAAGGCATCCTTCAGGCTCATTCCTCAGTGATCATGGGAAAAGAGAACTGTGCTCAGCTCTTTGCACATGAAGCGACCCGTGTCTTCCATGACAGACTCATCAACTCACTTGACAGGGAAACATTTTTCAATATCCTTGCTGACAACTTACATGATTATTTCAAAGTATGAAATAAAAAAATAATAAATGAAATTTAAAAATTCAAATTCATTAGAGTAATTCCTTTCTCTAAACATTTTTCCATTAAGTTTGATTTTTCATTTTTATGGTGTAAGAAGCATATTCATTGCAGTAATTATATTTTTATTAAAGTGATTGCAAGGGCTCGCTATCTTGAAGCTATTTTTTCCATTCAAGAAGTTAGGGATTGAATTTTACCAATTAGCAACAAATAAATTGTTATTAAATCTAAAAAAAATTGCTTTTGATGAACTTTGAGGGTCAGTTCCAAAATGTCTCTTATATAAAACTGAAATGTTAGCTACCGATGCTCAAGTCTAATGCTGTATCAAAATATTTTGTGCTTGGGCTATATGTCCTTTCATCTTTGTGCATTGTGTGGAAAAAAATCCTTTTGAGGACCACAGGATACAAATCAGCCCTAGAATTCAAGCTCTAGTTATTGGGAAAAAAAAATTCAAAATTTTTATGTCTGGAGATCATGTCTAGTTAAAGAAATGTACTTTAAAAAATTATTTGTTATTAAATATGGACAATTAATTTAAAAAAAATTAATTTGAATAATTGATTGACCGGGGACAGGTTAGATGGACATCATATAAATTGATGGGAGAATCTGTTTTGTTTGGTGATTTCTTCGACATGAGTGAGCACGGATCAGTTCACAGAGTTTACCGACCTCTAGCAGACCAGAACAAGCTGGTGAGAGTGCTGGAGGAGTACCACATGAGACTTAACATGGGAGAAATAGTAAGTTGTCAGCTGCCATTGGGTTTTATGCCACTAACAAATAATTGAATGAAAACCTTTTAAGGAGTGAGTTTCATGAAAGTCTACAATGTTTTTAACAAAAGTAATTTTTGGTCCCTAGACTGACCAGCTGGTGTTTTTTAAAGAGGCCGTTGAACATGTTGTACGAGCTGCGAGAGTTTTCCGACAACCTGGAGGCCATCTTCTGCTGGTATGTTCTGAAGGAGACAAAATTGTGGATTTATTTATGAAACACTTAAGTTCTAAACCAGCAACTTTGAAATTCTTTGCTCACTAACTTTGAACATTCTTTGCTCACTAATTCATTAACCACTGAATGTTTCTTCTTTCCCACCCATGTCATTTAAATAAAACTAGTTTATACATTTTTTTTAAACCTCTGAGTCTTTTAGTACAGACATCCAGTACATAACTGTATTTACCCGCAGCTCATACAAATGTTTCACTTATAAATTTATAGGTTGGTCTCGATGGAACAGGGAAATCTACCATTGTTCACCTGGCCAGTTACATTGGCAACTGTGAGATGTACCGTCTGAAGCTCCACAACCAATATGGAGCATCTGAGTTCCGTGATGACCTGAAGGCTTTATTCAAGAGAGCAGGGGTGAAAGGCATCCCAACAGTTTTTCTGTTGACAGACGCAGACATTGTCAAGGTGAGTTCTGGAACTTTGAAATCGGTTGAACAGAGAAGAATGTTTTTGATGAAAAAAGAGTTTACTCTCCTTGACCAATATCGAAACTAAATGTAATAGCATCATGTTCAGAATGAAGATATGAACATTAAAAAATTAAAATTCTGCTCAACTTCCTGTCTTAGGAATCTTTTCTAGAAGACATCAACTGTATTCTCAACTCAGGAGAAGTTCCAGATCTTTTTGACAATGAAGAGCTTGATGGGATCACCATGGAGCTGAAAGCTGCGGCCAGTGAAGCTGGCATCCCCGATACACGGGCGTCTGTGTACGCATTTTTCATTCAGCAGATTCGACAGAAGTTGCATGTTGTTCTGACCATGAGCCCAGCAGGTTGGATAATTTATTTCATGAATTTCTATGATTTATATTGTTTTATTTTAAGGGGTACAAAAATGTTAATATAAAATAGTTTTTAGAAGAAATGTTATATAGCAATGCTTTTTGTTGTTCAAACGAAAAAGAAAAAATTATGCAAATTAGTCTAATTTCATTTATCATGTTAAATAAAACTAAAATACGCTTATACTTAATAGACATAATTTTAAAAATCGCAATAGATATACATTATTTATTATATAATGTTGACTATGTCAGGTGAGAGATTTCGTCAGCGTTGTCGTATGAATCCTGCCCTCATCAACTGCTGCACCATTGACTGGTTTGATGAATGGACAGATGAGGCCATGTTGAGTGTTGCCAAAGTTTTTTTTGCTAACACAGAGTTCATAGCCAATGAATCTCGATATAACATAGAGGTAATCAGTTAGTCACTCTTCCTTTGTAGGAAATTTGTTTAATCAATGCCTTCTGTGTTGTGCTTTGCCCAGATTTTAGCTTTTAAAATTTGTCAGCACTGATTTGATGAGTTATCAATTTATTTTCTGTGAGAATGCATATATGAAAGTAAATAAATGATCAGTTTCACTAAAAACATGTATTACACATGTATTATCTCCATTGGTGATATTTAGGAACTAAAAGAACGAGTTGCAAACATCTGTGTAGGAATACACAAAAGTATTGCAGACATGAGTGTCAGATTCTGGGAGGAAACCAGACGGCGGTACTACTCTACTCCCAGTTCATACATGGAGCTAATCAGACTGTACGCACGAATGCTCAAAGACAATAAAATGGAGTTTATGGACAACAGGTTGGTACCAACTGCATATGACCAAAGATGTCTTTGCATTCTCTGTTTGACCAATTCAACTACTGGGCAGTCCGTTAAAGTAGTGTTGAGGTTGGGTTTGTTATTGTAGTTACAATTTCTTGAATTCTGCTTGACGTCCCAAGAACAAAATAAATGGACGACAAGAAATGTTTCTTTATTTTCAACAGGAATCGACTTCAGGCCGGCTTGATGACCTTGACCAATGCCTACTCCATGGTTGGAGCTATGCAGGAAGAGTTGGTGTCCTTGGGACCTATCATTGAGGCTAAAGCTAAAGTAAGAACAAATATTTTTTTTTTTTAGGACTTCTTTAAAACATTGGTTTGTACATCTTGACTGCACTCTAGTGAAAGCTTTTCTTTTTGATTTTAAAATAAATTTTCTCAGTCCTCATTTGCAAACTGGTACTTCCATAAATTTGCCTAGTCTACTTTCCTCCAGTTGCCTAGTCTACTTTCCTCCAGTTGCCTAGTCTACTTTCCTCCAGTTGCCTAGTCTACTTTCCTCCAGTTGCCTAGTCTACTTTCCTCCAGTTGCCTAGTCTACTTTCCTCCAGTTGCCTAGTCTACTTTCCTCCAGTTGCCTAGTCTACTTTCCTCCAGTTGCCTAGTCTACTTTCCTCCAGTTGCCTAGTCTACTTTCCTCCAGTTGCCTAGTCTACTTTCCTCCAGTTGCCTAGTCTACTTTCCTCCAGTTGCCTAGTCTACTTTCCTCCAGTTGCCTAGTCTACTTTCCTCCAGTTGCCTAGTCTACTTTCCTCCAGTTGCCTAGTCTACTTTCCTCCAGTTGCCTAGTCTACTTTCCTCCAGTTGCCTAGTCTACTTTCCTCCAGTTGCCTAGTCTACTTTCCTCCAGTTGCCTAGTCTACTTTCCTCCAGTTGCCTAGTCTACTTTCCTCCAGTTGCCTAGTCTACTTTCCTCCAGTTGCCTAGTCTACTTTCCTCCAGTTGCCTAGTCTACTTTCCTCCAGTTGCCTAGTCTACTTTCCTCCAGTTGCCTAGTCTACTTTCCTCCAGTTGCCTAGTCTACTTTCCTCCAGTTGCCTAGTCTACTTTCCTCCAGTTGCCTAGTCTACTTTCCTCCAGTTGCCTAGTCTACTTTCCTCCAGTTGCCTAGTCTACTTTCCTCCAGTTGCCTAGTCTACTTTCCTCCAGTTGCCTAGTCTACTTTCCTCCAGTTGCCTAGTCTACTTTCCTCCAGTTGCCTAGTCTACTTTCCTCCAGTTGCCTAGTCTACTTTCCTCCAGTTGCCTAGTCTACTTTCACTTCTGACATAAGTCCAGTTGACCAGTCTACTTTCACTTCCACCATAAGTTGAGGCTGACCGAATTTCGGTTTTGGCGCAGAAAGTTGCCATTTGATCACTTTCTGTGTAGTTTCAGTTTTGGCTGAAACAGAAAAATTAACATTCAGGTTATTTTTTGTTTTAGCCAAAGGTGATTGAGGCTTTCAGTCATCTACCAGAAGTCAGACTCTCACTATATCTGGCTGTCAGCAGGCAATCTGATATTCATTATTGCTGGACGTTTTGCTCTCGGTGTATGATATATGACTAATCCTCTGCGAATACTGCTCACAGCTATATGATGAATTACTTTTCAAAGATAAAATTTCAGAATACTAGGTTTATTCAATTCATTCATTTGTGACATTCATTTTGATTTATTATTTTAATGCTCATAAATTAATGTTGTCATAGGGCAAAGGTGAATAGTATTGTGCAAAAAAATAATCCTAGGGAATGGTAACATTTCCATTATTATTTTTGTTTTAAATTTTAAAAAAAGTTAAATTAGGGAACCTTAGGCTTATTCAAATCATTCATTTATTGAAATTCATCATTATCATGCTGATTAACATTCTCTATGACGTAATAAAAATATTTCACAAAATTTAGTATTAGTATAAAAATATAATGTATTTCAATTTTGTATGATTAGGCAAATAATAGCCTTTAATTTAAATAAAAAATCTACACACGAGTGCATGTATCATTTTTTAAAATATTAATTATGTAGTAGGTCTACTGTATTATCATACTAAACATAGCTCAACATTAGTTCAATTTTTGTTTAACATGGGTCAATAATAAAAATATCCAATATATGATAATAGCGGATAAATGAAAAATCTAAATGTTGACCAATAAGAAAGCGTGTTTCAATGAAAATATGGTTTAATAGAATAAAGAGTATCCTCAAGGCTTATGTGTGGACATTTTAGTGGACCATACCAATAAAAAGTACATAGGCTAAGCTTTTGATCATTACCAAATATGTCTAGACAGCATTGTAATTAAATTATAAAAGCCAAGGGTCTATTTTGCATGAATTGTGCCCCCCCCCCACCACACACACCCAAAGTCAAAGGTTCCTCTTACCATACTACTTTTAAATACATTTTTAAAAACTCTAAATTAATTTTTTATTCAAATAGTAAAATCCTAAATTTTCATTAGATGTGTATCTATTAAAATTCACGATAATCTCATTTTTAATAAAAAGAATATAATTATTGATACTTTCCACCATCATTTTCGACATAGGCAGAACGTTTGGGTGAACAAGTTTTGAAATATCTAAATCTTTCAGCTTCTGTTTCAGATTCAGCCAAAAGTCTCGTTAAGCTTTTGGTTTCGGCTTTAGTTTTGGCTGAAAGTCATTTTAAACTTTTGGTTTGGTTTCAGCTTTAGTTTTGGCTGAAAGTCATTTTAAACTTTTGGTTTGGTTTCGGGTCTGGCCAAAATCAGAAAATCACAATGATTGGTCCCTAACCATAAGTCCAGTTAACTATTCTACTTTTCTCCTGTTGGCTACTGTGTTAGATTTTCCCTTTGTCTTTGTTTCATTGTATCTATTATCCTAATTTTTTTTTATTTGGGATCAGCTAACCCTAATTCCCAACACTCCTTCTTTATCCTGACTTGGAATAGGGTGTTCCTCACAAGGCTGCTACATGTGGAATTGATTTCAAAATTAATATTCACTTTATCAGTCAAACTTGTTGGAAGCAATTTTAGATTTTATTTATTTTTTTGAATATTTTTTAGATAACATTACTTCATAACGTTTAGGATGTCACTTAGTAGAAGGACACAAATTTCAACTTTTCTTGATTTCAGGATACAGAGATATTGCTGCAACAGTTAGAGGAGGATCGTCTGGCTGCCAAGGAGGTAGAAGATATTGTATCTCAGGAGGAGAGCATCATGGCTAAGGAGATGAAAATTGTACAGGATTATGCTGATGTAAGGGGAAGTGATGAATACATTAAAGAATTTGTCAGGGATTCTCATTAGTGGTAGGAAGGGGTGCAGGCTGGTTAAATTAATTGTCAAGTAGGAGATCAGAATTTCATATTTCTATTTGACATTCCAGGAATGTGAGTCAGATCTGGCTGCTGTACTGCCAGTTTTAAGAGATGCAGTGGCCTCCCTTGAAACATTAGACAAAGCTTCCATATCTGAAATCAGGTTTGTTTATAATTATTTGTAAATAAATTGTTTTAAAAAGCAAGAGTCTCTACATTTTAATTTAACCAAAAAAACTTCAACCTTGTGTTTGTGTGCCAAGTCAAACTGTGATACTTTGTTATGTGTTTGCTTCATGTGTTGCTCTATAACAGGGTGTCCAACCTTTAAGTTTCTCTGGGCCACACTGGATGGAAGAAGAGTTGTTTTAGGCCACATATAAATAACAATCACACTAATTATAGCTGATGAGCTTAAACATAGAATATAATTAAGTAATTCAAACTTTTTAGATTTATTATAAATTCATCATAATGCAAGCTTGCATTGTGAAATAAGTGTGATGTTGGACATCATTTTTAATAAATTAATGCTTTGATATTATGTACGATAGACATAGTTGCAAATTCTCAGTGAGTTCTCAAAGAGCTCTTCAGATATTTTTGTTCTTGTTTTATTGTTCATGTGCGTTCATCCTTGAAAAAAAGCTTATCACAAATCTAGGTGCTTCCAGACAGAAATGAAATAAATAAAGCATGATTGTGAAGTGAGGGATATGTTTCTCTGGGACGAAATAGCTTTAAAAAATTCAGTAAAGAGACATATTTTCATTGTTCACAGGACAATGTATAGCCAATGTGTCAAAATGCATACAAATGTTTGCTTTGATTTGAGATTGCTATAAATCTATTTTCATCTTGAACACTGTTATAGTTTGAAATATTGAATTGATCAGCTTACAGATGCTTGTTTAACTCAACAGATAAAATTTAACTAATTTTAATGAGCGTTCAACTATACTAACAATTTCAAATATGTGAGCCAGTTTTCATCATCAAGCTCTTGCCAAATTTTGTTTTAGATAAATGACTTGATTTCATTTCAACTTAATCATCTTACTTCCGAAAATTAAATGATGCCCCATAGTCAGCATCCATGCATTTAAGGAATTCCAGGATTTGGAAGTGTCAATCCCTTGCCCTTTTGAAATTTACAGCCTTAATGACAGTCTGTAGGACATTATCCATCTTTAAAACTGTTCTCTGCCCCCAGGGTTTACACCAAGCCCCCACAGCTGGTGTCCACTGTCATTGCCGCTGTCTGCGTCTTGTTCCAGAAAAAGACTGATTGGGCCACAGGGAAGCTTTTCCTTGGGGATCCCCAGTTTCTTAAAATGTTGCTCACTTTTGACAGAAATAATCAACCAGAAAAGGTCAGTGGTGTTAAATATTCAAATAAGATCTAAATGAAAGCACATCATTTATTTTCTACAAAGAAATTAGGAAACAAAACATAATTTTTTAAAAAGTACCAACATTTTGAATTAATTAAGTTGAAAACTGGGGAATTATTTCCTTCAAACCTCTGCACTGTTAAAACTACCTGTTGTTAAAACACCCTTTGCCACCACTTTTAATTACTTCTGATTATAAAATTTAACCATGTATTCTTAAATGATTGGTTAATTAGTTACTCATCAACTTTTGATAGATTAAAAAGCCTCTTTGGGACTATTCAAATAAGTAGTTGAATGTGATACACAAACAAACCAAACTATACCAAAACATTGTTACACATAACCCAGTGGTTAAGTCATTAAAATCACAGAAGATATAATGCAGTGATTCGGATTCTAATGCACGACCGTCATCATCAAGGCTCAATTTTCTTTGGAAAAAATTAGCAGAGGGCATTAGCTCTTCTTGTTAGTATATGAGATCTTTCATATTAAATGATTTGAAGGTTGGTAAAATAACATTTGATTAACCATTGAGTACCCTATATGTACATAAATATCGAAATATAAATCCAAAAGGGACTGTGCACTCTCCAAAAGTTTAAAGTTACATTGAAACCAGTCCTCTATTCAAATATTGCAGGTGTATGCCAAACTTAAAAAGTTTACGAAAGATCCCAACTTTAACCCTGAGGCTGTGGGTAAAGTGTCCTTGGCTTGTAAGTGTATCTGTCGATGGGTCCTTGCCATTGATAACTACAACACTGTTTATAAGGTTGGTGGATTCACACACACAAAAATCAAATATTTGTTTAATGTCTTAGCACACTTAGCACATCAAATTGTATTATTTTTACTATTAGCAATACTTAAATACAATAAAATATATACTATTTTAAAAATGTTTTTAAGGTTAAAACAAGTTATTTTGAATATGAATCCTAGCAATATCCCCACTTTGAAATATTTAATGTCTAGCCATAATGTGTCAACACTGGTGAATCCATGGAGTTAATGAACACAATCAGTTTAAAAATATGAACTTCAACTCTCCGTTTTGATAAAAGAAATTACATCAAATATTTTGATAAAATATATTACATAAAATAATCACAACCATAGACTTTAATAAGACCTATATAAATTTTATTTTCAATATTAAAAAAATTTGATTTTTAAGAATGTTTTGTAAATGCAGATGGTAAAACCAAAACAGAGGAGAGTTCAAGATGCCAGGGAGGCGTTGCAGCTGGCACAGGAAAGTTTGGCCAAGAAACAAAGCAGCTTGAAAAAGGTTTTTTACCAAGTTTTGTTTTCATTATTTTCAGGTTAAACATTTGTTCTATTTTTTTTAAGCATCTGGCGGGAAAAAAAACAGATTTAGATTCATGACTTGGTGATGTTGATCTACTACCATCCATATGAAAATTAGTTTTCTCTAAGTTAAAGAAAAATCCCAAAATTTATCTACCCACTCTAATATTAATTGTACTTCTACATTTTTTTGGTACAATATTAGATTCAGGCACACCTTGAAGTCATTCAACAACAATATCAAGAAAGTGTTGATCAGAGAGAAGCACTTAAGGAGAGGCGGAGAGTTACTGGACTTCGACTTGATAGAGCTTCCATTTTGATATCTGCTCTTGCAGATGAGGAGGTTAATAACAGTACTTAAAAATATTTTTGTAAGATTGTAAGGGCACTATTATTTATTCACATTTCCAGCCTGTCACTTTTGAGAAAACTTTTATGAAAATATTACATGAGAAATTATCAGACTAATTTACCAGTGATCAGAATTCATCCATAAATATTGATTTTAAAAGTACATGATGCAAACAAACTCTTCTGTTAAGTCCTTAATCTTTTCTTTTAAAGTATTCCTTTTATGTTAACTCCTAGATCTTTTGATTATTTTCAGGTACGTTGGGCCCAGTCCGTCAAGTTCCTTGATGTCAAACTTGAAGGCATTATAGGTGACACATTGATATCAGCAGCCGCTGTAGCCTACCTGGGAGCATTCACTGCCCACTACAGACAAATTTTGTTGAATGAGTGGGTCCACATGTGTGAAAAGAAAGATATCCCTATATCCAAAGATTTTGATATTATCCAGAGCATGGTGGATATTAATCAGGTATGCTTCATATCTTAGATAATTTAAAATAAATTTCACAAAGAAAGGATTTAGGTTATGATGCCAGGAATCAGGAGCAGTCAACTCTTTGGATAAATGAAGCAGATATACAAGCTAAGGGACCTCACATGGTGATGACAACCTATTGATGGGCCTAAATGTAAAGATGTGATGTTGCTGGCCAGAGCCTTTTTTTTGGCTGTAGCACCATTTATAAAAATTGCACATTAAAATTATTTTTTAATGGAAATAATTACAGTTTAAAGGATGGACATAGAGTTTGTAGAGTAAATGAAAGCAAATAAAAAGCTAAATCCTAAGCTAAAAATAAAACAATCAAAATTAAACTATTTAAATCAGATTTTGAGATGTAATTTTTGCTTGTCACATCATCAGTTATCATTTGTTTTTTTCAAACTGATAAATAAACTTTGAAAAATTATATTATTTCTTGCATTTTCTGATCTGATCTCATTAATTTTCTAAAACATAAACAAAAATTTCAGGTGATGAAATGGCACAACAATGGCCTCCCCAGAGACAAACTGTCTACAGAAAATGCCACATTTGTTAGTCGATCCCGCAAGTGGCCTCTTTTTATTGATCCTCAGGGACAAGCTGGCAGGTACTTGGTGTCTCACATGCTCATTATCACATGATGTTTGTGGATCTGTATTAAGAGACATAATGTTTATCTTTTCATAGACAACATAAAAGAAATTATTTTATTTTCTGAGTGGGAAATTGTTATGGAATACAGAATTATGGTTAAATTTTCTTGCAGGTGGATCAGAGAGATGGAGAAAGATCGTCTGAAAATTGTGACAGGATCTGAGTCAAACTTGATGCGCACCATAGAGACTGCCATTAAGGTTGGAGATCCAGTTCTGCTGTCGGTAAGTCAAGTGAACCACAAATAATTTATTAACTTATAAAAACTATTTCGAACTATTCTCAGGTTTAGATGTAATGATGTCTTCTGTACACATAATAGGATGTTGGGGAGGAGCTGGACCCAGCCTTGAGGCCAGTACTGTTACAGGAGACTTACCACAAGGGAGGTCAACTTGTCATGAAGATTGGAGATGTGGAAATAGAATACAATCAAAATTTTAGGTAATTAAAATATTAAAACAAAATGGGCCCAAAGTAGAATCATATTACTATACTATTTAATATTTAGTTGTTTAGACATATGTTTTTATACCTGCTAGAAATGACTTTTAAATACCTTTATTTAACTGTATTATAATTTATTTCTGTAAAAGTTACAGCTATTTGATACATGAGAGGAATTATTCAAGCGCCGAATCATGTATTATATATTAAGATATATGTCTGTTATAGCTTATCTTAACTAAACTATTCCGATGTGTCTCATTCCTTAGGCTCTATCTGGCAACTGCTTTGGCAAACCCACATTACTTGCCAAGCATTTATTTGGAGGTGAATGTCATAAATTTCACAGTTACATTTGATGGCCTTCAGGAACAGTTGCTCTCTGTAGTTGTAAAACAGGTGTGATTTTTCAATGTATCTTTTTTTATAACTACACACGACTACCACAAACAACTCGAAGCTCACTTTATTTAATATTGTTTTATTTTGTGATATCTCTTCCAAGGTTAATTATAAAAATATAGAATTTTTTGTCTTTAATTTTTAATATCTATTTTGTATATTTTGCATATAGGAGAGGCCTATTCTTGAGAAACAAAGAATCCAGTTGTTAGAGAGTATAGCAAATGATAAACAAGCTCTGAGAGATCTGGAGGACAAGTCACTCTCTATGTTACAGAAGACTGAAGGTCATTTCCTGTACAACTCATTTACATTTTGTTACACTTGAACAATTATGATAACTCTAAATCTTAATCCAACACCATCTATCATTTGAAAAATACCATTAATTCCATCTAATATTACATGTTTCATAATCAATAATTAAATAAACATTTGGCTTTTTTTGCTCACTTTATCACTTCTTTATACTTCAGTCATTATCACAAATGTTTTTATTTTTAAAAAAATGTTGTAATCACGTTTTTAAAAATTTTTACTTGCATGAATCTATAAACACATTCCATAAACACAGTCTATAGCATATTGCAATAAACTACTCTATAACATATTATTTCATTAACATATCCCACGCCAGTACTAACATGTCTCAAGATGTTATTCGCAAATTGCAAGCTACAATCAACATATCTGATCTCAAACTACTATCAACATTATTCAAATTTTTCAAATCCCCCCCCCCCCTCTTCCACTCCACAGGCCACCTTCTGGATGATGAAGATTTGGTCCTGACCTTACAACAGAGTAAAGCCAAATCACAAGAAATCTACATAATTTTTCAAACCCCCCCCCCCCCCTCTTCCACTCCACAGGCCACCTTCTGGATGATGAAGATTTGGTCCTGACCTTACAACAGAGTAAAGCCAAATCACAAGAAATCTACAAAAGAGTGGCTGAGTCAGAGGAAACAGAAAAACACTTAAATCTGGCTCGTAAAAGATATTTACCAGTAATTAATGTTTAACCAAGTTTTTCATTTTAAGTTTAATTCATTAGTATGATTTTTCTCAACTAAGTCCTTTAGAAATAAGAATGAAGTCTGGAGCACACAGTAAATGAAAAGAGGCTTTGACAGGTTGTGACATCTAACAAAACATAAAAAATTAAAAAAAAAGTATTGTTAGGAACCTTAATAGAAATATCTAGTTCCATTTATTTTGCTACATTCTTGATTATTGGGGTTACAATTTGTGGTGTTATGGAAGTTGTTAGGTTAAAAAGTGAATTGTGTAATTTAATAGCTTGATTAGTTTTCCACTGATTTGTGAAACATTTTAAAATGTAGGTTGCCACCCGTGGATCTGTCATCTACTTTGTGATTGCTGAATTATCCAACATTGATGTCATGTATCAGTTTTCTCTCACATGGTTCCAGTCCATGTTTTCAACATGCATTGTTGATAGTTCTGGAGGCAATTACTTTGCAAGTGGAGTGCTCCGACCTTCTAGTGCCAAGACAATTAGATCTATGAACAATGATCATCAAGGTATTTTCTGTCTGCTTTGTGAAAACTTTGTGAAATGTAAAACTAGGTATTTAATCTGTTGGTCTTCATAACCATTTTTTCTCTCTATTCACTACTCTTTTAGCCTAAAGTTTAAAAGAAGCAGCTCACATTTGAAATGATAACTATGACTGATAGCTAATTTCATCTTGTACAAAATGCTTTAAAGGAATGAGTAATGATTGAACAAAATTTGCAAAACATTGTTTGCCATATGATTAAACTTATTATTATTTCTCATCAATAAGCTAAAATATGATTATAGGATTAGTCATATTAATCTCCGCTTTAACTCTTGTCATGTAATATTTTAATTATGACTCCCCTAGATGAAGATCCTCTGAGGAATCTCCATAATAGTGATAGCAAAGATAAACTTATGGTGCACTTGGCTTCAATGATTGAACGGCTGACTTACAACATCTACAGGATTGTGTCTGTTGGTCTCTTCTCTAACCACCAACTAATTTTTTCATTCATGCTTTGTTCCAGTATAATGAGGGTAAAATTGCTTGATAAAAAATTCCAGTTTTAATTAAAATACATTTTGGGGCTTTTATGTTTCATACAAAGTATATTTCATCCATTAAAAAATACAAAATTGTTTCACTATTTATGGAATAAGAATTTTTTTTACTTTCTCCTGTCATTTGACTGGTTGTAATGAATTTTTACATTCTTTAATAATACCTAAACAAGAAGCTAATTCTAGTTCCTGAAATAAATTATTAAATTTCACTAGGATCACCTTCACCTTTAAAAATTATTATCATAAAATGTGTATAAAATTCAAACTTGTTATGTTCTTTTGGTAGAAAAATAATATATAAACTTGTAATTTGTGAAAACCTTTGAAAAAAATTTGAGTTTTCATAACGTTTGTTTGTGTCGATATATAATTTTTTCTATTTGGATCAGTTTTCAAATAAAAAAACTTCTAAAAATCATGTGACTGTAATGTGCATATGAATCAAGGCCAGAACATTTATCAGTCTTTATAACAAGAAATTATCAGTGAATACAATAAAATATTCTGCTATCTTACTTTCAGGCCAACACAAAAGAAGAGGACAAAGTCTATCAAATGGAGACTATCCTTGACAATGAATGGCACATATTTCTACATGGCAATGTTGCTGCTGCCTTACATGCCAAAGAAAAGGGTAAACACACAAATTAAAACAACTCTTTCATGCCTTTTTCTTTCCCTTAGATCAAGGGTTCCCAACCTGTGCTTTGCAGAGCCCTAAGAGCTCAGCTGGCACTTCTCCCTGGCCACTCCAGAAAACTCATGAAGACTATTATCTTGTATGAAATAGGTTAGACCTAAGGGGCACCCCCACAGAAATATATCTAAAAAGGGGCTCTGTGAGTCAACAAGGTTGGGAACTCTTGCCTTGCGTTAGATAAATTTATTGATTAAATTTCTTTTTAAAAAAAAATCATTTGAAGCATTTACAATACAATGTTGTTTATATGATTCACTATCTACATTTAAATTATAGTCTTTAATAACTATTTTCATACTATTTACAGATGAATCAGAAAAAGATGAGGATATCCCCACTGAAAATATTCCAGAAAAACCAGAGAATAGAAAGGGAAGTAAACCCAAAAGCAGTAAGGGAAATAAGTCAGCATCATCACAGAGCAAGCTTGGCCCCAACTGGATCACAGATTCGGTCTGGCGACAGTGCCAATACATGGAGAACAACATTCCAAATTTTAAACTCCTGTGTTCAAGTTTGTCCAACAATGAAGAGCAATGGGAAGAGTTTAAAACATGTGAAGACGTTTTTCACTTAACTGGCCAACCTTATGTGCCAGGTAACTAAATGGTTAAAATTGTAGACTTTATAAATCTGAAGTCCAAGCAAACAATAAAATAATATTTCACCTGATAATAGGGAATCCTATTTTGTATTGAATGTATATTATTTCTGATAATATTATTTTTTATCATAATAGTACCAGAAGTGAAATATGTTGCCAGATGTTTATTATTAATAAAGAAATTTGTATCCATATTTAGCACCAACTTGTGACACAGCTACAATTTTTCAATGGCAAAATTTGACAAAGTTTCAACGTTTATTGCTCATCAAGACTCTGAGATTAGAGGTATTGCCTGCTTCAATCTCATTGTTTATTCAAGACCAACTTGGGATCAAGTATATAACTACAGGAACATTTGATCTCAGAGAGATTTACAATGAATCAATGGCAAAGTCACCATTGATATTTATCTTATCTCCTGGTAAGTAGGTGTTACGTTAATTGATTTATTCATAAACTTGTCGTTAAAGCATGGTAGTTGAACCCTCTGGTCCTGATGGCCCGAAATTAAGATTATAATTAATTATTTAAAAGATGAAAATATAGAAAGAAAAACATTGCTGGAGTTAGTGTTTATAACAGTGCTTTAGTGCATTTTGTGACAAAAAAAAACCCTTTCACCTAAAAATGTTTTTGGTGACCCTATGTTTCATAATGGAATCCCAAAGAAATTTTTTAAAAATGTATATATTTTTTTCATTCCTAAATATAAAAGAGGTATTTTGATAGCTGTAAATCAGAATGCAAATAAGTGCTTTAAGTTTAAGTATTTAAATAATAATAGCACCATGTGCACTCTGATTTATATTACACATAAATTTATTTTATATCATGCCATATTTTGCTAATGGAAAATGTATCTTTCATAATCAAGAATAAATGTAACATTATAGTGCTTGGATAAATTCATCATATGTTACAACTATTTTTATGTGTTACTTTTCTGAGTTACCAGTGAATATTTTAAATGAAAATAAAGACTTAAACCCTAATACAAAATAAGTATGTCAATATATTTTCATAAACTTATTTTGTTATGAAATTCAATAATTCTATTGAAACTCCTCATATAGTTCAATAATGAATCCTAAATGTTATTCTAAAACATTTTATAACTTCAGAGTTATATTGGTTTTAAAGCACAACTGGACTTAAGTGGAATGTTTTATCAATTGTATTGGAGGATTGTTATAAGTTACATACAGCAAAAATAAAATGATTTCATTTAGATATTCTCCCTAATTTTGAACTCCCATTTTCACATTTCCTTTACACACAATTTTCCTGTGTAATTTGTATGTCGACCAAATAGTTTTTACTGTGTGATATTAAAACATGCTTTTAACATTTAATATGAATTTTTCCTAATTAAAATAAATTGATTCTTCTGGCACAATTTTAGCCGGCTACATTTATAAAAAAATGTGAGCTTTGTGTTGGGCAATATTTTATAAATATATATATGTATATATATATATACATACTATATTTTTAAACTTAATATTTTTAAAGTAATATAAGGATTTTAAAATTGCTTAAATTAACAGGAAATTTTGAAAAATTTTAAGAATATCAATAGGCTTGAAAATAGCTTCGTTTGTATTTATAAAAACTTGCTGAATGGTTCATTAAAGTTAAAATTGCATGATTTCCAATACTTAGTGTAGCCGAGTGGTGACGTAGCTTACAGTTTAAATAAAATCACAATAAAACAATCAGGTCTGAGAACTATAGCTTTTTAATGTAAGGTTCAATCCGTTGATAGAGCTGACAGTAAAATCTCTCACATATGCCGCCGACCCGACGCATCCATTCCACACCACAATCTCAAAAATGTACACACCTCAAGTCCCAGTTCACCCCCCCCCCCCCCACCCCCCAAAACAGTCACAGGGAACCCGCGTCCCAAGCTGACCATGGGTCAACCCCGGGGCAGGGATGGTTATTCCAACGTGTAAATAACCAACATAAAATTTAAGGCCCAGTACACAGCTGTGTGTTACTTTAAATGACCATGTATGTGTACGTGCTTGAGGTTACCCATAGCAGTCACACTATGACTATGAGAGTGGATTCTCTTATTCCTATCTATTGCCTACTGCCGCAAATAAAATGTTACCTAAAAGCAGTTGCAAATAGTGGCACATTGCCACATAAGCATTGTTTATTCTTATGAAATAAAAGAGTAGGGTCAAATGTCTTTACGTATATTATTTGTGTGAAACAAAAATTTGGCCAGGTTTTCTAAAACTTGCTTTTATTAAGATGTTTATTTATCTAGATGTGAGTAATTTTTCATCTCCCTTTGACTATTTGTACTTGTTTCTAGGTGAAGGTAAGAGTATGAAATTCACTTATGAAGATTAAATTAGTTTTTCTTTATATACATTATAATATTTGTTTCTATATATTTATAGAATATATTTAACTATATGTAATTTTGTTGGGTAGCAACTTTGAGATTATTCATAACAACCTGTTCACATCTTCCTTATTTCATAACAATCTATAGGTCACCAATTCAAAATTTTTTTGCAAGTTTAAAAAAATATAAAACCTACGTTAGTCTTATTAAGTTATAGTTCATGTTAAATTTCATTTAAATTATATCAATACTCACAAATTCTTACAGAAACTGTTGTTTTTTCGTGTTTGAGTTGATGTTTGAGAAATAATTGAAGTTTATAAAGCATGAAAAGCTATGCATGTACTATAGTCTGTTTTTATTTATTTTTTAACATAAATTCTAATCTTTTAATTTTTACTTGTCTATCTTAAACTAAATAACTTTTCAATTCTTTACTTGTCTTTTTTCCTCTTCATCTTAAGATTTAAAAACTTCAGCTAAATAACTAGCAATCATGGGGAAATGAAATATGGGTAATAAGTATTACCATATGAATTTAAAAAAAAAACAACTCTTGCTATTTTTTGTCTTTACTTTTTCATTGTGGATTTAAAAAGAAACAATTATAACCGAGAGAATTTACTATTAACTTGGAATTAATAATTTATAATAATACCATTTGCATATGGAAATGAAAAAATAATTTTAATAAAGTATGCTATATAATATATTGTGTACAATTTTGTTATTCTTTAAAGCAAAAAGTCAAATTTTCATAACTTTAGTATAAACACTTTAACTGTTAGCTGATGCTTGAACAATAATTGTCTTTAGGATGTGATCCCTCTGGTCAACTGCTCAGGTTTGCAAAGGAACTTAGGGGCAGCATTCTTCACCTTGATATGATCTCCCTTGGAAGAGGTCAAGGTCCTAAGGCTGAAGAGCTCATATCTAAGGCACAGATTCTGAAAGGAAGATGGGTGTTTTTACAGAACTGTCACCTGGCAGCTTCATGGATGCCCAAGCTCCAAGCAATAGTGGAAAAGTCAGTTTTTTTTAAAAATATTTTTGTTTCATTTGCATTTTTGTAATGTTTGGTGACAGATTTTTGGTTTTATTGATAATAAGCTTAGCATTTATATTTGTTATTATTTTTTATTATTTAAATATAGTTAAGAGAAAAACATTATCTTAATTAATATTGAGTTTATTTGTCTCTGTAGGTTTAATCAAGGGAATGAAGATAACCTTGACCCCCAGTTTAGGTTGTGGCTTAGTTCACGACCAGATCCATCTTTCCCAGTTTCTATTCTTCAGTATGGAATCAAGGTAATGTTTAAAAAATCTTCAAAAAAATTATTGTTAAAATGAACTGCAATATTCTTGAACATTTATCATATTTTTGAAATTATCGTTTTTACTCTCTTTTACCAGATGACCATTGAAGCACCACAAGGGCTCAAGGCTAATTTACTGAGAACCTTTGGCAGTGCTGGTGCAGGAGTTGTCACAGAAAGTCTTTATGATAAAAGTTCTAAAAAAGAAGCTTGGCGACCTCTTTTGTTTGGACTTTGCCTTTTTAACAGTGTTATCCATGAAAGGAAGAAGTATGGCACTCTAGGGTGGAACATTCCTTATGAATTTAATGACTCTGACTTGGAGGTTGGCACTGTTTTTTTTGTGTATATCTGACTATTAGTAAATTTTATGGCCACAGGGATTATACAGAATCATTTTCTATTCCTTCTATGAGCTTTGGATTCAAGGGCACAGAGTATAAATGATCAAGTCAAGAAATTCTATGGCTTTATCTCAAAATAGAAAACCATCAACTGGATTTTTTTATCGGACTCTGTTGAATTTTTTTCAAAATTTATTATTCTATTATTACTGTTGTAAACTTAAATGGAACACAAAACGGAAATCTGGCAAACCGCTTTATTTTGTAATTATTTCATATACTTGCTATTCCTTTACATTATTTTTTACTGCTCATCTTGTTCTTAAATACACATAAATTGTGACATTAGTTTCTAAATGAAATTGATCATACTATAGGTTTCTATTTGGAAACTCCAAATGTTACTTGAGGAGCAAGAAGAAGTTCCATGGACTGCCTTAAATTACCTCACAGGGGAGGTGACCTATGGTGGTCGTGTTACTGATGATTGGGATAGAAGATGTCTTATTTCCCTTCTTAGCAAGTTCTACAACAGAGCTCTCTTTGAACCAAACTATAGCTATGATTCAGCTCATGTGAGTAACTGTGAATCAATTTAGCATTTAAACAGAACCATAGTAATACAAAATAATTATTTTTAAAAAATGAATAGGATCACGACAGTTGTATTCTTCAGTTGACTTGAACAAAACTTTTGGGTCAAAGGCAACATTTATTATTTAGGAAAATTAATGTTAGAGAATTTTAAGATGATCAAATTTATCCTGAAATTCCGAGAAATTAATCAAATTTATTTATTTCTATGACACACTCATTACAGATGTATCATCCAGTGCCAACAACATTGAGCTTCAATTCAGTATTTTCCTTTATTGAAGAGCTTCCAAATTATGACAGGCCAGATATATTTGGCATGACTGAGAATGCTGAGAAAGCATGTAGGGAGTTCCAGGCATCTGGGATCATTAACACTGTTATTGGCGTCCAGCCAAGAAGAGCCACCGCTCTAACTGGGTATATCTAATAAATATGACCAACTATTATCATTCCTCTCCTAAAAGTAATAACATCAATATAAAATAATTCATTTAAAGACTCAATAGAAGTGATAAAGGCTACTTGCTAGGAATGAGACAAAGATGGGTGGGGCGGAGCATTAAACTTAAATTTGTTTAGGACCTAAAAAAAAAGATATTTCCTCAACTATAAAAAAAATTTTATATAAATTTTCAGTTCCCAGAAAAGTAGTGATGCAGCAGTATTGGAGATAGCGGAGGATATTGGTCAGCGCCTCCCACTTTGTGTTGAAGACAACTCTGATTCACCTAAACCAGCACTGTTGGAGCCTCAGCGGTCATTAAAATCAATCTTACAGAAAGATGTAGAAACCAAAGGACTAGACAAAGAAAAAATGTCTAGTAAGCTAACCATAACAAGACTATAAACAGGGGTTGCTGTAATGTAATATGAGCCATACAAACTAACTGGCAACCAATGTGGAGGTGGCATCAAAAGCCAAACTATCATTTAGATAGTCTTTTGTCATACTGATTGTTCACTTTGGAGATTTCACACCATCTAGAAATATTTCTTGGGGCACAGCTGGTCATATATACTTATAAATAATGAGAAAATATCTGCATTTAAAAGCACAGACAATTTTATGTACCAGTAGCATTTACAATTTTATGCAGCATTTAAAATCTTCTATATGTATGGTGTAATCTAAATATTTTAATCTGGTTAGGAAATTCTTGAACATATCATTTGGAAAAGATGATTTAAAATTGTTTCATTATGAATTAGTTCACTGACTTAAGTGATTTAAATTGATATTTATTGGTAACTGTCTTTTTAACATGCTTAAATAATGAAAATCTTCAATAAGAAATCACCCATCCATTTTAAACATTTTCAGTTTTAGAGACATTAACCACCAACCTGGCAGGCAATTCAGCACTACTTACTATTTTAAGACAAGAAATTGACCGCTTCAATCACTTGCTGTCTGTCATTCATACTTCCTTAAACCAACTAATTCTGGCAGTGAAGGGTGAAATTGTCATGTCTGAAAACTTAGAAGATACTTATGATTCCTTGCTAACACAACACGTACCAGCTCAATGGAAGGTAATGGTTTAACAGATGTCTCAGGGTGGGATAAATGTCCACATAAATGATACAATAATAATACCTTAACTCATGCAACATCATGTGCATGGAGAGTCAAAATTCTGTGATAAAAAATAATTTGGAATGAAAAATTATGTGAAACAATATATTTCACTGCTACAAATTTACAAGAAAATAAATATTATTTTGTATGAAAAAGAACGAGGTGTTCATAACTGTAATAATCTTAATTTTTGCAACTTATTTGACAAAGTCAATTGAGTTATTTTTATTTTTCTCTAGAATGCAGCCTATGAGTCCACAAAATCGTTATCTTCCTGGGTTTCCGACTTACAACAGAGGGTGGAGTTTTTTGCTGAGTGGGCCAAGCTCCTATCTTCAAGTATAGAGAAAAAATTCAGACAAATTATACGCAATGTCAAAGATACAGCTGGAAACACCGATACCTCGTCTGAAACACAGCCAACAACTTTCTGGTTGTCTGCATTTTTCTTTCCTCAAGGTTAAATAAATTTTCATTTTGATGCAAATTTGTTAATAAATTAATACAATCCAATGAATGGAACATTGCCATTGCCACCATGATTGAAAACAGGGTACATAAGTCAGAGCTTTATTTTAACATGAATAATGAATACTTATGTAGTAGTATGAGGTACTCTTTAAATATTAAAATATTTGGATAAGATAGATTGGAAGCTCACACTTTTGGACATCATCTTTTCCCACTTTATATATTTCCAAATAAATGTTTTTAAATGTTATGTTAAATGAAATTGAAAATAATAGTTCGATGCACAATCTCTTACAATCATTAAAAATATTTTCACCCGATAGGTTTCTTGACAGCCGTGCTTCAGAATCATGCGCGCAAAGTTGGAATTTCTGTTGACTCATTAGAATTCAAGTTTGAGATTGAAAGACCTGCCACAGAAATCAACAGTGAGAAATCTGAGCGGTCAGAGTCAGCCACATCCAGTATTAAAGAAATGTCTTATTCTGTGAGTTAAGAAATGTTCAATTATTAACTGTCATGCTTGGCTACCCTCTGAAATGATTAGCTAATAAATTTTATTTTAGAACAATTTGTATCAATCGATTAATAATCAAAGAATATTACTCATTTATATTATTTCAATTTTAGTTGGAAATATAATTACCTACTTTGTTAAAATAATGTTAGTTTAGTAAAAGTTCCTAAATTCACCTATTTTTAGGAGACTTAGAGCTTCTATTTTTATTTGTATAGATTATATATTTAAGAACTTTCTTCCACTTTTATATGAGAGATTTTTTTAAAATTCCATTGTTATCAAAAATATTTGATTTGTATAAAGTATAAATAATCAGGTCTCCTTCAAGTCATAAAAATACAACTTTTTATTTTCCTGTCCAGGACAAGTCTCCAGAGAATGGGGTCCTTGTTAGTGGTTTATTTCTAGATGGTGCTCGTTGGGATTCAGAAACTCATACATTGCAGGACTGTTTAACCAACAAGCGATTTTGTTGTCTCCCTGATATTCATTTTGAGCCAAGAGAGGTTAGGAATTGCTTAAAATGTATTTTATTTAAACTTAGAGTATTAGATACAAGGAGGACTCTTTTACTTATCTAATTGAAATGATAGATTCATTTTAATTCCATATTAATACAGTGCAAAAATTCAGGAAATCCTTATCTGAAATTTCTTGTCTTGGTGATAATACCATAAATAAATTTTTGTTTCAGCACAGAGAAGTCAACTCTTCAGCATCTCAATTTGTGGACTCAACAGATATGTCTACCAGAAAAACTTTTCAAGAGAGTTCTTATGAATGTCCTCTCTACCGGACATCAGCAAGGGCGGGCACTCTGTCCTCAACTGGGCACTCCACCAACTTTGTCACATCTATCACATTACCATCAGAGCAGTCGCCAGACTTTTGGATCCTAAGAGGGGTCGCCATGATATGTCAGCTGGATGATTAACATAAATCATGCATGTTCCGGACAGCACTGAATGCAAGTATTTTAATCATGATAGCACATGCAATGTCCATATATGTACTTTGAAGTACAAGTAATTTAATCTTATTAAAATGCCAACCAACAAATCCACATTATTAAAAAATCAACTAAATTATTGAGAGGTTAATGAAATAACTTGGTACTTCATTATTGCTTTTGTGTGTGTGTTTTTTTTTAAAACATGCTCAGACCACGTGGTATAGATAATTAAGGATTGGATTAAAAAAGATAGATTCAAAATTTAAATGCTCTCTAAATTATTTTTTGTGAATGATTCTGGTAAAAAATTTGAAAAATTTTGATTATCAGACCATTTTCTAATGGGAAGTTGTTTTAGATACATTCTATAAATTGTATTCGATTCTATTATTTTAAACTTTTCCAAAAGACATATTTAAGTTAATCTTTAATTTAAAATGAGTAGATTTTACAAGATTATTAATGCATAAGATTTTATAAACTTTTAAAGTTCAACAATGCTAATATTACATCCACATCTTTTATTTCTATTTAATGCAGAGTCATAAGCTAATAATAGATCCACATCTTCTTTTATTTCTATTTAATGCAGTCATAAGCTAATAATAGATCCACTTCTTCTTTTATTTCTATTTAATGTAGAGTCATAAGCTTTGAGGAATATAAAATCTCTGTTAAATTACTTCATTCGATTTTCAGCCCATAGTCCCTGACCGGAGTGAACAATTAATGTTTTAATAAAATTGATATTATAATCATTTTTTTTACCATAAAATCTGTGATATACATAGTACTGTAAATAATTGCATTCTGGCTTCTTTGTTATAACTTACTCTTTGGTGAAAAATATTTAAAAGAATAATTATTAATGTACATGAACTTACGATGTCATTAGTTCATGCATATTGTATTTGTAGCAATAACATAATTTTATCATTTTATATCACCTTTGACTCCATATGTCATGTCACATACTTGTTACTTGAATATTATATACAACTTGTTCTTGCCATGACAAAATAAAGATTTAATTTGGTGTCACTCCATTTTTTAATAGAGTCTGTTCATTTAATCTTATACATCACATTCACAAGTAATCGACAAAAGATCAATCATTATACTGACTATTTTCTTTGTCTCTTATTTATTGTACATGTCTTCACATTTCAGCAATTTATTTTGACCTACCTTATCTTGTTCAAATAAACTATTTCTCAAACAAAAATGTGTAATTTTTTTTAAACTTCAACATGTGAAAGTCCTTTATTTAGAACGTCTTTTATTTATTCAAAGAAGGTCGTAACTATTGAAAATATTTTTTTTTAAAACTCACCAGATAATTAATTCATGGTCTTTACAGGACACAAAACATATTTAGTTAAGCCATGATAATGAATAGGTTTATCATTATAAAACAATGAGAATCTCTTTTTATTTTAATACTTTACCTACTGAGTGGCCATAATATGGAATATACATTAATTTCTCTGAGTGATAATTGTAAAGAAATGAGAATACTATACTATACCAATAATATATACAACAAACTTCAAATGGAACTTATTGTCTTTTCAAAGAATTATTTTTATCAGGTCAGCAAATTCGGCAGATTTTTGGTTCAACTGTAATTTTATGTCGGCTAAAAGTCATGTAAATCAAAAGAATAGAGGAGGTTGACTTAAACAAAGAAAAATATTTGTCTTTCCTGATTTTTTTAACTCTCCCCAAAAACATGAACAAACCATACTTAATTATCTGTATTGCAAATAAATGCTGGTATTTATATGACTATTATGTTATTAACGCCTAAATGCCATTACATTACTTAAATAAAAAACAGTCATGATTAGGAAAGTAATAGCTGAAAGTCCAATAATATGAGACAAAATGAGAAGATGACAAATGTGAAAATGATAAAATGCCATCAATGTCTGAAGTGAGACAAGTCAATATTTTATCTGTTTGAAATGATACTTTTAATGCCCAAGTTTTAAAAGAACAAATGCTTGTCACATTCTGAAATAATCTAAAACTGTATGCTGTTTAAATTCGAGAAGACCCAGCCTATAGCAAACGAATAAGTTTAGAGTAGTGATTGAAGGAACAATATAGGAGCCAAAGGAAGTAAAAGACAGTTACAGTCATGTAAAAATTGATCAAAATGGAAAAATAAGACTGTATCAACATTGCACATAGCATGAATAAGAGAATATAATTTTAGTTCTAAATAACTTTAAACTGAAATTCTAGGTACTGGCACTATGTACATTTTATGTATAAATTATTTACATGATTAACATTAATAACAATGCCCAACTTTTTGAAATGTCTGCGTTATAAAAAAACAACAACCTAAAACGACTTAAATTTACTAACATAATCGTTTCTTTTGAACTTATTAAGAAATATTACAATTTAAAAAAATTGCTCTGAGTTGTCAAGAGATCATTTTGATGAAAATCAAGCAGCAATTTTTTCAATTTTCTTCGGAAATCCCTCATGAGAAATTTTCTTTGTTCCAACCTTTTCTGTGTATGTTAACTGATAAAAGTTGTAGAGACGATCTGTCCAATCCTTCCAATACACCTCACAAGTTGTTCTGTTCATGAGGTGGATGTGGGCAGGGCTGCCGTCAGTGTAAGCCACAACTATCATACCATAGTTAACCTCACCAAACTGATCAAATATTGAGACAAGATGGTAAAAAGATAAAATATAGAAGACCATCATTTTTCTAATTAGAAAAGGCTTAGAAACTGTGTAGATGCTTATTTTGGTATACACCAGAGGGGAGTAATGTATTTTTCTTCAATTTTTTTCATGACTTTTTTTATCTTTATTCTTAAATATGGTTGGCATAGATCTTATGGTAAAATAAAACAATATATAATTAATTTAATGATTTGCAACTTAAATTGTTTATTGATTTTTTATGATATTCAAAGTCATTTACTTTCAAAGAACCAAAAGAACCTATTATAAACTCATTGATAACTGACTTGCCCTGACCTTTTGGGTGTATCGGTCATTAGAGTTGATAGCTCCCATGTATGCTACTATTTGTAGTGGATCATCATAGGTATTCTTAAGGAGTGGACGACTCTTTTTAGAAGTCTTCCAGTCAATGATGCAAAGAAGGTCTCTAAATTTAATGCAAAGGAAAAGATCATTATTTACCATTTCTTTTGTCTTTTCTTCCACTATAATTATAATTTATTATATACAATTAATAAAATAAATTATTCTGAACATTCAAAGATTTCTCAAGCAAATAATGTATGGATATTTTTAGACACTCTTACTTGTAACGGCCAATGCAGTCAAACACGCCCCTATAGAACAGATAAGAGTGAAAGACCTCAACTTCTAACGCTGCTACACCAGAAACTGCTTGAAAAACAGACTGCAGACTTGCCCAGTGTCCCTCATTTTCTGGCATGATTTGTATTTCATTTATTGGCTTCTTTGACAAGAACTCCATGATATTGGCATGGAGATTGACACCCTTCCTGATTGTTGCTGGAATTAAAATAGAAGATGATGAAATATTATTCCAAGTACAAATTTTAACTTTGGCAATTGTTAAATAATACCATTTCTTTTTCCTTTTCTAAGCTATAGAGTATTTTTCATCATTCTGACTTTGGTCAGGTGAGACATTATAATAAATTGTGATTTTAGTTAAAATCAATGGCTTGAACAGGACTGAAATTGTAACTCAGTGACAAGGTTGTTAAAAGTTCTTACCATCTTGATGTTTTTTAAATCCTTCGTCACCAAGTTCTTTGATCATATTCTCACGCCAGCGATTGAGAAAAAACCTATTTGTTTCAGGCATAGTTTTACTGAGAATAGTTTTTACTGAGGGTGAGGTTCTTAATTCCATCTGTTCTATGTCTTTTTGAAACTCATGAAAATCTAAATTTGTTTGCCAGCTTGTACTTTCATTAGAAAACAAAGGCACCTTCAATATGACATCAAAAGAGCTTGGGGGTTCAATTGGAAGATTTATGAATGATTTCAAATGGTGAGTCTGTGATTGGGATACAGCAATTTTAAATGGCTCTGAAACTGGAAAATGTGTTTTCTCATCAGGAATTGGAGCCATTTTAGGAATTAAAATTTCATCATTTAATGTTTTTGTGTCAAAAGACATCGTTTTTTCTGACTGGTTGTTTATTGATAAATCATTGCTGCTTTCTATTGAGGAGTTCAACTGCAATTCGGATTCTGCTTTGGTGAAATGAATATCTGAAGACTTTTGCAAACTGTTTGCATCAAATTCTTCGAAATTATTTACAACTTTTTTCTGTCGCTTCTCCTGTAATTTCTTTACATATGTCTGTGATAATGGCACAGCAGAAATTTTAGGAATAGGAATTTCTTCAGTTGTACACTCTATATCTGATTTGTCCTTATTTTCAAAATCTTCAGATGCACACTTGAGTAAATTTGTTGTCCTTTTTGTTTTGAATTTAGATTTACTATTCCTTGTAACTGGTGAAGATTTATTAGTGGTAAGCTCTAATAGCTGATCTTGACCCTCTTGATAATTCTCAACACCATCAAATTCAATGTCCAAATTTTGATTTGTTTGGAAATCATTCAAATCTTGGGTCGAATAAGCACTCAGTACTTGTAAATAGTCATTAATCTTGGAGTCTACTTTTTTCTTTCTCAGCTTTCCCGTTTTTGTTAGTTTACGCTCTGCCCCAAAAACAAGGGTTGTTTCCTTCTTAAATTGAATTAAGCTATCAAGATCATAATCATACTTTTTATTGAGTCTAGTGGACAAATGAATAGACTTGAATTCTACTGCTAACAACTTCCATGGCAAGCATAATGTTGAAGAATGTCGAATGAGCGCCATAGCTTAAACAAAAATTTTGCAATGTTAAAAATGATATAAAATAAAATAATTATAAATAGCCTACCTATTACCTATAAAAAATGAGAAGATGTTTTTAATAAATGAATATTTAAGATTTCAAGTAATCAAAATTTACAGTTCTCCACGAACTAGGAGGCTTGTAAAATTGGATTGAATTGATTAACTTGTACATGTACCACAATTTGTGCATATTTGAATACATATATTTATAAGATTATATACACTAAAATTAGTGTAATAAAAATATAATTAATAATTTTAAAAAATTTATATAAATATTCTATCTAGTATACTAGTATATCCTCCATTCCAGCCTTTACGGTTTACCCATATCTGGTTTTAGGAATTTTGAAAGGTGTAAAGCCATAAAGGATTGTTTTACTTTTACTCTTGAAACCCCCAATTGAGAGTAAGGGTAAATCTAATTTTAAAAAAAAAAGAATGAAAGTTGAAAAGAGGGAAGGGGGGAGTTTCTTAAAGTTCAATGCTAAGTGAGGGGCTAACCCTGGAATTATATGCTGGATCAATCAGAATCAGATCATTGTGTCTGTGTCATATTCGAATATTTTCATTTTTCAAAAAGACATATAAGATAAGACAAAGTGCTTGCTTCAGACTATTAATATATAGTAATAGTAGCATAAACAAAACTTCGAGGTAATGAAGAAAGTCTGTCATGTCTAATAAGTCCTGCGGGGGTGGGGTGGAACTGACGAAATAGAAAGACATCATATTTTATGAGAGTGAGAGTATTGAGAGACACTCAGACTCAGACAGATGACTCCTTACATGACATAACATTTAAATGCCTTATTAAGCCTTAAAATTTAAAATGATATAATTATTTATTTACCCCTATGGACTTCAGCAGCCTATATTAATATTTAATCATACTACTGAATATAGGCATTATAGGCAAGGCTACTATAGTACTACAGCTAGTCAGTAGTCTACACTACTAAATTTAATATTAATTAATCATTATTAAATTAAATTATTTATATTTATAGTACATGAGTCTGATAGTCTGGCTATTTATTATATTAAATTACTTACTTACTTTATCAATATTAAATATTTAAATTCATAAAGTAAGTATGTAATAGTAAATATTTATTCAATTTAAGAACCTACTTAAACTTAAACTACTATGCCCTATATGGTGCTACCTTTGAATCACTTATTGATTGTTGATTTTGCAGTGCAGTCTAAGTTGCACTTCGCAAAGGATGCGCCAAAAATCATATATTATTCCGTACACATGTCAAGAACCAGTTCATTTGACTGATAAATAATGAGTAAACTTCTTTAAAATAATTATATAAATCATTTCGTGCTCATATTATATATAGAATAATATGAAAAATTTATTGTGTCGAAAAATTTTCAAAGAATATTTTTATAGCAAAAAAAATAAATCGTTATTAACATGTCCTTTCAAAAAAGTAATTCGAGTTACAAATTTAATCATATTATCGACTTCCTGTTTCGTTTTGAAGGTTGACATGATACTTGGTTTATAACAGTATTAACAGGTACGACAATAAGTTTACCGGACCCACCTTTGACTCGTTTGCTTTCTGCAGTTTTTATTCATATTTTGCAAACGTTTTCAATAATGGTCAATAACGTATTAGTATAATAATCTGAAATTTCATCCAAGCCCAACCAAGTTGAGAAGTTGCCTTAACTTACTTAACTTGGGTACTTTAGTACTTATTATAATATAGTAAGTTAAATTGAATAAGTACTAAGCCTTGCGTGGCTTACTAAACTAAGCTTCTTAGTCTTAGGCCTAACTTACGAATCTAAGAAAATCATAATAAGATTAAGATGTAACCAATGAAGTCTATAAATATGTTAAACTATCCTATAATTTGATCATGATTTAGCTTCAAAAATTGTTTAATAACCTCATCAGTCATTCAATTCATTCATGAATGTGGCTATAGTCAAATCTATTTGTATGCAGTATCATGTATGGGTATGGGGCTTACTCTCTGATTAGGACTATTGCATTGGCATATCATACTATATTATATTTATATGAATATGTTATTAGGCTGCGGCTATTCGGAACCAGTATCAGAAGTGATAGGTTGGGTTTATTAAAAAATATTAAAAATATTATTGTTGGGTTTGTAAGATAAAAGTTGGCATCGAATGAAAGATAATTAATAATTGAATTGACTATATGATATAGTATGTTTGTAAACCTAATTCTTAAGTTTAACTAAAATAAACGACCACAAATGGCATCCGAATAGCATTTAGTCTAATGGGACCCGGGTCCGTATAGCGGCGATGAGTGTCCGGGTCCATTTTAGGATTAATATTTATTAATGCTATAATAAAATAACTAATTTAAAATAATTTTAATAATATTATGCTTAGTAAATCATAACTATCTAACTATGTATTACCAGTACATTGAATATTATTATTAGGTGGTTTTATATAGCGCAGTTCCCCAGCCTAGGGCTAGGTTCACTGCCACTGTACATAAAAATTAGCAATTACATAAACGTATACATTTAAAAACAATTGGTGAAAAGCTTGACCTCACCCACCCAAGTACTATCGATATATACACAATGTGGCTATTCTGTTTACTAAGTCTGAGGGGGGTGTCCATTATATATAATCTATGTAAGGTAATGCGTCCCATCAAAAAAAAGAACTACTTATTTTGGACTTTCAGCTATAGCACAAGAATAAAAGCTTTTCCTGACAAATGGACTAAATGGTTAAATTTGCAGATTGGCCTTCAAAGTTATGAATGAAACCCTGAGAATAATACTATTGTAATTTAAAATTAGTATAGCCATATTAAGTGACTGTTAGTGGTTGCCCATGACAATGTGTGCACACAGGAAATCATGATGATTTATAATATGGATTCTACCAGGTATTTAAACCTCAAAATATTCTTTTTTAAATGCCTTTTTTATTATGAAACTAAAATATTTTGAGGTTAATAGTGGTAACAATTGAAGATTATTATAAGTATTGACAACTTCCACCTTTGTGTAAATGGCGATTTTAAGGATGGCAACTCTGCCCCTATCAGTGGACAGGGATTGAAATTTAACTAATGGAGAGAAGTTGTAGCCTAAAAAGAATGATTAGTTACTGAAGATCACAAGTGCAGTACCACCAAAAAAGTCAACTGACCACCAGTGAGTTTTTCATAAAATTTAATGTGGAATGGTGGCCTATGTGACTGAGTAACAATTATTTTCCAATATAAATATAAAGTTGAAATGTGAGTTAAAAAAATGTGTTAGAAATGTAGTAAAAGATATCCTCTAAAGTGAAAAGATGAAACTTGGGTAGTAAATTTTACAGATAGCAATTATCAGTGAAATAAGTCATGTAACAAAAATTTAAAACACAGATTTCTCTGTGCAGAGTATGATTTCCAATATAAATTTAGTTGTAGTCTCCCTTACTTAACAAAAGTAGCTTACCTATAATGAGTGATGACGAACCATTATTGTTAAGACTAATGTCATGTTAAATCATGAAATAATTAAGACTTGGACTATGCTAGTCAGTGATAGTCAAAAGTTGACTCAAAGTCAAATAAGATTAATCAGATGAGATAGAAATTATCATCTATGAATATGACTCATGTTTCTGTATTACCCCTACAGACTGAAGGAAGTGTAGATCTAGTATCTGTAGTCTCAGTCTGTATTACTCACTGTACTGAAGATGTAGTGTAAAAGGGGCCATCCATATATTAATTGCACAAAAAAGTTAAATTTTCAATATTGTCACTATTATATTACTGTTGTGATATCTAGTGAGTTCACTCAAAGCAACTGTATGATGATTATTATGAAACTTTTCAGTCATATTTTATAGCTTTTTAAAATAATTAGAAATTATGGATTTCGTATTTTAGGTGACAGCTTTACTAGTAATATTAGATGTATAAATAGCAGACTTGTTTACCCTCAAACTCTTAAAATTGTACAATATCATCACAAAATCGTTCCATGTATTATCTTAATAGTAAAAGTAAAAAAGAAACATACAGTATATATAAAATGTATACACCTCAAAATCGTACATTGTACGCCAAAATCATAAGAGTAAACAGGTCTGAAGTAAGCTATTTGTGGACTGTTCTATTTTCAGGATGATTTTTGCAAAATTTTAACATAAATATATTTATAAATTCTGCAAAGAAACAACCAACCAACCCCCCCCCCCCCCCACCCCCAAACAATAGGAAAAATCAACGGATATGATAATCCACTGTACGAGTATATTTAGTGTTTAAAACTATGATATGTTTTTCTAGTACCGGTACAACCAATTATACTTATACATTCATATTGGTTTAAATGTAGAGAAGAAGTTGGTATTTCCTTCCTGAGTTTACCAGAAATATGTACGAAACTGAGTTAGTTCAAATGCTTCAAATAAAAGTTTCTTCGATTGTAAAATTGTTTGAAAATAATTTTTTTAGACATAGAGCTTGTTTTTAAACAAATTTTTTTAAAGAGAATTTGTGAGGGAGAAATGGGGGAAAAAGTAACATTTTAATATTTTTTATAATTTGTATTCTTGTGTTTTTAATTCCATTCGACAACATTCCTTCCTACAATTTGGTTTTGTAAAAATTGGTTTCATATTAATTTATGGATACACCTTTCTGGACTTTTAATCTTTAATCCTATATGATGCTATTTGAATTTGTCTGCAGTTGTGATGGCGCTGACAATGTACCCAGCTATTTGTTCACTCACACCTTCAATGGCAAGGCTTACATCATGCTACTTCAGGTAAAACTATTTCCAATTTTCTATTTTTTAATTGCATTGATTTATTAAAAAACAATAATACACACTAAATAATTGTTTGGTCTCTTTAATGAAAAATTAATTTTTAGCAACCATAGACATGGCTTAGTGCTTCCTGCTGTTCATAATTGCCAGAGTTTTACTGGGCAAAAAGTGCCCTCATTGTAGACTATCCTTGAAGCAGAAAGTTCCATTATTTTGTTGATTTATATTATGATAATTATTTTACACAAAGAGGTATGTGAAGTTATTTTTAGGCTAACTTATGATTTTTATCGTTACCAGTATCTTCAGATAGATTATGATTATTTTGAAGCAACCAATCATCTATACATCATGATTGAAACAAAAACAAGTCATTTATTTCTTGCGAAGTGAATTATATTTTAATGTTTATATTGTGTTTCTCATAATCCTGCCACTCTTAATTAATGTCAGAATTGAATGAAAGATTTCAAATCTTATTCATACCAGTTATTCTTCTTGACTTTAGTCTTTAGAATGATATGAATCAATTATTGTGCTCATTTAAACTTTTCATTAAAAAGTAATTACATTTTTTGCATTGTTTTTTTCTTCAGTACCTCACAAAAGTTATATGAAATACGTAAACTGGCTAGAATGAGAATAGTAGATAATAGTGCAATAGGGAAAGCTGCTGCTCAATTAGGGAAACCACCTCGTGTCATTTATGTATATAATGCAAAAGAGGTATGTCATATTTACAAGCTCTGTCGCTTCTTCTGAACAGTCTGTCTCAATTCCTACATTTTGATATAGAAACTCAATATATTAGCTTATTCTGAAAACCTTGGCCTTTTCATCTCTTTCTTAATAGCTTTGCTATAAGTCAAATTGTTTCCAAAATATATAATAAAATATAAGATATCAAAACGTAAATGACATAGTATTGCTACACTATGAGGAGAGTACAGCATAAATTAAATTTAAAAAAAAATGTTTTTAACTTTTTTGTTGTTGATAAGTTCTAGTATTTTAGAGTGATGATATTGTTCACGGCAGTGTTAGTTTAAGTATTATTTTCTTTGTTTCTTCTGCTGTTCTCGATTTATTTTAGTAGCCGGTAAGAATTTCCCAATAGCAAATGTGAACAAGTTATGTTTGAGTCTAATCCACCTGGGCATTTTATTCTTTGCTGGGAATGGCCCTGTGTGAATTTAAACCTACTACCCACATTTTTCAAGACAGACATCGTTACTACTGTGCCACATCACCAGCAAAACAACTTCCTATAATTTACACAAAGTAATAAGAATGTAAAATATAATAATACAATAAAATATATTTATCAATCTCATTCCAACACTTTTTAAAATAATAAAACAAGATTGAAATATTGTATATGTGTTTTTATGTGATATCTCCTACCATACACATACAGTTTACAGCTTCTCAGAACTACCAAAGTGTATATCTTCATTTCTCCCCAGGTTGGCATGTTAGGAGACAAAGTTCTGGTAACAGTAAAAGGAGAGATGAAACGAGCCTATATAGTTGGCTTGAAACAGAAGCAGTACCCCAATGTCCCTAGAATGGACACAAACAACATTGTTTTAGTTGATGATAACGGCAGCCCTTTGGGCAACAGGATTATGGTACCAATTCCATCAGCGCTCAGAGGGAAAGGCGGAGACCTCACCAAAATTTTGTCACTGGCCACCAAATTTGTTTAACTTATGCATCGTCCAAATTTCAATGAAGAAATCATTGCTACTATATCATTGTGTTTTGTTGAAATATTTTTAAATATAATTTTTGCTGCACAAATTATTTTGTGGGGATGTAGTTATGGATGGGTGAGCAAAGTAAAATAATGCAGGTCTTGCATGTAAAACATCTTTTCCCTAAGTACACATTTAAGAGATATTTATATTTATTGAAAACTAATGAAAATTATTTTTATGTGAATCAACCATATCAATAACTTATAAGGCTTTTCATACAATGTCAATCATTCAGTTTATGATACCGCTACCTAAAAAAATGCAATAGTTTTCAATTTGTCTTTACCAAGCAACTGTCTTTAGTAACTTTTTCTAAAGCACAGCATTTAAGTATTTAAAAAATATCTTTCGTCTCTTTGAGGAGCGTCATCCATGCAAATTACTTCTATTAGATTAAATGGATCAAATTACAGGTCCCACCTTACTTTGTAAATAAAAAATTGCATCAAACATCAATTAATATTTCTTTATATCAAAACCTTGTGATACACCTGTGAGTCTTTTGCAATACACAGTTAAAATCCCTTACCTTAATTTTTTTGTTCATTCAACAGCTTTCAATTGACTTAAATTAAAAACTCTCAAATTTTGTGATTACATTTAGCTCATTGTCAATTTTCATTTCATCTTAAAATTTCAAGAATTTCACAAAAGTAAAAATAAAATTGAAAGGAAAGGGAATTATATCTGTTGTCATTAAAATTCTAGCCGTTTGTTTAACAAATTTAAATAATTTAATGACTTTAATTTTAAATTATGAATGATATTTGTCATTACACACCCCAACCTAGTTGGCATAATATAAAGAAAAGTAACCATGTTGAGTTAACATTTCATTCATGAATTCCTCAAAAGCGTTGATTGGAAACTTTCAAGAAACATTGCTGCTGTCTATAGACTGCCTCTTTAGATTTGCCTCAGTATCAGGATTATATTTTGCAGATCTATCTCCATTGTTCTGAGCCAGGTCTCGAGATGCAAAATATTAAGTGTATCAACAACCTGTATGAAGGTATACAAAGTATGAAATTGATATATACACTTAAAATACTTTGTCTTCCCTTATACTATACTTTAAGACAGTGGTCCCCAAATGGCGGTCCGTGGACCTTAACCGGTCCGCATGCCTAACGCTGCCGGTCCCCATAACATAAATATTTATTGTCAAATAGAAATAAAAGTATAAAAATAAATCATGCACCAGTCCCTGGTAAAATTTCGAAACTTGTTCACCGGTCCGCTAAACTTAAACGTGTGGGAACCACTGCTTTAAGAGACCGGTACCCAAGAATGTGAGTAAATAATATGTAAATCAACCTCTCTCCTCCCCCCCCCAACATATTTTTAATAAGACTATTGTGGTACTTAAATACATTAGAGTTAAAATTTGCTACTGTTACTACTACATTAAAAATTATTTATATTTTATCTGCTTGCTCTTTAAAAAAAAATGATGAGCTATCTGATATACTCATTTTAAAACAAAAGAATTCTTTAATACATGTCGCCCTTGATTGTTAACTCCAAAATAAAATTATAATTAAATGGCACATTAACTGAATAAGTGAAAGGTTGGGCAACACAATGTTGAAGAGAAAAGAAATCAAGTAAATTAAGGTTAAGTCATTAGACTGCATTGTTGATCAATACCATTATCATTAGGTATCAACCATTAATGTACAGGTACACATTATACATAATGAGTTTGTATGATACATTATACATAATGAGTTAGTATGATACATTATACATAATGAGTTAGTAGTTAGTATGATCAGGGCTGGATTAACCATTAGGCCAACTAGGCACGTGCCTAAGGCACCAAGCATTTGGGGGGCACCACAAGTCCTCAAGAAAAATGTGGATATTGTCCCGGTAGCGTAATTTCATGGCATAAGCAAATCGCAAATGTAATATGCAATAGCACATTATTTAACCTTGGTCCCACAACCTGGGGGTAAAATGCCCCCCACCCAGATTTTTTTTATTTTTCTTCAAGTTTTTTGTGCTATTTTTTGTGTCACAGAAGGGGGACACCAGAAGAGAAGCAGAAAACATTGCAAAGAAGATGCAAGAAATAGAATTTGCTTTCATGCTTGTCTTTTGGGAAGCAGTGTTACAACATTTTCACAAGGTTAGTCAAGCTCTACAAAATGAGCACGTGAACTTGAAAACGTGTGCTGATTTGTATTCTTCACTAACTAACAGATCACTTGCATGAATCTAGGAATAAATTTGAAGAGATTTGAAGAAGCTGCAAAAGAAATAACACCAGGTGTGGATTATAAATCAACTTTGACCCGTAATCGTAAACGAAAGACATTGGTCATTGATGGTGATGCCCCTGACGTATCTCAGAATGCCAGAGACAAATTTCGTATATCTACTTTCTACACCATTGTTGACAAACTTGAGACAGAGATGAGTAGACCAGGACAGATATATAATGATCTAGCAGTTCGATTTTCTTGTTTGGTCGATGTACCACAAACATGTCAGTATTGTGATGGACTAAAAAATGCTTATCCCGAACAATAATTTATATACTGAACTATAACTACAACAGCTCCACGCATGTATTCGCCACAAGTTTCGTGCATCAAAATCTTAGAACAACACGTTCAGTCATGTAGAACTCTACAAAGTAATAGTTAGAGACAACATAGAGTGTGCTTTTCCAAATGTAGAAATCGCCTTGCGCATACTTTTAACGTTAATGGTTACGAACTGTTCAACTGAGCGCTCTTTTTCTCAGTTGAAACGTACAAAAAATCCAAGTAGATCGACAGTGAAACAAAAAAGGCTCGATTCCTTATCTTTGCTGATGATTGAGGCAGACTTGTTGCGCAAAATTAACTTTGATGATGTACTCAAAAACTTTGCCAGACGTCAATCTAGAAAAAAAGAAGTTTAAAATGTAAATGTGTGCTGCCTGTGACTTTCTAAATTCTTATCTGTTACGCACTGGCTTCTATTGGGAGAAATGAATCTCCTATTTTAAATGTATGGCTCGTTCCAACAGTGCCTAACAAAGGACGATACCATAGAGAAATACAGATCACACAAATACGACACCCCAAACAGTACCAATTACAATTAATACGATTTAATTTAGTAATAATACTATTACAAAACAAAATAAATATAATTACAAATCATCAACTTACAGAGTATGGTAGATCTTGTAACGGTACATAGAGAATACAATGTGCCAATTAATAATGTACAGTGGCGAAAGCGAATAAACACATAAGTAGGCTACACAAAGAATAATACACGTCTCGTGAAGTTAAAGTATATCTACCGGTATCTGAATCTCCGTCTCTCTCCGTGCCTTTCAATCCTTTACATATGTGGGTCTACCGACGCGTTTAGAAACGCCCTTAATTTTCTAATACAGTCGAGAACGTTCCATAAGATTCTAGTAGACATACTAACCATGTTTAATTGGAAGTCGGTAGTAAACACGATACTTCAAAGACTAAGCCACGCCCACAACAAACGCTACCGTCTGCTAGGGATCTAATGTGGGGTGAAACAAGTTCAAGCACGGGAAAAAAGTGTACTACATAACATTATCTTTAAAAAAAAGTTACAGTATTTTTGTTTACTATTATTACAAAATTAATTAACTATTAATTTTAATAAAGAAATACCTTATTGTAGGTTTTATATGAGTGATAGTAGTACAAACATATGTGTTTACATTTCACAACTTTTTTTCTTTGTTCGTTTTTTTGTGTGCATAATATTGAACATACCAGCAGTCAGTGGAGGATCGGGGGCCCGGGGCAGTAGGGGGTACCCATGTGGGTTTGTGCCTAGGGCAAGATGGCTTAAACCGGCCCTGAGTATGATATATTATAAATTATACATAATGAGTTAGTATGATATATTATACATGATTTAGTATAATACATTGTAATAAATCATAATGAGTTAGTATGATACATAATATATAAGAATGAGCTAGAGTCACAAAATCCCAAAAGGGAGATACTATTTAAGTACATTCGGATATCATTAACAATCATACTTATTTTCAATAATTTTACGGAAATCAAATAAATTTAAATGCGCAAAAAATATTTTAAATCCGCTTTTATTTTAGTAAACGTTTAAGTATTAAGTACATTTAAAGTATAAACTAAGGAACTATTTTAAGCATTTTATATGAGTTCAAAGTTATGAAAAAATAAAAAAAATTAAAAAATTGTAACGTAATAAAAACTAACCTTTAAATATAATTATAATAAGAAAATGCGGTTTAAGTCAAACAGTGCAGCGCAACTCCATAGGCTATGGCATAGCCAATATAAATAGCATTTTTTGCTAAAATAAAAAATAACGAACCATTTGAAGTGCAAATTATTTTAGTTTGGGTATGGAAGGGACTACATTAACTACAAAATTTTGTCCTTGGCGTACAGCTGCTTAGATGTCTCAGCAGCGGAATATCTCAAGGAAATGTATAAACATGTACTTCTGAAGAAAGAGCCTGCGGTCTTCAACGCAGTACTTACAGAGTGTTCCTAGAGTGGATGAACACAGAAAACAAGTCTTACGGGGTGCGCTTTTTCGAAGCGATGGCGCCAACATTATGCAATAGTTTGCTTCAATCTTTGAGGGGAATTGTAAAGGATAAAAAATCATTCAAGAAACAATTAAAAACTTTTTTGTTTCAATAGATTTCGGAGGACCAGAGCGCAGTGAGCATGCTAAAGTAGCATGGATACCAGCGCGATATAAATATCAAATCAAACAATCCGGTAGAAGATTTGTCTAAATTTATTTAAATCTGGGTGGGGGAGGGGGTTGGTTACTTTGCCCCAGGCAGCACAAGAGACGTCTCAAAATAATGTAATGAATTTGATAAATAATTAACCTTTTTGGGAACATACATTTCAGAGGTAGGGAATATGATGTGTACATTTCCCCGTGTATGACAATATATTTAAATCCTATGGTATTACATTTGGGAAAAAATAGATGTTACTCTCTCTTTTTACAAATATACATAGATATGTTTACCAATTAAGAAGATCAACGGCGTTAACAAATCTTGGGTAAATTTATATAAGTATAACCATGATATCAAAACCCGATCATTTTACACACTTGAAAAAGTAATTTAAAAAAATAGGGATGGGTTAATATTTATTTACTTAAAAAAAAAATTTTAAAAAATTTTTGTTTTTACTTTGCAAAAAGTTAAGAGATTTGTATTTTATGAGATTAAACATTTAAATTAAAAAAAAAACAAGACTCAAATCTTTAATATACGTGAAAAAAAGGTTGCGCGATTCTTCTTTAGATAAAATAATTCTTTGTTTTACGATTTTCTGATAATATATAATTTTTTTTTTAAAGGCAAAAAAATTGTTTAAATTTTTGCTGAAGATATCAATATAGATCTATATCGAATTCCTATAACAAAAAATATTTTTATATCATATATAGAGTTTTTGGTGTAAATTTAAGGCAAGTTTTTTAAACAACAATTTTTAGAGAAAAAAATTGTAATTCAAGGGCATGAAAAGGGGTAAATCTAAAGTATTTCTCTAACGTAGTAATTGTCCCTCAATTAACTTCTTTAGTGACAAAGGTGATATAATTAGTAATAATTTAGACTGTGTAATTTAAGGTCATGTTTAGAGGGGGAAAAAAGTAGTTTA